CCGCGGCCGGCGTCGAGACTTTCAACATTTCACTTGTTGCTATTGCAAACATGTTGCAGACTCGTGTCCGTCGATCCGGACCGACAGTCGACTTTTCGGGACACGCTGTAGAGAAAAGATAATGATTATTCCTCTCCACGGTTTAACGCGACTTTATAAAACAGTCTCGTTTGTCTCTTCTCTTTTTGCGTACAGAGAAAAATCTCAGTCGTGTAACTGAGTGGGCACCGGACGAAATCATCGCGGTGACGCGATGAGAAGATGATATCTCTGTAACATCGAGATCACTCGTCATGTTCAGTTCACTCGGATGTTCAGTTGTATTAAAACTCGACTGACGAATGTTCATCTCGCAACATCTCGCAACGATCCGTTTCCATGTTTATTAATTTCGTAGTAAATATAAGAAAATAATTTTTTGCTCTTGAGTAACTCGCTCTTTTCCTCTTTCTCCTACTCTCTCTCTCTCTCTCTCTCTCTCTCTCTCTCTCTCTCTCTCTCTCTTTCTTTCTATTAAAATTGCGTAACATTCTATCGCTATCTCTAGTAGTTCACGGGAGAATAGCTTGTAAAACACTTTATACACCATCCATTATGTTTACTGACTACACATATCTAGTTTAATTATCAACTATATGATGTATTATTATAAAAGAATCTAAGCCGGAAATTCACAATATGGCCATCAACCTTGATTAGTAAGTAGCACCGATGCGTAAGTAACCTGCTGAAGTTTTCAATAACTGAACCATTTTTTTTATATTGTGTAGCGAAAAGACAAAAATTTTACGTATAGTACATAAATTCGTCTTGTATGATGGTATGTTAAAAAGTACATAATTTAAACTTGCATTTTCCGTTAGAGATGCGATGTTAAATATGTTACTAAAATATGTTATGCATATATAAAATAAATAAACAAACATATTAAGAATAGAATTTAAGATAACTGAAAAAGAAATACTAACGCGTTGATTGATCTAGCTTTTGGATTCGTATTAATTACAAAATGAAAAGCCTAAAATATCACAACAATACATTTCGTATATCGCAAATAACATACATTGCAAAACGTTGCCATCGTCATGGGAAATGTCCTCCTGGCTGTGATATAAAGTGGTTTACTGGCGCGCAGCATGATCAGCATTAAGCTTTTAGCTACTTTTGGTTCTTTGTTATACCACGGATATTCATACGTGCCTTGATGGAAACGTGGAAAAATCGACAACACGACGGTTATATATGGAATAACTGTTGATAAAATTCAGCTCCGACTAATGGCTCGACCAGTGCTCGTGATCGCGCGGAAAAAGGGAAAACGATCTCGCTGCTCGGCAATTCCCGGACTCTTTATCCTTCCCGAGTAATTCTCGTTGAGTCGCGAACGCAGAAGAATAAGCGAATTATGCGTATTCAGCGTCCACGGCCCTGGTTGTTTATCGCGCGTTATTCGTTTATCAATGTGACGTAACGAATTAATTAAGCGCGATATCCCGGGACAAAGGCGAGGAGCAATGCGCTCTGTAGCCGCGAGCGTAATCTGCGGACAGATACCCGATGACTCCTGTTATCGAGGACGACGACGACGACGACGACGACAACGACGGCGGCGACGATCACGTTAAAACGATGCGTACGAAATCAGTCTTCGTCCGCGGGCGATCACATTAATAAGCGATCGCTTTGTTCGTTATTCGCGTCGCTCGCGAACGTGAGACCAATTCGACGAGCACTTCCCGATCGCGCGACGGGACGCGATTGTAAGCGAATTAAAATTCCGCTCGATTCGCGACCCGCGGTGACGTTCAATGGCAAATCGTCGTGGAAACGCTGGCGGAACTCGCGAGCGCGGCCTCTCGTTCGTCAAACGGTGAAATCCTACGGCGCGAGGACGCCGTATCGGAAGCGATGTCAGACGGATGACAGTCACCAGCCACCAAGGACGAGCGATCGGAAGCAAATAGTGAGGCCGATGACAATTGTCGAGCGAGTGCTCATCACCGGCGTCAACATGAGAGACGTTTCTTCACCGATTACCGATCCGACTGAGGCGGATGTCATTTTTGTAATGTCCCCCTCGACTTTTCCGCGATCAGTCGCATGAGATTCGCGCGAACGGTGGGGCTCTAACGCAGGGGAATGCTTACGTGGACTGACACATTTTTTACAGTTCTTGCTAGCACAACTTGGCTCTCTCATATCGTAACGAGACAGATACAAAGTATAAACGACGTAACATGCACGCGAATCGTGTATTTTATCTTTTACATTATTTCTTGAATTTTATTTCACGTATAAATCTTCCTCTGATGTTTTCATATATTTCTTTGTCTCTTGTTTGGCAAGAAATGACAACAAAGAGACGGACAAATAATTGTCGTAGAAAGTGCAATTAAAACGGGCACACATCGGCATGTTGCACGCTGCTACTCATCATAGAAAATCACTCTGCGTATGTTCAGCCTAACGAGAGACGGAACTAAAATAGCAGATACACGCTTGCGTAATTCTCCGTGTCGTTTGCAAGATAGATGGGCAGAAAGAGAGACAGAGTGGGAGGGGAGAGAAGATGGTAAAAAAAAAAAGCGCCGGCGTTCGAGTATTTCTCGCGCAAAGCGTAGTGATTCGGTGGCTGGGAGCGCGCATAATGAGAACGTTGTCGGGAGCGCACGCGGTTGCATCGTCTCGTCTCCCGGCTAAATGCGAAAGCGACGCTTCAGCTTTCCGGCATGTCAGGGCTAATTTCGCTAACGCCAATCAATGCTAGATCGCGGTTAAACAAATTGTCTGTCGCTGTAATAGGAATAACACTACGATCTATGCAAAGTCGTCGGATGTGCTCCGTTTCAAATTGACGGTGAACTAACGGCGAGCGAGATCGCTCTCTGTTTTATTATATTTTTTTCTTTTACACGGACACGTTATTCGTGCAAAGATCGCGTGTCATGAATACCCGTGTGAAGTTGTTACTTTTGCAAACTCGTCTCAAGTGAGATGCTCAAATTAAAAATTTAAATCAGATGGCAGATTCTCACGTCTAGCATTCACCACAGACGGTTCGATAGAAAAAAACACAGGATAAACTCTAGATATAAATCCGAGTATCTCACGTGACGTGAACTTCGTAAGTAATGATTGTTTGTACAGGCTTAAGTGAAGTGCAGAAAAAAGAAGCGAATCCGTCCGTGAGAGACAGCGAAGTGCCTCGGCAAATAAAGCGAAACGAAAGGTGACACGTCGGTGTAAACGTTTATCGATGAAATTAGAGGGGATGAGAAGAGAAAGCACACGGGGTTGTCCCGCGTTGGAGTCAATTGTCGACTTTTCGGATCATTAGTTTCAGTTAGCCGTTTCTCGTCCCCGACAGATTACGGCCCAAAGTATGGCGCGCACGTGTGCGCGTGTAAAAAGACATTTAGTTGGGCGTAATTAATATTAATTGAAGCTGGTGAAGCGCGGAATGCCTGGATAATCGGCCGGTTATTAAGAATCGCTCACGTCCAACCGAAACGGCTCGATTTTTTTCATTTCTGTCATTCTGTCAGTAGCCACTGACGTAACATAAAAAATGATCAGACTCGGTGTGCTTTTATGCCGAGCTGACTCAAATCGCCAGTATCCTTCGCTTGTTAACGTATCGTTAGCGCCAAGGAATAACCGAAGATTTCGGAGAATCGGTAATTCACGATGAAATCGAACAAACCTCCATTTACTTCGTCCTTTATCGACTTCCTATTGAACGAGATGATTCTTACATAAAGGAGGATTCTGGGAAAGGCAATCTCGAGAGTGTGACAAAATCGTTCTTTCCGATCTGTTTCGCTAGAGCTGCAACTAAAGGAAGAAAAGATCTATTATCTCTCTCTCTCTCTCTCTCTCTCTCTCTCTCTCTCTCTCTCTCTCTCTCTCTCTCTCTCTCTCTCTCTACCTCGCGCGCGCAGTTCAGAACAAGTATCTCGTAAGCCGAAGATGTCGATCCTCCCTTCAAATGAAATCATTATCGGAATCAGGCTATCCTCCTCGTCCCAATATCTCTCCTCCCACGATCGTCTCTATTATCCCGCCCCGTTATTCGCGCATGAGAAAATCATGAAAGCAACGTTTACGTAAACTGCTCCAGAGACGCGCAAAGTTAAATCATCATGAGGGTAATCGCGCCCAATATTTCCGTCAGCGTACCGTTCGATGCACAGGATCACTCTGATATAAATCCGGTTATCTCTGAGTGAACTCGGTAAGTCAATGATGGAACGTTCAAAGTAATGCCACGAAAGAAAGATACAATCCTCCGTGAAACTGCTGCAAAATAATTGTCCTGTTTACGGTAAATTGCAGATCTGTTAGTAAACGAAACGGGAATCGATTTATGCGCGATGATCGACTTATGTCATGAAATTGGACGCGAAGGATGAATAAAATTTATACACCATCAATGCGGATTTGATCATTGTTTGTTACAGTTTTCGATCCCGGAAGATTAAGGCCCAAAGTATGCGGAAGTGTCGTGTTAAATGGAAACATTTCTCCCGTAATTAAAATGATGGTACGCGAACTGATAATCCTTTATTCAAGAATCTACGTCCCGATCGATTTTTTCATTTTTCTTCTTAAGTGCCCTCGTAATATGATCAGAGGTGTGCTTTTATCACGATATCGAATCTAAGACCTCCAGATTCGTCTATTAATAACTCCCTTATTAGAGATGTTCTTACATAGAAACGAAGCGAGTATCGAGATTGGGAAAGCAATTCGAATGTGAAAAATCGTTATTCCGATCTGTTTCGCTAACTGCAATAAAGGAAGAAAAGATTATTATCTCTTTTTTTTTTTTTTTTTTTTTTTCTTGTTCTTTTTCAGGGAGTCAAACAATAATCATCCGTGAAGCGAGCAATCGATACGCTATGCCCAGAATGGAATCATTTATCGAATCAGCTTATCTCCTGTGCCAATATCCTGCTCGGTCGCGGACATCGTCGTTATTATCCGCCCGTTATTGGCAAATGACGCACAATATACCGAGATGTACGACGTTCGTAAGCAATTACGGCCAAAGAAATGAGAAGAAATCAAGCGGTAAGGAGATGAGGCTCGTGATCGTCGTCGGATTGCTGGCGGTCACCGTCATCGCCCTCGTCGTAACGCTGACCTTGCAGATGGTGGTTTTCCGCAGGAAGGAATATAAAGAGATGTGTCAGAGCGAGGAGTGCATCAAAACAGGTACAATGCGCGTACAATCCACCGTCCTTTTCACTTACATGGTAAGACGAGGTCGCGTGACTCTCTGCTTCTTAATGTGTTCCGTGCTGGATCAATTTTATCTGACTTGCCATCCATGCTACGAATGGATCACCGGTGTGGCCCGCGTTGTCGTATTATGAGCCAAATTTAGCTCGTAAAGTATATCACATGTCTTATAATAATAATTATTGAGGTATCCTATGTGATTACGTCTCGTAGGATTGGAAAGTGACACGTTGCTTGGCGTAAGACCGTTACCGTTACAAGTCAACATTTTTCGGTGACGACTTGGTGGACGACGTTATTTCTTTTTCATAACGTAACGGTAATGGTAGACTTGAGAGACTATCGGTTAACACGATACACATTGTTAACATAATGTTCGAATGACGAGCGACACGAGTATCGCTGCCTGCAATCACGACAAGTGTAAGGCGACTCGACAACTCGAGGATAATGTGTTTGCATTGTCTCAGCGGCGCGAGTGATCGGTGCGATGAACAGATCCGTGGATCCTTGCCAGGACTTCTACAGCTTCGCCTGTGGCGGCTGGATCAACAAGCACCCGATTCCTCAAAGTCAAAGCTACTGGGACCAGCTGAGCTTGCTCAGGGAGGAACTCCTGAAGAATTTAAGGCTCTTGCTCGAGGAGCCGGACCAGGAAGATGATCTCAAACCGGTAAAGCTGGCGAGATCCCTTTACAGGACTTGTATGGACGTCGGTAAGTCAGGCACAAGGAGACCTAATAATAATATTAAATGAAAATGATTGTTAGAAATAAAAATGACCAGTACCGGGAATAATTGAAAAAGAAACAATGGGAAAGATAACAAATATTAGAAATAACGTCAGACACAAAAACCGACGAGATTTCGAACCACGTGAAGTTAAATAACGTGAAGCAGTTTTCGAGATCGAAGGAGAGAAACGGTGAGAGAATCGTTCCGTTTCGAGGCAACGAGTCGTAAACGGAACTCCGTTTGTTTTACTTGTTATCGCCGACGATAAATTATTCATTAATTGTTCGTTCTGTCGCGTGGAGAGTGCCTCTCCACGCGACAGAGCATAGTGCGATGCGTAGTGTCATCTGCATAAGCGTGAATTCGAAAGGGTAAGCGCTTAACACGCTTACGTATCGCTCGTGCCGCAATGTATTATTACTGTCGCGTTACTAACAACGTAATAAAGCAAATTGACGACTCCATTACCGCGAAGAAGTATCCGGAACCTCGTGCCTCCCGGCGGCTGCGCGATCGCGATTATAAATTGGACGAAGCCGAGGAAAGGAATCGACGGTACGAGTGATTTAAATAGAAACAACCATCGATCCGCCATTCACGGGTTCGCCGTTGGCGTGTAATTGAAGATGATAATGAAATACGTTGCGTGCTGTTCGAACTCTGCGACTGCTGCGACGACCTCGGGACGGTAGAACGTACTTTGCAAAATCTCACGTACGAGAGGTACGAGTCATCGGAGTGCACCGTCGAATTGCAGCGAGTGTCGAGGCTCTGGGACTAGAACCCATCTTCGAGGTGCTCAACAAATTAGGCCTGCCGAAGGAGCCGCCGATGCAGGGCAAAGTACCTGCTGTCGACTTACCGAGGATAGCGGGTATAGCGCAAAGGATGTTGGGCCTGAACTTCCTGATTCATTTCTACATCAGCGAGGACATCCGCGACACCACGAGGAATCGGATGATGGTGAGAATATGACTGAACCTTATATATAAATATACGTCGAGTGCCACAATTGTGTCGTGATTTCCGTCGATTGTCTCAATGCCCGACTCAACTTTAAGTCATCAAGGATGCGGTACATAAAAATGCAATTTCTTGATATTGGGTGAGTGCAAAAGTTCGTGCGGAGTTTGTGAGTAAAAGTCACACAGTGATTAGGCAAACAAAAATCTTTATTCAATCAATGATATATTCTCCATCGTTTTCTATAATCTTTTCCCAACGTTCTGGCAGCATACGGATGCCTCGATCATAAAAACTGCGCGATTTAGATTCGAAGAACGAAGAGACGCCGTTTTTTAAGGCCTCCAAAGAGTCAAAGTTTTTTCCATTTAAATAATTTTGCAATGACCGGAACAAGTGATAGTCAGATGGTGCGATATCAGGAGAATACGGTGGATGCGTTAAGACATCCCATTTCAGGCTCTTCAGTTTGCGCAGCGTCTTTTTCGAAACGTGTGGTCTGGCGTTGTCGTGATGAAAGACGACTCCCTTGCGATTTGACAAAATCGGACGTTTCTCTTTTATTTCTCGATTCAGATTGGTTAATTGGCGACAGTACTTGTCCGAATCAATCGTTTCGCCAGCGGGGAGAAGCTCGAAATAGATTATGCCCTTGCAATCCCACCAAACAGAAAGCATCACCTTCATCGGGTGCAAACTGGCCTTTGGCATTGCGTCACCATGCTCACCTGATTGTTTCCATGTCCGTTTGCGCTGAACATTGTTGTAGAGGACCCATTTCTCATCGCCCGTCACTAGTCGATCCAAAAACGACTCGTTATTGAGCCGCCCGAGTAAAGAAACGGCTGCAGAAATTCGCTTGATTTTGTTCTTCTCGGTCAGCAAATGGGGCACCCATATATCGAGCTTCAAATCGAATCCCATCTTTTTTAAACGCCGAAAAGCGGTTGATCGGTCAACGTTTAGTGCTGTAGCAACTTCTTCTGTTGAAATTCGCGGATTATTGAGCACTAAAGTACGCAAAACATCGTCATCAATGTCAGAAGGTCGACCAGAGCGTGGCTCGTCTTCAAGGTTAAATTCTCCGCGCCGAAATTTAGCAAACCATTTTTCCACAGTTCGTTTAGCTGGTGCTTCATCCTGATAAACATCCTGAATGTTTTTTACGGCTGCGGCGACGTTTATTCCCTTCCGAAACTCGTAAAGCATAACATGCCGTAAATGCACCTTATCGATACTCATTTTTAAAGTGATATTTCTCGAAGCAGTTTGTATGAAAACAAATGATTTTTTTTTTAATAACAGCTGAAGACGTCACCTTTCCAACGTTATATAATATGTAGATGGAAGTATTAATGACAACACTTTACGACGCTTATAACTCCATCTATTGAAACTCCGCACGAACTTTTGCACTCACCCAATATATGTATTCATCGGCTCGTTTCACTGTCCCTCTATCGGCTGTCCAGTGCCGTTTGTGCAAGCTATTATTTACGTAACACTACTTTTACGAAATGTTCACGTTCTTTCTCTTAGAGGAAATGTCGAAGCACCGTTGCTTATCAGGCGATCGAAAAAGCGGCGCTCTCCGCGAGCTAAGCTTCGGAATGAATAATAAAGTGACTTTCTTCGGTCAAATTTTCTCAAGTGGACTCCGCTTTAACGGGATTTTGGGACTTAGCTTCAAGCACAAAGTCGTGTCAGATCAAAAATCGGAAAGTCACCATAAATAATGGTGCGTTGCGTCTGCGTTCGCGGTGATACACTAGGAGGGAACGAAGGATCCTCCTTTCAGATGGAGCAAGTATCTCCCGGATTCAGCGAGCGTTATCTGCTGGACCCACGAAGGTTTCACTCGGAATTGACGGAGTACAGGAAGTACATCAAAGCCATGGTCGAGCTTGCAGGGGCTGGTAACATGAGTGCGAATTATGCCAATGAGATCTTGGAGTTCAGTACAAAGATCGCCAAAGTGAGTGGAATCGCGCGCGACTTCTTTCTTCGCCAATTTTTTCGCGAATGCGCTCATGTGCTCATCTCTCAGCATCAGCTTCTAATTCTACATCTTTATATTAAATGTGACCATCGCGAATAATCCCTCGTCCTCGAAATCCCTGATCAGATCATGGCGACACCCGAGGAGCGGCGCAGCTCGGACCACCTAATTCACGACGTGACGATCGAGGAGCTGCAGGAAGTGACCGATCTGCACGTGCAGCAGGTAAGGCAGCATTAAAGCAGCGAGTGTGAAGCGATAATTAAAGGCCCGCGATTAAAACGATTAGAAGTTAACGAATGTTCAGAGCGAAAAATGCCACCTCGCGCGCGATACTCCAAGGGAGTCCACGCTTGAGACTTCACACAAAGTCCCGCGCGATCTCGAAACCTCGAAAACAACGGTTGAGCAACGCGACAGAATGTTAGAATGTCGGCCTGTCCTATATTACGAGACATCAGCTTCATTCCTTCGCTTATGATTTCCCATTGAGCTTAATCACTCGCGCGTTCTCACGCACAGTGCGCGCGAGGACACGGTGGAACTTCTCCGCCGACATGTCGCGAACAATTAGACTTAACAAAGCCGGCCGATTTGCCGGGCTGATCGAGCACGCGCTTGAGAAAAGGAAGGGACCATGTGGGATCGGCGGGGTCGGTCGACGACGAAGAGGCGCGACGTGTGCGGGAAATCGAGACGACCCTCTTCGCCCGGGCGCAGCCGAGCAATTAAACACGCGCGGACGCGCGGTTTCGACGTTTCAGTGGAACTGGACGAGGTATCTGGAGGCCGTGTTCGAGAACACGAATGTCACGCTAAATCCGGCCGAGGACCGAGTTATCATAATGGACCTGCGCTATTTGCAGAAATTGCCGTTGCTGTTGGCCGCCACGCCGCACGCCACGATAGGTAGGTTTCCGTGTGATTTTCGCACCCTCGCCGAATGCCTCGCGCCCTCGAGTGCCACTCGACGCGACAATCGCACTCGCATTCGCACGGATTGCGAGTCGCGACACTTCCCTCGGTGTCTCTATTACGGCACCCTCGACCGGCGCGAGAAAGGGCGACCTGGAGGATCCTTAATACGATTTGCGCAGCCTCCCTCCCCAGCGTTTGCGCGGCCCGCGCGAGCTCGCGCAGATTCTTCGCGCGAAGTTTCCACCGAATCGAATTTCTCTCCCTTCATCCTCGTCCGTCTCTCTCTCTCTCCCTTGCCTCCTGCTCCTGATGGTATTGTCCGATGCGCGATAACGTTATCATGGCATTACGCTCGCGTCGTTCTTATCGCGACTCTAACAATTTTGCGCGCGCGGGTTACGGTTTTATCATTTATTCCTAACGAATTGGGTTAAATTTAGCAGCTTGTTATTTTCGGCGCGAGCGGTTATCGCGGATACTCGCGTGGAATCTCTTTGTGTTTGTATAGTTTCTCGCTCAGATAGACCTACGCACGCGGATGTCACGATTAAATGTGGAAAAACGGGGTCTTCTGGGAAGCAACGGCGTTATTTTCTTTTTTCTTGCTTTTTAGTTTGTGACAGCCATTCCTCGGATAACGGTAACGAATGCAATTGTTACTCTCATCGTCGTTTTGCGCTGGCTTCTACTTGCTTCCATATTTGTTACTCGATTCCGCAAACAGCTTTCGCAATCTCGCATAAACGACACACATCCTGCGTTGGCTCTTATCGACCTGGTTTATTTGTCGATTTTATCCGATCCGAAAGAATCCGTTGTAACTATATTCTCTTTGTATTTCTTGCGAGCTAGACTACTGTGCAGAATGCCGAGCTCAAGCCAACTTGTCGATAACACGGTCACACGCCGATAACAATAAACCGATAATATGGTAAATTAATTCGGAGATCGATATGAGGTCGAAGGTAAAAATAGGCATCGGACGTTTCTGCAAACTGCAGCTCCCCCTTCGACTCGTAGAAAAAAATCCCTTCGCGAAATATCAAAGATGGCCGGAGCTGCATCTTTTAGCGAACAGCATCAATGATTCGCGCGATCGAGCACGCGAGGGAATCCGAGAGCAATAAAAGACCGCGGCCGAGTGAAGTCACGGAGGTCGAAAGCTATCGGGTCCCGTTCGAGGAAGCCGCGCGTAGAGTGCTGCGATTGTTTTGCCGTTTGCGGAATCGAGAAGCGACAACTCGCGATGATAATGCAACGGCGGTAATACCCAGGCTGATTTTTCAGTTCGATTCGTCTGGTGGAACGTGTACTCGACCGTTGCCCCGTTGACGCTGCAAAAGTTCCGCGACCTCGGCTTCCAGTTCTCGCAGAAGGTCTACGGGCTGAAGGAGAAGACGGCACGCTGGAAGGGATGCACCGGCAACGCCAACGCGAACTTCGGCATGGCGCTCAGCTATGTTTACGCGCAGAAACACTTTAACGAACAGGCGCGAGAGAAGGTTGGGGATTAAAGAAAACTTTGTTCATATGCATATAAACAAAAAGAATGAGAGCGAAACTCTGGAAGGTCGATTTCAAACGATTGCATACGATAAATCGTGTCCCGGAGGAAACTGCACTGCAAACTCGAGTGTGTTATTTCGACGCGTATAAGCTGAAACTTCCTTTACGCGTATCTTGTCGTCTTAAATCACGTGGTTTAAACGCGTTAAGTGATATCGAAATGCATCAAAATGCATCAAATGCTTCAGTTTGTACGTGTTGAAATAACACACTCGGGTTTGCAGTGTGTAACATCGGCTTTCGTGGCATCGAATGTGAAACATTGAAAATTCATCACGAGAGTCGCTACAGCGGTTTCGAAATTAAATTTTTTAAAATAAAGGGAAAAATGTAACGTTTATAGCCGAGAATTTTATTCTAAATTTAGTTAACTTAAATAGAAGCAATTTTTTCGTAAAAAGTTACTGTTTTGGAAGAAAGTATATTTTCTCATCCGAAAGGAATTTTTCCTCAGTGCAGACATGCGTATGTATCAATATAAGGAAATACACAGACACAGACAATTTTTTTTATCTTTTAGATATTTGTTCTTTTAGTGAAGGTGTAGAAAAAAGATCGTAATGATGTTCGAACCGATGAAATTCGACCAGACGAGATAATGTAACTTGCGGCAATCGATTATTGACTTTTAAATGTCATCTGTAGGCTCTGGAGATGTTGTTGGATATCAGAGCAGCATTCGACGAGATGGTCGCGGAATTGGACTGGATGGACATCGGCACGAGAGCTCGAGCTCATCGAAAATTACACGCAATGAGGCCGTTTGTAGGATTTCCCGACTGGATCACCAATTCGAAGGAGTTGGACAAGTTTTACGAAGGGGTATGAGAGAATGTTTAGTTTATCTTTCATCTTTGTGCAGAAACAGACTGTGTGAATAGAGTTTATCTTCCTAAGGAACATAGTAAATTTTTTAATAATATACACAATATTTAATAATATATAGAGAAAATTTTAGTTTCTAAAATATAAGCAGCGCATATGAAATGAAAGAATAAGAAATTAAAGTAAAAGATCAATATGTTTCTCGATTACAAAATTCTAATTTCCAAATTCTGGAGAAATCATAGGCTTTTGGAGTAAAATTCTCTCCAAAATTCGTTCGTTCTCCTTTTATAGGCAGAGGTAATCGATGGAAAGTTATTCGCGACTTTTCTGAGACTGACCAACGTGAGTGTAAGAAAAAGTTTAAACAATCTCCGCGAAAAACCCGACAAGAATCGCTGGATATCAACTGGCACGACGGTAAATGCGTTCTATAGCGCCATATTGAATTCAGTCAGTAAGTAATTAATTTCTTACGTTCGGATATATTTGTTTTTCGATGTCGTTGTAACGCAACATTTCACTCCAATTGTTCGAACTGAATCGAAGTTAAAGAAGAAATATTATCCTAGCTTTTCCAGCTGGCATCCTGCATCCACCGTTCTACGGCAACGGATTAGAGTACGTAAATATATAAATATATAAATTCATATTCCGTAGACGAGAAAGAAATAATGTTCTTCGTTTCGTGATGGACGAAGAAAGTAAATGAAAATAGACTAATACATCTTTCGTACTTTATTAAGAAAAGATTACTCAAGCCCGAGACACGAGTTGTCGCAAAAGTGGATAAATAATTATCAACATTGAACACTATTTTGCATTTAATAAATTGTACCTTCTAATTCGGGTCGCAATATAGCGTCAAGGATGCGTTCCCGGACGAATGTGAAAGTCCATAAAAACGAAGCTATAAAAATCCGCCGAGCGACCCGAGTCGCTCTTTATCGGAAGCTGTTAAATTCTAACGTTGCACGTTGCAGATCCATCAATTACGGCGCTATGGGGGCTATTATGGGCCACGAGCTTACACACGGTTTCGACGATCAAGGTGCGTGATCGACGACGCGACACAAGACGCGTTGCGCAACGTCGCTAAAAATTCATCGTCTCCTCCTCCTTGGCGCATAAACGCCCGCATATCTATAATGAATATCTAGAATAATAATGAGTATCCACGCGATCATGTCTTATTATTTTTTCTCTTCTATGTCAGGTCGCAGGTATGACGAGAACGGCAATCTCCGGCAATGGTGGAGCGACGAAACGTTACGACACTATCATGAGAAGGTGCAGTGTATCATCGAGCAATACAGCAACTATCATTTGCCGGAGCTAGGTGATAATTTCACGGTGAGTATTGGTGCGTGGGGGTTCCACCCTCGTGCGGTAGCGCCGAAAAAGCGTGCCAAGGTAGGCACGTGTGCTCAATCGCTCGGCTTGCTAATTTTCAGGTAAACGGCATCAATACCCAGGGCGAAAACATCGCCGACAACGGCGGCATCAGGGAGGCTTACAGGGCGTATCAGAGGCTGATCGCGCGCAGCCCATATCAGCAAGTTCTGCCTGGTCTCGTCGACTACAGCGACGAGCAACTGTTCTTTCTGGGCTTCGCTCAGGTAATGTTTGCGATGTCTAAAGGGCATGGAATAAAAAAAAAGGCAATAAGAAAATTGGTTAATCACAATCGACTAGTTCTGCATCATAAAGGAGAATAATCGTGGTTGATTAATACGCCAAAGAACACAAATTTTTTAACAGCAGATGTTTAATGTTAAGTATTTTAGTTCTTAAGATACAAGTAGCGCATAAGGAACGAAAAGATAAGTAACGAAGGTAGAAGATCGTATTTTCGATATTACCGTTCAAATTTGGGTCTTGATGTGTAATTTGGTAGTACGCAGGTGGAAGAGCTCAATGAGAAAACTTTGATATAACTGGACGCGATAATTCCTTGTCAGACTAATAAAAATGTACTTACAAATGAGATTTATCTACTGTGTAAAACGAGTTTACATTGTCTTATGATACTTTGTTGTCATCACATGAACACTGATCTCTCTTTTAAGGTCTGGTGCGGAAACTATACAAATGGAGCACTGAAGTCCAAGGTGATAGAGGGTGTCCATGCACCGAATCACTTCAGGGTAATAGGCACGCTGTCCAACAACGCGGAGTTCGCGAAGGCGTGGAAGTGCCCTCTCGGTAGTCCCATGAATCCACCGCATAAGTGTATCTTGTGGTAGACATTTGTCGTGTGTAACATCCGTTCATCGCGTCGAAAAGTCGCTATCATTCATGCGATCAGATCCGATTTCTCATATATTCCTACTAAAATATATTCTCCTTAAATATATGTAGCATCGAGATGGCTATTCAATCCTGGTGAACATGCATGTTTCGTAAAATTGAGATCTCGAAATTCGATAGCGAGGACAATTTCCTGAAAAATCACAATACAGAGACAATATCCTGCACGGAGGAAAAAATCAGTTAAATTAATGTGACAACGAACAAACCGAATCTTTTGATCGAAAGAAACAGTATGCCTTAGAATTCAGTTTATCAGCCAGAGATTCTATTTCAGTATTTTGGTCAAATCTATTTCAATATTTTATATTCTGCAAGATTGTTTCTGCACTTGGATTTCATATTATGACTCTTCGGGAAATTACCCCAATTTTTAAATTTTAACACATTTCTCTCAGGACAATGCATCTTCGCCATAATGACCATTCCTGCAATTTTTTTCTCTACGTAGGAATACATGAGAAATCGATTGTGACTGCGATGAGACGACAAGCCGACTGTGTAATTGTCGCGAACTCATCTCCTGTTAATAATCTCTAAACGCGCGACAATTGATGCGGTGATAAATCGACGAAATTGTAAATAGACTGATTCTTAGGAACTAGCGAGTAATTTATTATGCACCTAGACGATACTCGTAGTCTTAAGTTTATCATATGTAAATATATCACATAAAAAAAGAGGTGATACTTTTTATAAAGAGATTGCTCTCTTAATTGATCTTAATTTTTCTAATTTTCTTCATTGTGTGTGTATGTCCTTTCCTTTTATTTTTCGGCACGACCTCTTCTTGAGAAAATATCTTTTTCTTTCTTTTCTTTCTGGGTGGACCATCTTCAGAGAGAGTGTCCATAGTCATTGATAATTTTTCTTTGCGTTTTATGCAACTGGTAGGCAATTGTTCCATTATATTGGTCTTCTTGACCTTCTTCGTTGGAAAAATATCCTCTGAAACAGTATTATCCTTTTGCCGCTTTTTATTAGAAATTTTCGGCTCGTTTGTTTTTAATAGCATCTTCTTCCTCGGTTTATCTATGACATCCTCTTCTTTCTCGAACGATTTGTCCCTCTTTCTTTTCTTCTTTTTTGTAATTACAATCTCTTTCGATTTTGAAGCTTTCTTCTTCAAGTCTTGGACATCATCTTCTAAATTTTCTATAACTCTTTTGTTTTTATGCTTTGTCTTTATTTTAGGACTCGCGATATCTACGACTTCCGTTTCACCTTCGTCCTCGATAATAACTTCCTGTTTTAATCTCAGAGTACTTTCCTTCTTTACTTTCTTTTCCTTCTCTAATTCCTCTTGTTTCGGCTGCACTAAATTCCCATAAGTTAGTGCTAGTGCGAGACAAGTGATTCTGGCGCCGCAATTAACACTTTGCAACATATTCAAGTTATGTTCGCTGTATTTCCAAAGTTTAATCTCTCCGGAACTGGAGGCACTGACCAATAAGTTATTTATGTTTGCAATACATTTTACCCTAATGTCATGTGCTGTCATCTCCAATGTTGGACTCTTAGTTCTGAGATCACAGAATTTGATTTGTCCGTTTTCGAAACCGGCCGCGATCATATTGTCATTTAAGAATTCTACACAAACAATCTTTGACTCGAATGTGAATTCACTGTGCACTCCAGCAGTTTCTACAAAATATACATATATCTCCTGATTAATAGCTAATAGATATTTATCGCCATTTGGATTCCACCGGATAATTGTTATGTTCTTAGCATTGTATTTCATTCTTGGTATTAAATTGATAGCATAGGCTTGTCTGCCCTTAACAAGATTCCAAGTTCTCAGAGCACCATCCATTCCAGTAGACAGAGCCAATTTCCCTGTAGGATGTATAGCTAGAGTATTAACAGCTAAACCTTTGTGTGCTTTCTGCCAATGTTTTTCTATTTGCCAATTACCACAACGGACAGCTGCTATACTTCCATCATTACTACATGTGAAGAGATGTGATGCTTCTGGAGTAAATGCCAAGCAATTAATAGTATCTGCAAAGAAACATTGTAAATAGCATTACATAGTACACAATTTTTGAGAACTAGAATGAACATACAAATTCATCTACACACCATTGTGAAACATCAATTTGCCAGTTTCTTTCCTATTGCGTAGATCATATAGGCATACTATATCATCAGCTCCAGCAGAAGCTAAATAATTTTTACTGCTAGTAACACTGCGTATACTTGCCACATGACTGTGTGTTGCAAAACTTTTCTCCACTTTGTATTCCTAAAGGTAAGAAAAAAGAACAATGAATATAAGTCTATCTATTTTTTCCAAATCATATCTTATCTGATTATTAACTAGATTATTAATTAGATTATTATACTATATTCATTCTAACATTACATTGCGATATTTATAAACTATTGCTAATTTGCAATATGTGATGGAATTTACTTACATTTACAATATTCTGTACTTTGTAACCAAGCAAATATTGCTCATATGTCCCCACAATGATCTCAAAAGGATCAGTCACTCTTGAGTCCATATATGGCATTTTGAACAGTCTTATTCATAAAATTGTAACAATATTCTCCTAATAAAATTTTGACTAGTGTTCTTCACACGTGCGAGAAACGTACAACGTGCGGACCGACTGAACGGCGCGGAAACATCGTCTGCAAAGATCACGAAATATCTAGAACATTCAACAATAACAAAATCAAACTGAGATTATTAAGAAAAAAAAAAAATATATAGACTAAAAATGATTGCTTCTATAATTTGTTGTTGCCGTTAACTTACACTGACTGAAATTTTAAAAGTTCTGTGCCTGTGTTTAATTGTACATTACAACATAAAAAAGAACGGCTGACGAATGGTAGAGTTATATTACTTAGAATATAAATTAGAATAAAAATTAGAATATAAAATTTTTTACTTACTGCTGAATCGAAGAATTCGAAAACTTGAAAAGAACGTCTGAACTACAGTATGAGGATCTTCTAACCTGATATTAGATCATGAGATGTTAGAACAAGAAATCTAACCTATTTTTGAATTTTATATGTGCGAATTTTTACTGAAAATAGTGGAGGCTCGTAGCGGTGAAACTCGTTACTTTTGTTAGTTCCAAAGTCTCCGCTACGAGTCGTTACTGTTGAAGAATCGAGGTCGTAGAACGACTCGATAATACATCAGACAAACTCTTAGAGGCCTTCTACAATAAGCAATTAGTTATAAGCATAAGCAAATTGACCAATTACAATTGACTATTTCAAAAATAATCGACTGTGGTTGGTCAATTTGGTTACAACTACAGCTATGACTAATAGCTTATTATAGAAGGCCCATCACTCTTCAAATAAAACAATACAACAATAACTCAAACAAACCATGTCTTCAAATAATCTTCAACAGCGAAAGTTAAACAATATTTTTAATTTTAATATATTTTAAATAGTACAGCCAAACGACGGATCGAAAAAATTTTTATGTATGTGTGTGTTTATATACAATGGGCCATATTTAGAACACGCTTGTAACAATGGGTGCATTCAGTACTACAATCGCTCACTGAGCGCTAAGTGAGCTCTTGCATCTGATTGGTGTATATTTTTAAATCTAAAGGAATATACCAATCAAATGTAAAAGCTCACTGAGCGCTCAGTGAGAGGTTGTAGTATTGAATGCACCCTATGGCTGCGTTCCGATATTCACTGCCAGCACTGAAAATCTATAGTATACGTGACACAAACTGTGTATTTTCAGTACTGGCAGTGAATTTCGGAACGCAGCCTATGTTAGCGCGCTGTTAACCAATGAAAAGCTATGCAATATGCCTTTGATTAGTTAACAGCGCACTAACATAGTTATAAGCATGTTCTGAATATGGGTCTTAAATAATATAATTCAATAAGATTAAATGATTCATTTTTCAACTGCATGACTGAACAGTGGACTGGATAAACTTTTGTATCTCTTTTATCATAAAATTTTAATTCGTCAGAAACTAATATGGAATTATATTATTAAAAAATTAAAGTCTCAGCACAGAATAGATTTAAAAACGATTTAAATAAAATATAAATATATTTTGATATTGTTTTTATTTTACCTCTTTTTCTTTTAAATGTTACAAGAGTTGCTATTATATCATCAAGATAAATACTTAAGTATTTATAGATTTAAATATTATAGTTAAGGTCTGTTTTTAGCTGAGCTAATGCTGAAATTCATTCCTTTTCTTTTTAATGCAAATTTTTATTTGTTGCACTTTAATGGCAAAAAGTGCAATCTACAGCTCAGATAAAAAAAACAAACTTAACTACAATAATGCAATAACATATATATATATATATATATCAGATTTCTCCCATATAAAGAATATATTAAATTATCTCTGAACTGAGAGATATTGTGTACAATATCAGAGATTGATAATGTACATGTAAATATTTGTGTTAAATGATAAGACAAGTGATATCTGTTTGTACAATCCAAAGTGGCAAAGATGTAAATTGCACAATCAGTAATTCAGTCACCCGCGAACTTCGCTGATCTCGTACAGTTGTCAGTAAAGCAGTTAATTACGAAAATGATAGATGCAAGAATAATTGATATCGATGTGAAGGATATTAGATTCCCAACGTCATTATTGGCCGATGGCAGTGATGCAATGGTATATGTATATACATGAGGCCTGTTCGTTTTGTCTACACTGCTGAACTGGTGCAACAAGTTGAAGTGAGAAAACCTGTTTGTTTCATTTTAACTTAATACACCAGTTCAGCAGTGCAGACAAAACAAACAGACCTATGATTACATAATGCATATAATGAAAATATCTGCCATTTATGTAGCAAAATGCATAGACTATACTTTTGGATATAAAATAATTTATATTGCAATTATTGCAATTGAAAACTTTTTATTTGTTTGACTTCTCTACTTATTGTTTATAAATTTATCCATAGATTATATTTATTCATAGATTATATTCTTGATGTTATTCATTATTTGTAACATTAGCATACTGATCCTGACTACTCTTGCGCCTATGTGACAATAAAAACTGATCAGGGATATGAAGGCTATGGTCTTACATTTACTTTGGGAAGAGGCACTGAAGTTGGTATGCATAATTAAACATTAGCATGAAAACTTATTATTAATACAGAAGTATGTAATGAAAGAAATACATACATATTTATCTTCTTTCATCTTTTCATATCAATAGTAATTTTTATAATTAGTGGTGCAAGCATGTAGATCCATGTTTGGATTGGTAAAGAATCAAACAACGACTCAAATTTATGGTGACTTTGCGTCCTTTTGGAGAAAATTGACGAGCGAATCGCAATTGAGATGGGTAATATGTGAACTAAATTACACGACGCACAAATACTTGATAAAATAACAGTATAATTCTTATATTTCAGATCGGACCTGAGAAAGGTGTGATTCACCTAGCTACAGCAGCTATCATAAACGCATTGTGGGACTTGTGGGCCCGAATCGAGGATAAGCCTGTCTGGAAGCTCCTGACAGACTTAACGCCCGAACAACTCGTTTCCACTGTGGACTTTCGATACATGTGAGCTGAATATTTTTGTACAAAGATACACTTATGCATTTGACAACTTTGGAATATTTCTACCCTTTTCAATGGAAAGTACCGACATGGTAACCAAGGAGGAAGTGATAGATATGCTCAGGAAAAATGAACCGTATAAAAAAGAACGTGAGGAGCTCCTGAGAAGAAATGGATATCCCGCATACACAACTCAAGTGGGATGGTTGGGTTACAGCGATCAGAAAGTCAAAGATCTTTGTGCGAAGTATTTGCGTCTGGGTTTCACGCGCTTCAAAGTGAAAGTGGGTCAGAATTTGGAGGACGACGTCAGGAGATGCCGTTTGGTACGCGAAGTTATAAGCTACGACAACAAATTGATGTTGGACGCGAATCAAATCTGGGATGTGAACGTGGCGATTGAATGGATGGACAGGCTAACGGAATTCAAGCCTTTCTGGATAGAAGAGCCAACATCGCCTGATGATATCTTGGGACACGCCATGATAGCTGCCGCCTTACGACCGCACGGTATCGCGGTTGCCACCGGTGAGATGTGCGCGAATCGCGTCCTGTTTAAGCAACTGCTGCAAATGCGAGCGATCAACATCTGTCAGATTGATTCGGCGAGGATCGGAGGAATCAATGAAATTTTATCTGTATATTTTATGGCAGAAAAGACTAAAAGTAAGTTTAACAACCACTAACAATTCTCTCGCTAGTCTTTAGATTTTAATATTTCGGATTGATTAACTCACGTGAATTTAATTTTCACTTATTATGAAAAAAAACTTCACAGAGACTTTTTTTCGTTTACAGCACCAGTTTGGCCACATGCTGGTGGAGTGGGCCTTTGTGAGATGGTACAGCATCTTCAAATGTGGGCTTACATTTGCCTATCTTCGTGCGTCGAGGATTGTGCGATAGAGTTTGTAGATCAACAGCATGAACACTTTGTGGATCCTGTACTTGTTGAAAATGCCTCTTATAAACTGCCTACACTTCCCGGATATTCAACCAAGCTTAAAGATGATTGTATTTTAAACTATACTTATCCAGAGGGTAAAGAATGGAAATGATAGAACTAAGGATTTTTTAAAAAATTATCAAAATAAAGTAGATATCTTATAGATTAACACATATAAATATATAATTTGTACTGTATATATAAAATGAATATACCAACAAGTTGGAAAACAATGAAAATAAAAATAATATTTATAGAAAATATTTTATATATCTAATTTTTGATAAATTCTATAAATATTTTTACTCTCACCATTATATCAAATGCTTCATGTCGCAGATTGGATGAAACTGCCATCTTTGTTATTAAAAGAGAAATAAATTAAATAACCATTATTTATAATCTTCTAGGCGAGATTTCACATAGTCCGTCTATACACAAAAGAAATAATATAAACAAGACTATAAAATTCACAGTTAGAAAAGTAGGCTTTTTCTGATACTTACACCTACAAACCAGTAAGAATTAGGATTAAACATTATCTTTTTCATAATATTCATTTGCTCTACTGGAGAAATAACATGTAGATGCAAATGATCAACAGTATTAAATGGTGGCCAGTGGAATCCTGTTCGAGTAGATGCAGGATCTAGTCCCATTTTTTCTGAGACTACATTTACTGTAGCAACAATTTTATCAACTAAAATTTAATTTAACATTGAGGAAATATAATAATATTGGTTATAGAATTTTTGTAACATTAATTGTATTAAATACTTTTCCCATACATTTAGATGGAAATTAGCATTAACATATTCAAAAATTTAATATACTTACAAAGTTCAGAATCTTCTGGCTTTAGTACTTTTGCATTACGAATATGTTTGTTTGGAATTATTAAATAATGATGTGTTGATGCTGGCTTAATGTCTTTAATGCATGTGACATCATCGTCCTACAGCAATAAGAAACAAACGTGAACAATAGAAATTACTAATTACTTATTTGACATTTCCCCGTAATCTCTTTGCTGAACTGTCAATAATTTGTTTGAATTTAACCTTTCATACCTCGTAAATTTTCTCACCAGGTTCTTCATTTCGAATAATTTTGCAGAAAATGCAATTTACCACTTCTGTGGTCATTGATGTTTACAATATTACAACAACTAATATTAATCACAATTTCTTTCAAAGCCAAATCTGTTATTTAAACTATTAAAATATCTCTAAAACGCATCATCACAACTCCATAATGAACACTGTCGCCAACTGCCACCGACAGAATGGCCGCGTTCAGTAGAACAAAGTGATCAGAGAGCGCTTAGTGATTATTGTCTGTGATTGGAGCATTCTTTTAGATTCTTCATAGATCCAGAAGTATTTACCAATCAGGAGCGAGATTCAGTGGAAAATCTAGTAATGTTGCCCAACTGTTGAGTCTGCTGAATGCAACCAATTAGTTTTCTTCATTGCCCTCCTCAGGACAGAAATGAAGGACTCTGATTGGTTGATTCTCTTATGCGTTGTGTATTATGCATTATGCAGAAGTCTGTGCTCTGGCCCTAAACATACACTTTGGTTGGTTGGTTGGTTCTATTTCTGGCTCCGGAATGTATTGCAACAGTATCCACACACCATTTTCCAGAAACATACACTTTAAAACAGAGAGAAACTTGAAAGCGGCCAACATGGTCTTTTCGGTGACATCGACTTTCCGCTCTGGGAAAGGACGCTATTTGCATCTATTTTGAGAGGGGAACTACGATGTTACATCCACTTTCAGGTCTCGGCGATAAAACCTGTATATGGTGGCAGTCCGTGCTACATCAACTTTCAGGCGGTTTATGTCCGTGCTACAACCATAATAGCGTACTTAACAAGCACGGTCTCGCACATTGTTGTGCATTTGTAACATGAATGAACATGTTACATGCGTAAAAGAAAAGAAGAATTGAGATTGTGTATGATTAATATCATAAAGATTATATCATAAAGATTATATACGATATATATCGTATAAATATAGGGTGTCCGGTAATTAGCTGCGAACCCGAAGTGTGAAGGTAGATTGGGTTAAGACAAACATAAAACCCATACCCAAAGTCCCATACCATTTTTTTTACCAAGATTTACAATAATTATTGAGTGATTAATTACAGAAATCTGACGAATGAGCGCGCCCTAAGACGAATAGGAGAAGCGTCGTAACAGAGAGAAGAACATCATTAACAAGGATGTAGATGTGGATATGAATGTGGATGCAGGTGCGGATGAGGGTGTGGATGTGGATCTCAATTCTTCTTTTCTTTTGCGCATGTTAACATGTTAATTCATGTTACAAATGCATAATAATGTGCGAGACCGTGCTTGTCAAGTATGCTGTTATGGTTATAGCACGGACATAAACCGCCTGAAAGTTGATGTAGTACGGACTGCCACTACATGCAGGTTTTATCGCCGAAATTTGAAAATGGATGTAACATCGTAGTTTCCTTCTCAAAATGGATACAGATGGCGCCCTTTCCCCGTGCGGAAAGACGGTGTCGCCGAAAACACCGTGTTGGCCGCTCTCAGGTTCCCACAGGTTCCTCTCTGCTCTTTAAAAAGATAAGGGAAATTTTCTGCACTAGTGCAAAAAGTTCAATAGAAAAGAACAAGCTTAAACTTTGTTTTTGTCATAATATTCTAATTCTTATGCAAATTAAAAGCCCAATTTTATGCCGAATCCAATATTAAATATATATATTAAAAATATAATATACGTATTAACAACAAAAGAATATTATGAATTAACTAACCTCAATTATCTAATATTCTAGCGTTTGATAACAGTATTCGAAATTTTTTGTTCGCCTTTGGCGGTTGGATGTGGTTGCGCAGATTTTTTGATTTGATTGGGATTGCGTACGTGTTATCCCTGCTTTCTTTATCTCTATTACTTTTACAACGGGAAAATGGCGTGTAGGAACTATAGCCTTATAGTCCGGAGCCAAATATAGGACCAACCAACCAACCAACCAATAACAGTATTCGAGATCATTATCATTATTCGGAAAGAAGTGAAAAGGATAATATTAAACAAATTTATTTTTATCGTACGATTGCATTATCAAGTACAATCATATATGTAATGTTTCAGCATAAACATGTCAAATTTTGGTAACAAATATAAATGTTGTTTATGTGGCAATTTAATACATGTTTATTTACATATATTTGATAGAAACATTTTTATATAAATGTAAATTTTCAATTGATGTCAATTGTTAATTCTTTAGTAATAATTGTAATCTGACTGCTATTTATTTGCGTGTATATTATATCTTATAAAAATTAACATTTTATCAAAATGCAACTACAAGAAGGGCTTGCATCAAAATATATATATATCACATGTGTAATTACAGCTTATTGGTAAGTTACCAAATGATATTAAACATATATATGTATTGTATTTGCTTTATCAAACATATATATGTATTGTATTTGCTTTACCAATGATTAAATTTATATATCATATATAAATATATGAAATAAGAGATATAATTTACAATATATAATATCTTGGGACATTATGTTGCATATAATCAAATGAAATATGAATTTAAAATATCTTTCAGGATAGTATCCATTTCAACTGTATTTGTGAATAAGGCACTTCTATCTAGTGAAACTATGAATTTGGATGCTCCACTTTTCGTAACTTGGTTTCAATGTATAGTAAGCGTAATTATTTGCGCTACTTTACATAAATTATCACAATGTTTTCCAAAACATATAAAAATTGCAAATGGTAGTCCATTTAACATAGACACCTTCAAAAAGGTATGATTTTTTTACAGATACTTTTAACTGTTTAGGTTTTTTTTAATTGTTAGTTACTAAAAAGAAAATTCATTCAATCTCAAGAGCTTTGCATTAAACGATTTTCATATGCAGTTAGTAATTAATTTGACAAAATATTTAATATTGAAAAATAAAAGGTAAAATTTAGTGCATTTGTAAGAAAAAAATTTTCAAGTAAAAGTAGAAGTAGAAGAATCAAGAAGTCATGTAGAAGTAGAGAATATGGTCTTAACTTTAGGAGTTATTTTCTTTTAGGCAAGATTATATAACATGTTTATATAGATATTCCAACTTCTTATAGGTATTGCCATTGTCAATCTTGTTTGCTGGAATGATAGCAACTAATAACTTGTGTTTAAAATATGTTGATGTTGCTTTTTATTATATAGGTCGTTCATTGACGACTATATTTAATGTCGTGTTTACTTATCTTTTACTCGGTAAGAGATATTTTATGGAAGCAAATTTAGCTATATGAATTAATGAGAAATTATCTAGAGGTATTAATTGATGAAACACTTACAGGAGAAAAGACTTCTTTCAAATGTATAATATGCTGTGCAACGATTATCAGTGGATTCTGGTTAGGGGTAGATCAGGAGCAAGTGGCAGGTTCTCTGTCTGTTATCGGAACGTTTTTCGGCATAGCTGGATCATTACTGTTGGCCTTATATACCATCCATATGAAATGGACGCTTCCAGATGTAGATCAAGATGTCTTCTTGCTTTCCTATTGTAATAATATGTACAGTATTGTTATTTTTATCCCATTAATGTTAATTAACGGTGAACATATCACTGTATTTAATTACGAAAAACTTTGGCACCCCTTTTTCTGGTGTGCTATAACAATTGGCGGTTTATTCGGATTTGCCATTGGATATTTCACCACACTTCAAGTGAAAGCTACATCGCCTTTGACGCATAACATTAGCGGTACTGCGAAAGCGTGTGCTCAAACAATCTTAGCAACATATTGGTTTAACGAATCGAAGACATTCCTTTGGTGGATGAGCAATATCATCGTCCTTACTGCCAGCGCGTATTATGCGAGGATTAGACAATTGGATCTTAGTAAACAGTACAAACTACAAACACAACAGCTTAAGGTGTAATAATAATGATAATGAAAAATATGATTTAAAATTTTAATATATTCTTAAAATGTTACTTTTTATAAAATTTTTTTATATATAAATTATTCCTATAGGCATTTCATATTCAAATTCGGATAAATTGGAAGGGTTCAGATTTTAAAAATATTCGCACATGTACACGTTCCTTTCCATTTTGTAATAATTATGTATATGTGTGTGTACATGAGCACGTACGTGCGCGCGCTCGCGGTAAGACAGTATAATTTAAAAGATTATAGATAAAATGTATATGTTTAAAATATATATAAAATATACATAAAATATAAAGTTTACAATATTTACCATCCAACTTTCTGTCAACAAATTTCCTGTTTACGATTATACAAGCTGAACAATCGTCTAACGTACGTGCAAAGCTTGTAGAAAGTATGTTTCTACATAGCTGAGATTATCTTCTAATATCACAGTATTACAGTCTCCAATCAAGATCCATCAAGATCCATCATCGGATCCTATATGTTCACCGATAAATCGTCCATATGTATTTAGAATCGCGACGAAATGCCATTTCCACGACTATCAGAATGACTTGACAGCGCGTCCTTCCTCTTGATAATCGCATTTACACTCTTAATGAGTGAATTGTCGTCAGTAGGCAATGACGATATCATTGGCTGTAATCGAATCCGCAATGCGGTCTCCATCGAGTGTCTTTGATTATTTTCGATCACCATGCCGTCGGAAACGTAGTAGTATCTACACAGATGAAATAAGCATGATTATATCTTTCATTTTTTGTTTATTTGAAATTGTCAGATTCTTCCTGTTGTACCTGGGATATTCTATTGCGGCGGAAACATTCAGGACACGCACGACAAGATTATACAGAATCTGCCCGTTGAGAAAGGCATCGTCCGAACCGAATACACCACGTAATCCGCATCTTTCTTTCTCATGATGGAAAATGATAGGGATGAAAATAGATAGATCATTATCATCGACGTTCTTGTCCAACAAAAATCCGGCAGCGGTCATATTTCTGAGCCCTAAAGGCGAACCTAAACCGCTATATGATTTGTTATATTAATATGATGCTAATATTGTTATTCAACGTATGAAAGTTAATTTAATTGATTTGTGCTACTAACGATAAGACGCAGACGTATATATCTTGCCAATCCATCGCCATAACTCCGGTATATGTTTCTTTTTTGACTGAAAAAATTATAGTCATCTAACTTGAAAAAAGAAACTGAAGAACTTTATAAGAGTTTATAATTATTAAATTATATTTATAGCTGTTATCTAATATAGAATTATCAAATATCTATCAATGATATTGATGATTAACAAAAATGGCTTATGTAACTTACCATGTTGAGTATTTTGTGAAAACAGCAAATGCAAATGTGTCAATGTTTGAGCAATAAGAGCTTGAGAGTCTATTGTGGATGCATTTTCCGCAAAAATCGGAAGGTTTTCCAACGTTTCAATTACTGATTGCATAAAGCTCGCATGAGATGAATAATAAACAATAGATTCCCATGCAGAATATCATCGTGTAGAATATCGTCGTGCAGAATCTTGTATGACAAAGTACCATTGTATAATTCTGCAAAGAAACGTGATAAAGCTTCAATAATACTGACAACTACTGTAGAATGGTGTGAATTATCTATAATCGGATGAAATTGTTATGCTACAAATGCAATGCTACATACAATATAATACACAAATTTATACCTTTTGTACCATACTCTGCTATAATATCCAATGTGCTCGCAAGTTCCTGTAATGATAATGTATCACCTGGATTTAAAGGACCATAGAGTGCTCCATAATCAGTGTTTTTCAAGACTTCATCCACAAAATCTTTGGATACCACAAATCCTTCTCGGGCTAAATTGGCGGAAGGTTTTACAATATCGCGCCAAGGTAAAATGCCATATGATCTTTGAGCAAGTTCTAATCCTCGTAGCAGAGCTGGCAAACGGATTCCAGCTTTCGCAAAGATGCCTGTTGCATTGGAAAATAATATATAATATATAATATATTTCCCATATTACATTTCATGTAACAAAATAATATACAAACCTCCGGTTGTATTACTTGCAAAATCGATAATAATTGGATAACTCTGGTTTTTAAAGTTATGTATCATTATATAACCACCCCTGAAAACAACGTAGAAATCAACAATAACAATGACAGAAAGAAAGACAATATCTTACCCGCCAAGACCAGTTTTATGAGGCGCTACTACAGTCATGCAGATAGTTGCTGCTACTGCAGCATCTACTGCGTTACCTAGTCTTCTCAGTATCCTGGTACCAATTTGAGAGCAATTTGAATAATCAGTAGCAACTGCTCCATGGATACCATGAAGTCTACTCTAAGATGTAATAAAATTATTATAGGAATATTTTATTATATTTATTTTTCATCTCCTATTTTTCCTTATTTTTTTCTTTCTATTTACCTGTGGTATGTCCTCAGTATAAAGAATTTGCAACACTAGCATAGTAGTAATGCCGATAGTTAATGCAGCAAAACAAACAATAATCAACTGTAATCCATTGCCACAGCAATTATATAATTTGTACTTGTAATTTTTCTCCTTGGTTAAAGGACATTCTTCTGTAAGATCTGCAAATTATTGTGTTAATTTGTAAATTTTCTTTCTTTTTTTTTTATTATATTTTCTACCATATGTGTATCCAGTGTGCAATGCTTATATGGAAAACTGTTAATACTTAAGAGTTTTGACAGTGACATTTTTCTGATAATTAGAAGATTCTTGTTGCATGTGCAAGTGTATATCAATGGAAAATATAGTAAAAGATAACAGAAAATCTTCATACACTTACGTATATTATAATTCATTTTTAACCTATTTCTTCGACTCTCTTCTAGTGTCGATCAGCTGAACCCCCATAAGTCTAATTTCTCCTTTGACGTTTCTCTCCCACTAGTCTCTATTCTTGCGGTAGTGAGGTTATAAACACATCATTTAAACGAAATAAATAGTAGGTATTGTTTTCAAGCAGTATAATTCAAAGGCAGTTAAAGAGTCATTCCATTTTCAAATAATTGTCTTATATAGTGTGCAATATTCGTAGTTTATATGTTACACATTATAATTATTTATTTTCTATTATAGAAAATATAAAATATATGTACGCACGACGCAATGGAAGTAGATTTACATCTATTTGAAAAGAAGAGAATTAAAAAAATAGACAGATATCTACATAAATAATAAAAAAAATAATTTCTGTTTAAAAAGAGAAAAGAGGGACAGAAATCTATTAAAGAATAGGAAAAGTAAAGAAACGAACAGAGAGAAAGAAAGAAAAAAAGACTGAAATCACTGTTACTTGTTTTACAATTGTATTTCTTTTATTATTGTATTTATATATTTATATTAACACAGTAATTTATGTTAAACAATAAACATAATGACTACTGACATAGTAGCCATGTTAAAGGAACCGCAAATGACGAAAATATGCGCTCCAATGGTTAGATATAGCAAGTAAGTTAAAATAATATTTTTTTAATCTGACATCTCATATAAAATATTTATTTTATCTCTGCTGTTAATAGGTTACAATTCAGAACACTTGTAAGACGTTATGCATGTGATATATGTTTTACACCTATGATCATGGCAAATTCATTTGTACAATCTTCAAAAGCTAGAGAAAATGAATTTACTACATATAAAGAAGACAAACCATTAATTGTTCAATTTGCAGCCAATACTGTAAATGATTTCATTAGTGCTACAGAAATGATTGCACCGTAAGTATTATAAATCTGTTACAAATAATTTATGTACTGGAGTTTATATATATAATTTTATTAATTTTTAAAATTTAAAATATTTGTTTGTATATTAATCATTTATTTCATAATCAATAGATACAGCAATGGTGTAGATTTGAATTGTGGCTGTCCTCAACGTTGGGCAATAAAAGATGGATATGGAGCTGATTTATTAAGGAAACCAGAATTAGTAAGCGATTTAATATATCAAGTCAGAAATCGTATTCCAAAACCATTCACTGTATCTGTAAAAATACGATTGTTAAAAGACATATGCAAAACAATAATGTTATGTCAAACTTTGGAAAAAGCTGGTGCTTCATTTTTAACAATCCATGCAAGGACTCCTGAGATGCGTAATGAACCAATCGAATTAGACAATCTTAAGCTTCTTAGAGATTGTGTACAGTTGCCATTTATCGCAAATGGTGATGTAAAAGATTTAGAAAGTGCAGAAGTTTTATTCAGAGAATCAAGATGTGAAGGGGTAATGTCTGCTAGAGGCATTCTAACTAATCCAGCGTTATTTTCGGGACATTCCACTACCCCACTTATTTGTATTCAAGATTGGTTGGATATTGCATCAACCATACCAACTGAGTTTCAATGTTTCCATCATCATCTAGTATTCATGTTGGAAAAAGTTCTACCAAAAAAAGATCGTGTACTATTTAATAACTTACAAAACAAGTTATCTGTGTTAGATTTTTTAGAAAATTATTATAATATAAGACCAAATATGTCATTTGATTCAATAGAGTTAACTAAGTGTACCTTTAATACATCATACGTACAGCAAAAAGAGAAGTATATTCATTTCTGGGAAGATGATACATCCAGTGATTTTTTAGGAAATATATTTGATATAGAATCATAAAAAGGTAGTGTTTTATTCTCACAAATATTGAAATTATACGAACACTATCTTTTTTGTAAAACTTTTATAACTTTATAGAAAAAAGTCAGATGTCTCGTAATCATTGTATTGAGTTAAATCTCATTATGGTTATTAAATTAAAGATGTAAATTTTATAATGTTTTGTATAAATTCAATAAAACATTACGATAAGTCAAAAATTGTTCTGTCTGTATAGAAATACAAAACTCGATGTTAAACAGCGAAAATATAGGCATTAAATAATAAAATATTATTTCTGTGTTTAAATATAGATATTTTCGGCATCTAGTTCATGCCAGAGACCATACCACCGTACTTTGAGTCCATATTTTTTCGAAGGACTTTTTAATTAATGCATACTAGTGCAATAAGTTAGGAGAGAAAATACTTTTCTATAATTACTACATGGGCTGAAAAGTCTTTGGCTTAACAATGAAAAAACGATTTTTTTAATGAAAAAAGTGTTTTATTCCTCGACATAATCTCCATTTAGAGTAATGCACTTAGTGTAACGGTCCGCTAACATTTCGATGCCGGTCTTATAGTGCTCGGTGTCAAGTCCCTCAAAATAGGCATTTGTTTCCAACTTGACCTCCTCTTTCGAGTAAAATCTTTTACTAGCGAGCCACTGCTTCAGTCGGGGAAAAAGGAAATAGTCGCTGGGGGCCAGGTCTGGAGAATACGGGGGATGCGGGACCAATTCATAGCGCAATTTCTTTAATTTATCGGTCGTATCGCGAGCCGAGTGAGCTGGAGCATTGTCTTGGTGAAACAAAATTTTTTTCTTTGCCAAATGTGGCCGTTTGACCTTGACCTCGTCGTCCAATCGATCCAGTAATGTACAGTAATATTTTTTATTGATAGTTTTACCATGTTCAAGATAATCAATGAATATTATGTTATGCGCATCCCAAAAAATACTGGCCAAAACCTTGCCGGCTGATTGTTGTATCTTCGGGCGCTTCGGACGGCTTTCACCAGGCAATAACCACTCCGCTGATTGCCAATTGGACTCCGGTGTGTAGTAATGGATCCATGTTTCATCCATTGTGACAAATCGACGCAAAAACTCCTTCTTATTGCGGTTAAATAGGGCCAGATTTTGCTTTGAAAGTCGAACACGTTCCGCTTTTTGCTCAATTGTCAAAAAACGCGGCACCCAACGCGCGCAAAGCTTTTTCATGTGTAAATATTCATGAATGATATGACCAACGCGTTCCTTTGAGATGCCTATGATGTTAGCTAGCTCACTCAATTTCATTTTGCGGTCATTCAACACGATTTTACTGATTTTCTGGATGTTTTCTGGAGTAACTGCCTCATTTGGCCTTCCTGAACGTGGTGCATCATTTGTGCTCGTACGGTTACGACGAAACTCAGCAAACCAATATTTGATGGTTGAATTCGGTGGGGCAGATGTGCTGTAACATTTATCAAGCCATGCCTTTGCTTTAACAGTGTTTTTTCCCATCAGGAAGCAATGTTTAATCAAAACACGAAATTCACTTTTTTCCATAGTAAAGATAAATTCAGAGGTAACGTCACTTGGAAAGCTATAACTTGTACACGAGTCAACGAAATATCATGAAATTTTTACAGCATCTAAGTTAAGGTTGGTATTCTATAGGAAATATAAGGATTTTTTATTTGTGGCGCCATCTATATGTCAGGCCAAAGACTTTTCAGCCCATGTAGTATCTTGCTTTTAAATATTCCAATTTAAATATTAGCGCGCTGCTATTATCAAGAACATGGTGAAATGTCTAGTAACTTTGGATGCAAAGGGCAAGAGCACAGGTTTTTGCATAACGCATAATACATAACGCATAAGAGAATAAACCAATTAGTTTTCTTCATTTCCCTCCTCAGGATAGAAATGAAGAACTCTGATTGGTTGATTCTCTTATGCGTTGTGTATTATGCGTTATGCAGAAGTCTGTGCTCTGGCCCTAAAGGCCATTGCACGTAAAAAAATTTTAGTCGTAACCGTAAGACCGTAAGCAAATTGACCAATCACAGTCCAGCATTTCGAAATATGCGAATTGTGATTGGTCAATTTGCTTACGGACTTACGGTTACGACTAAAACTTTTGTACGTGCAATGGCTTTTACTCTTACAGCTATTGTAGACGAGCCTTTAAGGATATGGTTACATGGAGTTAGAAATAGCAGAACGAAAGGAAAGCAGAAAAGGCAAATGGTAGGGATTAAAGCCAGCGGCACACGGTGCTTATTTTCGTGCTGGAGTGCTTGCTGGATGAAAATACTGCGTTGTGATTGGTATATTTTCGAAGATGGATGAAAATGCACCAATCAGAACGCAGTATTTTCATCCAGCAAGCAATTCAGCACGAAAACAAGCATCGTGTGCCGCTGGCTTAACCAATGAGAGCAATTCTGTTCCGCTATTTTACAGTAAAACAACGGAACGAGATTGTTCTGATTGGTTAACCTCCGTTTTTTCCGTTTCTTTTCCGTTCCTCTATTTCGAACTCAATGTAACTATCCTTAGGGCCAGAGCACAGACTTCTGCATAACGCATAATACACAACGCATAAGAGAATCAACCAATCAGAGTTGTTCATTTCTGTCCTGAGGAGGGAAATGAAGAAGACTAATTGGTTTATTCTCTTATGTATTATGTATTATGTGTTATGCAAAAGCCTGTGCTCTTGCCCTTCCTCTTCAGTTTAGTGTTGAGACTCATGTTAGTAAGATCTTCACATCGGTTTTTATGATATAAGATTTTAAATTTTATATCATGTATACTCTTGAAGATGGTAAGTATATTAGAATGATATGTATATATAAAATTTATATTAAAAGGCATAATAAAAGAGAAATATAGAGATTGATTGCTTTTTTTGATCACTTTATAATCGGTCATTTAATCTAGAGCTGATGATACCTGGGTACCCGGATATTATCCGTATTATCCATATTACTCGTATTATCCGTATTACTCGAGTGTCTATGTAATAAAAGATTGTCAGAAGAAATCATACAATTGGACTCAGAGAATAGATAAATGTAGGTTATATCTGATTATGATATTAAATTAACGTATGTCATTGAGACTGTCAGAAGTTTGACATGAAGTAGGCAGATAATTTAAACAAACACGAATAATAAAAGTACAGGTAATACAAGTGGGTACCCGGGTATTTTCAACATATTTCAGATAATGAGCGGGTATTCTGGTACCCGGGTAATTTATTACCTGGTCCAAATCATCAGCTCTAACTTAATCCACATGCTACTACTCATGTACTGCATACTGCTACATTTATTCATGAAAACTATATATATATACACATATATACATTTATATTAAAAGACGTAATAAGAGAGAGAAAGAGAGAGATATAGAGATTGATTATTTTTTGGGTTTCTTTGTAATTGGTCATTTAATCCACATGTAACTACTCATGTACCACATACTACTACATCTTTACTTAAGAAAAATATTTTATACTAGATCAATATGATGATGAAGACGCGGAGGAAATTTCGTCGAAACTTTGGCAAGAAGCCTGCTGGATTGTTATTAACGCGTATTTTGATGAGAAAGGTCTTGTACGCCAACAATTGGATAGTTTTGATGAATTTATCGAAATGTCTGTTCAACGTATCGTAGAAGACTCACCACAAATTGACTTACAAGCTGAGGCACAACATACCACAGGCGAGATCGAAAATCCGGTGAGACATTTGTTGAAATTTGAACAGATTTATTTATCTAAACCTACCCATTGGGAGAAAGATGGCGCACCATCTCCTATGATGCCTAATGAGGCCAGACTTAGGAATCTGACATATTCAGCCCCATTGTATGTAGACATTACCAAAACAATCATGAAGGATGGTGAGGAACCCATAGAAACACAACATCAAAAAACATTTATTGGGAAAATACCGATTATGTTAAGATCAAAGTACTGTCTGTTGGCTGGCTTATCCGATCGTGATTTAACAGAATTGAATGAGTGTCCTTTAGATCCAGGTGGATATTTCATTATAAATGGCTCAGAGAAGGTTCTTATAGCACAAGAGAAAATGGCTACAAACACGGTCTATGTGTTTAGCATGAAAGATGGGAAATATGCGTACAAGGCAGAAATCAGATCGTGTTTAGAACACAGCTCACGCCCTACGTCAACTTTATGGATTAATATGATGGCCAAAAGTGGAGCTAGTATTAAAAAGTCTGCCATAGGTCAACGTATTGTCGCCATTATACCATACGTAAAACAAGAGATTCCTATCATGGTCGTTTTCCGTGCTCTCGGATTCGTCGCAGATCGCGACATCTTGGAACACATCATATACGACTTCGACGACCCCGAGATGATGGAAATGGTGAAACCGTCCTTGGACGAAGCTTTCGTTATACAGGAGCAGAATGTTGCTCTGAATTTCATTGGTACAAGAGGTGCCCGGGCTGGTGTGACCAAGGAAAAGCGTATCAAATACGCCAGGGAGATCTTGCAGAAAGAAATGTTGCCACACGTTGGCATAAGCGACTTCTGTGAAACTAAGAAAGCCTATTTCCTCGGCTACATGGTGCACAGATTACTATCGGCGTCCTTAGGACGAAGGGAATTAGACGATAGGGATCATTACGGCAACAAACGATTGGACTTGGCTGGACCTTTGCTAGCGTTCCTTTTCCGCGCTCTCTTTAAGAACTTGATGAAGGAGGTACGTTTGTACGCGCAGAAGTTTATCGACAGAGGCAAGGACTTCAATCTAGAATTGGCTATCAAGACAAAAATCATCACCGACGGTTTGAGATACTCGCTCGCCACCGGCAACTGGGGTGATCAAAAGAAGGCGCATCAGGCGAGAGCAGGTGTGTCGCAGGTATTGAACAGGCTGACTTTCGCGTCAACGTTGTCGCATCTTAGACGAGTGAACTCCCCAATTGGCAGAGACGGCAAATTAGCCAAGCCCCGTCAATTGCACAACACCTTATGGGGTATGCTCTGCCCCGCGGAAACTCCCGAGGGTGCTGCTGTAGGACTAGTGAAAAACTTGGCCCTGATGGCTTACATCAGCGTCGGCTCGCAGCCTTCGCCGATCCTCGAGTTCTTGGAGGAGTGGTCGATGGAGAATCTCGAGGAGATCGCGCCTAGCGCGATCGCCGACGCTACGAAGATATTCGTGAACGGATGCTGGGTCGGCATCCACAGAGATCCGGACCAACTGATGGCTACTTTGCGCAAGTTGAGACGGCAGATGGACATCATTGTGTCAGAAGTGTCGATGATCCGCGACATCAGGGACCGTGAGATAAGAATATACACGGACGCGGGTAGGATCAGTAGGCCTTTGCTCATAGTGGAGGGACAGAATTTGCTGTTAAAGAAGAGGCACATCGACATGCTGAAGGAAAGGGACTATAACAACGACGGGTAAGCATCTGCTTGTTCTTTTAACTAGTCAAAACTAGTCACTTGAAGATGTATTAACGTCAACTTATTAGCTTTTTCTTACACAAGTTGAAATAACTCAACGATATTAAAATTATAACATAGATATTGCCTTGCACAATCAGCTTTTAACTTTCTACAAATTGATTTAATTTTAACTTATAATTAAGATAGCTTTCACTTAAGCAACTTTTGACTTAACCAAGTGAACTTTATAAACTTAACTTAACTCTTTAAGCTGAATTTGGATAAAAATATATTATATGTTTTCAATTTATCCAACCTCCTCTGATTACAGGTGGCAGGAATTAGTAGGTAGTGGAGTAGTGGAATACATAGACACTCTGGAAGAAGAGACCGTCATGATCGCCATGTCACCTGATGATCTCCGGCAAGAGAAAGAGTACGCCTATTGTACGACATACACACATTGCGAGATTCATCCGGCGATGATCCTGGGTGTCTGCGCTTCCATCATACCTTTCCCCGATCACAATCAGAGTCCTAGAAATACTTATCAGGTAGATGCACGATTTCGGCTAATTGCTTCTCTTAGAATCTTTTTTTATGTTTCCCTCTGATCTCTCACGTCACTCATGGAATTGATTTTTCAGAGCGCTATGGGTAAACAAGCTATGGGCGTGTATATCACGAATTTCCACGTGCGTATGGACACTTTAGCTCACGTGCTGTATTATCCTCACAAACCGTTGGTCACCACAAGATCCATGGAGTATCTTAGATTCCGCGAGCTACCAGCGGGTATCAATAGCATCGTTGCGATCTTGTGTTATACAGGATATAATCAGGAGGATAGCGTCATTTTGAACGCCAGCGCCGTCGAGAGAGGCTTTTTCAGATCAGTATTTTACCGCTCTTACAAGGAGGCCGAGTCGAAGAAGATCGGCGACCAAGAAGAGCAATTTGAGAAACCGTCGCGCTTAACTTGCCAAGGGATGCGCAATGCCATATATGATAAGTTGGACGACGATGGAATAATTGCGCCTGGAATTCGAGTATCCGGCGACGACGTGATTATAGGCAAAACAATCACTTTGCCAGAAACGGACGACGAAGTGAATATTGTTCTTGAACATATTACATTATTCAAGTCATTGAACATTGGATCGTGTAGCAAGCTGGAATGAGAGAAAGAGAGCACTAATATGACTTTGATGCTTCAATAACTTTGAAGTGAGAGAGATAGTAAAGAATATCGCTGTTTTCGTCTTTTACGTCTAAGTAAAAAGATAAGACTAGCATATTAATGAAATGAAGAGAACGATAGTCTTCGTCTTACGAGCTAGTATGATTTTTACTGGATTATTGCTTTCTTTTACTCGTTTCAGTTATATATGCTCAATGATTTGTTAGCGAATAGCTATGGCAGTTCTATAATTCTTCGTTTTCTCATACGTTTTCAGCTGGACAGCACGACGAAACGTTTCACAAAGCGCGATGCATCGACATTTTTGCGAAATAGTGAAACTGGTATAGTTGATCAGGTAATGCTAACATTGAATAGCGAGGGGTACAAGTTCTGCAAGATTCGTGTGCGCAGCGTACGTATCCCGCAGATAGGCGACAAATTTGCGTCGCGTCACGGGCAAAAAGGAACATGCGGCATTCAGTATAGACAAGAGGACATGCCATTCTCCTGCGAGGGTCTTACGCCCGATATTATTATCAATCCCCACGCTATTCCTTCTCGTATGACAATTGGTCACTTGATCGAGTGTATACAGGGAAAAGTGTCCGCAAACAAGGGTACGGTTTTCACTCAAGTTTAAATTCATATTTTTATTGTATCTGAAGTTTGATGACTCTGTTTACACTTTAATATTATTTCGACAAGAAACAAAAGGCAGAAGATTAATGTGCTTTAAGTATCTTAAAGAAATACTTTCTCTCTTATAACGTTTCTCATCCGATTACGTTACTTATGAATGTAGTCTGCTTAAATAAGAGTTAAGCGAGTATGGTTACAAAACTCTTCACGAAGTCTGAGCTATTAATGTATCGCCAAATGTATTCTCAGGAGAGATCGGTGACGCGACGCCGTTTAACGACGCTGTGAACGTGCAGAAGATCTCCACGCTTCTGCAGGAATACGGTTACCAGTTGCGAGGAAACGAGGTCATGTACAATGGACATACGGGTCGCAAGATCAATGCGCAGGTGTTTTTAGGACCGACTTATTATCAACGTTTGAAGCATATGGTGGACGATAAGATTCACAGTAGAGCAAGAGGACCAGTGCAGATTTTAGTTCGACAACCTATGGAAGGTCGAGCGAGGTAATTATTAGCGTTGTTATTCTTATTAATTCAACACAAACTGCGGATTGGCACACAATATGTGTATACGTTTGTGTATTTATTCAGGGATGGTGGACTTCGTTTCGGAGAAATGGAACGAGACTGTCAAATTTCTCACGGTGCAGCGCAGTTTCTGAGAGAGCGTCTATTTGAAGTATCGGATCCTTATCGGATTCACATTTGTAATTTCTGTGGCCTGATTGCTATCGCGAATTTACGGAACAACACATTCGAATGTAAGGGATGTAAAAATAAAACACAAATTTCGCAAATTCGATTGCCATACGCGGCTAAGTTACTCTTCCAGGAACTTATGGCAATGAATATTGCGCCTAGACTAATGACTACGTAAGCACAATGTAAAAAATGATGATTTCAATAAAATTAAAGACATAATACATTATATTCTATTAATATCGTAGAATAAATTTTACTTTCTTTTGTATCACAATTTTTACATAAATTTTACATAAATTAGAGTTTACGTAAGATTACAGTTTGAAAAGGAAAACATAAAAAGAGCATGAAAAGAATATATATACATAAATATATAATATAAAGATAAAATCTTATAAAAAAAAAATCGATATTATATAATACTTCAAGTTATCATTTCCCTTCAATTATGAGTTATTAAGATGCAATAATATTTTATTACATATTTCTTAATTCATATTTATTTCATAGTTTAATTCATTTATATATTATATAATTTATTTCATAATTCACACATACGTATATTTATATCTTATGACGTAGTTTATGCAGATGGATAAACATTTGTGTGTACGGAATGTTAATTGGATCTTACATCTGCTTTAAGTAAAAAAAAAATTATTCAAAAAAGCATTTAAAGAAATAATATATTTTTTATGCAAGTTCTGTAAGATCCAACTTCAAAGTAACGCAAATATTATTTAGGTATTAACATTTTCGCGGCCTGTAATTTTGACGCAATCCTAAAGTTGAAAACCATAAGATTTTTTTTTATTAAAAAAGAATAAACTTTGAAAAACTTGTTTTTATGTCATGTTGTGAATCATATAAGTTTCTACAATATATATAAAAAGAATCAATTACTTCAAAATAAAATTCAATATTTTCTTAATAAACATCTTTATGTATATATTTTATACGTATATATTCATATATAATTTATGTATATATAGATATATGATATATAGTATATAGATATATTTCAAACGAATAATTAAATAAATTTTCCATCAATTATCATGAAAACAGCACAACATAAGCGGCCCTCAACTTTAACCATAAAAGAACGTAGCATTACGTCAACGGCCATGAACGTGTTATTCATCCACAGTCCTTATATTACATACATCTAAGATACAAAATTTCGCTTTACAGACAGGACAGGTACATTTAGAGGATAGCCACGTTTCGGGAGCATTTTTATCTTGTCTTGAGGCAAACCTATAAAAATCACCAAAATACCAAAAATATATTGACCCAACACGATTCGATTTAATGTAAATATATAATAAAAAAGTTGATGCAAGATGTTTGTCGTACTTGTTAAATAAAATAAAAAACAAAAATAACACCCTATTTCAAGAAATAAGTTTTATGAATAAAATAAACGACTTGGTATTTTTGAGACATTTCACAAGTATTTCCTTTCTTTTAATACTTGCTCTTAAACTTGCTTTAATAGAAAAATATTAAGTTTTTTGCATCAACCTAATTTAACGATATTTGAGAATAACAATAATAAAAGATACTGACCATTTTGCCATACACTCTATACACCACATTGGACGGCAATAGCACATTGTACAGCTATTAGCATCTCTACTTTCGGTAACGTCGTCACATGTTTTGTTCAATTTCATATTTGCAGTTACTTGCATACATCCTACACACTGATCCAACTCCTAGAGGTATGAATCATAAGCGGAACCAGGTTGATAAACAGGACTAAAAATAGTGAAGTAGATAATAGCTGCAATATTTGATACCTGGGCAGTATTGTAAACTGGATTTTTATTAGCTTCTTCTTTGAAAGTACTAATAAATCTATCGAGCAAGGTTTTATGGAATGTTATATTTTGTGGTATAATGATTGGCCGTATAACTTTATCTTGCAGCTCTTTAAAATCCAATGCATTTAATCTGATGTCAAATGGTTCTGCTGTTGCTCGCATAGATTTTACCTAGAAAGAATAAAGAGAAAAACCAGTTTTGAGTCCTATAGAACATGACAAATTTAAAAACTATATAGAATTTTATGTCATACTTGAATATTAATAAATTGAACTTGATCTCCTGTTATAGCTGACATCAAATGTGTATCGCATTGATTCACTATCAAAGTGGCATCGCTCTGATGTATCACTTGTAACTTGTAAGGAGTGATCTTAATGATCCAATTATCCGTTGCTACAATACGAGTTACACCATTTGTAATAATATCAGTTTTATCTACTCTAAAATAAGTAATATTATTTTAGTATAAAAATGGAGTACACTTGCAATATAACTTGTATTTCTAAGTATCAAATATTTAAACAAACCTTCGATATTCTTTGTTGATGTCTGCGGCAACATCTAGCCATGATATGTTATTGTTGCTGTACACAGAAAGATTCTGCGCTATTGGATGCGACTCCCAATTATGTATATACCATTCACAAATCTTATTCAATGTATACAAAGTTCCAACCGTGACGAAGACAACAATTATTAATCCAATAGGATTCTCGCCACTGTAAACCCATTTTCCAACGTCCAAATGACCGTAGAACATTAATCCCATAATGTAATCTGGACAGAGAAATCACATATTGAATATGAATATTCATCAGTAAGATAACAAGATGATCAAATGTAGTTGTATAAATATGTTTACTCTTACCTAAAGGAAGCATGGAGTGTATGAATAACGTTAATACGCTTCTTCTAATGTGATATTGTATAAAAAACTCATTTTCGCATCCGAGAACATCTCTGAAAACATCTTTGATAGTTAATCCCGCTGCAACAAATTCTATCGGTGGATACACGATACATCCGGAGATCAAAATATAAAATAAACTGTAGAAAAATAAATCGGACATTTTATCTAAAGACTTCTCGTCACCAGACGGAGTTTTGCCAGTAAATTATGAATGATAATATCCACAGGCGCTACAATATTTCGCAGGTTCTCTCGGGGATCGATGCTTCTCGCTTTTTCCTGCCAAGATTAGAGTCACCAAACCAAACTAATTAGGTCTCTCCACGCACGCGCGTATCTACACTTTATTATCTCTTTCTTACTCGCTTTAAAATTTGAGCTCCTATATGTCTATCTTACTTTAAATATGCAAATAGTGCAACTAGAACGAACAATCTTACAGTATTGTAAACTATATTGTCTATGCTCGGTCACATCGGTATTCTGCATTATCTTCCGATTTATTTCATTATGGTAATAAATACGAAACTCGTATCGTGTTCGTTGGCGACACCGTCAGGCGTAGTTTGAAAGGAAAGTGTGACGTAGCCGTTAAAAGGCATTTTAAACATACTTGGAGATGGTACGGTATTTCATTAGCTGTAAAATGCGAAAATAGAATCAAAATTTCGACTCGCATAATTTAATACTTTGAAGCCTATATCAACCTATCCTGATTCTATTTAACCTACAGCTTTGCCGAAGAGCCCCTTGAGAACCTACAAGTGACAAATTGTACGTTTTCTGCCATTTAGATTATTTGAAGTCTTCCGGGCACGAGATATGACGGACAGTAAGTTTACAGTAGGAGTAGCTTGAGAAGCTTGTGGCATCTCGATATTCATTTATTTAGAGGTTAACGCGCTTTGTAAGTAGGACCGATTCAAGTTGTAGGCGACAAGTATGCACGAGATGGGCGGCCGTTCGAACGTACGTTCGAAGTTACATTCGTGCGGCCTACTCCCCATTGAAAGATCCTAGTCGGCCTTATAAGGATGGTAGCCGCGCCTACATCCACGTAGCTACGCTCACATGATCGAGCTGACGATAAATGGCTAACTCATCTACATCGACGACAGCTGTATCGAGTTAAGCGCTGCGAGTTTCCCATAACGGTTACCCTACGTATGTGTAATATGCGTGAGATAAAATCGTGCGTCAAATGTAACCAGCTGCTGAAACGAAACAAATGTATGCGCAACGGTTCATCTATATTACGCGTCACGGTGTCTGGAAACTCTGCACGTTTCTCCTTGCAGAACTTGATATTCTTCCTGACAAGATTCACATTTTTTGTTCGAGATTCTTAGAGCTGCAGTATAGATAAGGTACTGGCTGAATTGATGAGAATTTACTAAAGGTATCACCGTGACCTGACTATTCTCCATTGCTATTTCAGAGCTTTATTCTTTGTAAAACGGTTCAAGGGATACGATAGGTGCGCCGTAAGGACACGATGGCTATTCCGGAACGGAAATATGTAGCTGTATGTGTGTATGTATACATATACACATCGTTTAATAGCTACGGAGTTCGTCGGCCGTACTTTCTAAAATTGTCCCGAGACTGCGAGAGCTTAAATTGCTTCAGACGCGGATTCCCTTGCTTTATTTCTGCTTTTGCTTGGGAAGACGTGCGCGAGAAGGCGAGTTGAAGAGACGGAGCGAGACGCAGAATGCGTTGCGTAACGAAGAGTAACGAGAAGAACGGTACAAAGGAGGACAGGTGTGTGTAATGTGGACCTGTAATTTTTGCAGATCCGATAGCTTATTAATATCGCCGGAGAAAAATACAACTTGGCGACGTTCGTTTCAGCGTGATCGTGCAAGATCGCACATGCGGTTACGCAATCTCGTAATTCTACGTGGCCGGATATGAAGCGCGACGAGTGTCATTGATGGCAGCGTGCTCTCGGGACAAGCGTAGTAAATCGGGTACAGACCGAGGCTATAAGAGATCGTCGCTCGCGCTTTGCGCGGCTCAGTGAGTCAAGATCGTTCGAAGGAGCTCCATTGCCAGCTTCGTTCGAACGGCCGGCGGCGTCGAACGCGTACATTCGCGACACATTGGAACCAGTAACTCTCTTCGTCCAAGTTCAACAAATCTTTCTTCTTCGAGATGGTAAGAGTCTCTTTTTTTCTTATCACCCATTTCTCATGATTATAAGTATACTCGTCTCAATTGTGTTTCTTTCGAAAGAAGAAATGAAGAAATGCAGCTAAACGAGTCTACGCACAGCAAAATATATATACTGCATTCAAGTAAATATTACTCTTTTCAAGTGTTCAATAAGTTTGTAATTTGTAAGACTATCAAATTTGCTCAAAATACATTATAAATCCTAAGTAAGTTTGGAATTCCGATCAAGGATGTTAAACTGAAACAAAAGGATTAAGTATATACAAACAAAAATTCGGTTTGCTTTCTATATATTCTATAGAGTATAAATTTCACAATACCTTGAATAACCTTGAAGAAAGACTAAGCTTTTCTAAAATTTATGAAAAATGAGTATCCTAAGATTATTATTAAGAAAACATTCTCAATTTAAGATGATCATTGCTTAAAAGAAGGAGAGTAAATTGAGCAACTGCTTTTCTTGGCAGTAGAATAATATTTTTCTCTGCGTAGTTTCTAAAATATACAATCAGTGTATTTCTCACCGAAATGTTATATTTACAATTAGTGACTCTGTCACACAAGCATAACACTACAATCAATAAAATCTCGCTGAAAGGGTCAGATAATAATAGCGACCTCGTTATTGAAGCAGTTTGCAAACACAGATAGTGTCATTGTAGACAAGACATACAGGAGTCGTTAATTCCATCGCTTCAATTGTAGAATATCGAATCAAGTACACAGCAAATTCGTATACTACACGAGAATGGTCTGGTTGAAAATCAGCGAGTACTCACCGACCTCACCGGTGAAATTTATTCTTTTTACTGATTCGAGTCGATGATATTAATTTTCACTGATTCGCTCTGAGAGAGTATAATCTATCGAAAGTACCGTCATCACGGCGAATATGTTGATTTGATTCCGTAAAATCGGCCGAGTTTTTAGATTCGCCTAGCGCAATATTATCTCGCGCGTATTGGCACAACTGGTGACTGTGCGACGATACACTCGTTGCATTACGTTATTGCTACTTTTAGAACGAAAATTCGCGCAATACGCAACGACGTGACGAAGCTCGCATACGACGTGACGAAGCTCGCTTTAGCGACATTCGTTTTTCATTATTGCGGTCGTCTCGTAGCGCGCGACGACTTCAATTTTAATTTCATCAAATACCCCGAAGATATTAATATCCTCTAATCCATATTCGCATTTGCATGTGTATGTGCACAAACGGTGATTTTTTTGTTCCACTTCCTTTGTCAGACCCGAGATCAATTTTTTTTCAACCTGCGATTAAATCCGAAGAATCTATAATCAAAAAACTGATCCAGTGATTTCAGGACTCATTCTAGATAATACGTATTGCGGTTTTCAACGTTGCACACGTACTTACTGTATATGTGCTTAATAATAGTTTGTGTGCGAAAAGGAGAAAAGAGGAAACACCAATCGAATCGCAATCGGAATGTTATCAGCCTTGTAACACTTTCAGCGTGAATGCATATCCGTTCACGTAGGCCAGGCAGGAGTACAGATTGGAAATGCCTGCTGGGAATTGTATTGTCTGGAGCATGGCATCCAACCGGACGGGCAGATGCCGTCGGACAAGATGCTCGGAGGCGGCGACGACAGCTTCAACACCTTTTTCAGCGAAACCGGCGCTGGAAAACACGTACCCAGAGCGGTATTCGTGGATCTCGAGCCCACTGTAGTAGGTAAGTGGCACGTGGTAACTCGATGTCCCATTTGACCATTTGAGTGATCCGGGCTTGAGAAAGGTATCTTGTTTGACGAGTAATAAGCTGTACTGTTACTCGTTGTCCATTGAAGAAAGTTAACTTGTCGCTGTTCTCATTACTCATTACTCAGGAAGCGACGACTCGCTAGAATTACCTTTCTCACCGAGTTTTGAACGGTTCTTTTTGAGATTCACTTCTGTCTATTCTGTATATTGGTATTCCGTGTGTGCGTAGCAACACAGAAAGTAACGCTTATATTAATCACCGTTATGTCGTTGCTAATGGAAAAAATAACGTTGTTAAGGTGAATGCTCTGATTAGTGATCAAATAATATTATCGTGAAAACTAATTAATAAACTAATTAAATATGTATTAATATAAGTACACAAAGTTGCCTTTGTTGAATTTCTTTATTATATTATGGTGTTATAATTGTGGTGTTTTAATCGGGTTATATTTTTCTAATGTATGGAAAGATTTCAATTTATATCTGATTTATTTCCTGAAAGAGATGACTTAAGTATCATTTAATGGCACGATGATTTACTATTGCATTTTAAGAACGTTGAAGAATAGTCACACAGATCTATATGTTTTATAATATTTTTCAAAAGAGAACAAATTCTTTTTTCGAGCACATGGTAATGAACTCTTCTATTTACAATCTGCGATGAGTATAAAAGACTATAACTGTTACTTCGAAGAAGCAAGGTAAATCGAGTTCCTCGCTTTTCTCAGCAATGGAATGATATTTCTCCGTGTGTGCCTTTCAGACGAGGTGCGCACTGGCACGTATCGGCAACTGTTCCATCCCGAGCAACTGATAACCGGCAAGGAGGATGCCGCGAATAATTACGCGCGCGGCCACTACACGATCGGCAAGGAGATAGTGGACCTTGTTCTAGACCGCGTTCGCAAACTGGCTGACCAATGCACGGGACTGCAAGGTTTTCTGATTTTTCATTCGTTCGGCGGCGGCACCGGTTCCGGCTTCACGTCTTTGCTGATGGAGCGACTGTCGGTCGACTACGGCAAGAAGTCCAAGCTCGAATTCGCGATCTATCCGGCGCCCCAGGTCTCGACAGCCGTGGTCGAGCCATATAACTCGATTCTCACGACGCACACCACCCTCGAGCATTCCGACTGCGCGTTCATGGTGGATAACGAGGCGATTTACGACATCTGCAGACGCAACTTGGACATCGAGCGGCCCACCTACACGAATCTGAACCGACTGATCGGCCAGATCGTGTCGTCGATCACGGCCTCACTGCGCTTCGACGGCGCGCTCAACGTCGACCTGACGGAATTCCAGACGAATCTGGTACCCTATCCCAGGATCCATTTCCCCTTGGTCACCTATGCGCCCGTCATATCCGCGGAGAAGGCCTACCATGAGCAGTTATCCGTCGCCGAGATCACGAACGCCTGCTTCGAGCCGGCCAATCAGATGGTCAAATGCGACCCGCGTCATGGCAAGTATATGGCCTGCTGTATGCTCTATAGAGGCGACGTGGTGCCGAAGGACGTGAACGCGGCGATCGCGACCATCAAGACTAAGCGTAGCATCCAATTTGTCGATTGGTGCCCCACCGGCTTCAAGGTCGGCATCAATTATCAGCCACCGACGGTCGTGCCCGGCGGCGATCTCGCCAAAGTGCAGCGTGCCGTCTGCATGCTGTCGAACACGACGGCGATTGCCGAGGCCTGGGCACGGCTCGACCACAAGTTCGACCTGATGTATGCGAAGAGGGCCTTCGTGCATTGGTACGTGGGTGAGGGCATGGAAGAGGGAGAGTTCTCCGAGGCGCGGGAGGATCTAGCTGCGTTGGAGAAAGACTATGAAGAAGTCGGCATGGACTCCACCGACGGAGAGGGAGACGCCGCAGATGAATACTAAAGATCCCCGGGAGAAAATTATTACATATAATTTGTATGAATTTTGTCTCTACATGACGTCACATATGTAACCGCGCGTAATTATACACGTCAACGTGGAAAAAAGAGCTGTTACATGTATAAATACAATTGAAGTGACTGTTTATGTTTGTGGCAGTCGATGATATCTTTTCTTCTTTATTCAACGGCGTTTTCTCCGTGTAAACGTGTACAATTATGTATGATTAAATATGTGGCCGTATACTTAGACAAGATTCATATAATTATATGCAATCCTTTTGGCTCGGATTCGATTGCTGTCGGTGCTCTGTCGTCTACTTATGATCGCCACGACGCTTGCCGCTTATTACAATTATGCGCTTGTGATTTCCCTACCCGGCTAATTTCCTAAGACCCGGAGTGATCCCCGTAAAGTTACCATCGCACAAGCGATCGTGTTGATCTTGCCACTTGCTTCTCACTCGAGTCAAGTTTTGTACGTCTCGCCGTTGCGAGACGGAGCGTGCATTAAATTTCGTTCGAACAATTTGTTACTTAGTTAGAAGCTTGGAAAAATGCAAGTATTGAGAAATATATAAGCATATGCAAAAGTACTGTCTCGTGTATTTTGTAATATTATTTATATATTATATCAACCATTATTACAATAATAGATTGCATTAATATATATCTTCGATCGTACAATTATTATCGATCATTACATGATACGTGTGAATACTACAAGTGAGGGGAGTGAAGGAGAAGAGGAGGCGAGAAAAAAGCGTGTATGGGGCGAATGCTTCCACAAGGTGCGCCTAATCGGGCTTTGAAGCACGTGCGATCTCGTGACGAGTCGTCATTTGAAAGAGAAAGCACAGCATAAATTCGATATATTGCACCACGAGCTTAATTCGCAATTTCTCGTGCTCTGCATGTAGCGGTAATTGCGTTGGTCTTAATGATAAAACTAATAATAATAATAGTAATAATAATTAATAATAATAATAATAATAATAATAATAATAGCAAAAGTAATAATAATTATCGTGGTCGTCAACATCGATACCGTGATCGAAGACAAAACGATACAAAATAAAATATATCATCAAAATCGAACAGATAAATCCTTCTCCTCGTGCATGCATCGATGAAAATATCTCCGAGCCGCAATGTGCATGTGCGCTTTATATCTCGCTCGTCACGTTATCTCTAGACCTCTCAGCTGCTCCCGAGTATCGCTACATTTTACAATGGACGTTCACATTATTAAAATAATGCTTCTTACATGTAGTACATGTAATACATGTGGTGCTCGGACCCATGCATGCACGAGGCGAAATTTGACGCCGATGTTCCTTTTTTTTTTATTTGTACATAGCATATACGTTATACAAACGATCGATCGGGTCGATTACGGAATAAAAACTACAATCATTAGTGCTCGAATCATAAATCTTATAACAACACTTCTCGATAGCTTCAACAAGCCAGAACGAATACGAAGAAACAAAAGCAACGCGCTTCGACACTTTGCTCTCTCTCTTTATCTTTCTCCTTAATTTTTCATTCGATAAGTCATTCGTCGATCAAATATACCCGTAAGAATTGCAAGAGAGTGTATGTGTGTGTGTATGTGTACATATGTGTGTAATCGCGCGACACAGAATAGAAATATTATATTTACTTACTTGGTCCAACCAAGTTCGCGACTTGTTGAAGTTACTGTAGGAAGCTGTTACTCAACTGCAAGTGACATGCAAACACGGTCGGAGGGCAAGACCCAAACGATCACTCAATTATCGTAAATCAGTCAATACGATAAAGAATGAAACAGAAATGTCGAACGCAAAACCGATTGACGAAGATACGAGAGGCACGTCCTGACACACCGGTAATGAATTCTCTGCTCGTGAAAGCATTACCGCGCGCGTTCTACTTTCGTATGTACACGCAACGAGTATATATCCCTTACGATAAATTTCGACTTGCGATTTGTTTTTTTCTTCTTTTCCTTCTTTTTTTTTTTGAAACGATTTCGTCACGTTGAGTAATAATTGGGGGGGGGTGAGGGAGGGGGGGGAGTACACGTCGAGAGCTCTATCACAATGCGTCGTACTTCGATTCCACTGGCACTGAGCGCCGACAGGATTTTCCTGTGTGGGTCACAATGAGTCCGTACCGATCGCTTCGATTCGACTCGTCCCGGTACGGACTGATTCACGCTCGTGAGTGTGACTTACTCTGTCGGCACGTTATTTCATTTTAATGAATTTGCGTTGATATATAAACATCAACCTATATAGAGTTATGGTAACAAAGAGGCTCAATTCGATAACAATTATAATCAACGGGGTACCATATGTTACAAATTACCTCATATCGATATATCAAATATGAATACTATGCCGAGAGAAGAAGAGACGATTCCAACGAGAGAAAGGGGGCTTGCTTCTTTTTCCTATTTCTTTTTAACGCTGACATTTCGCGTCGTGGCGCGGACGCGACACTTCCGTATTCCCGCAGGACTCTGTTTCGTACGTCGGATTGAGAGATTGTTCTGTTTCTTTTTGTAAATAAAAAAAGAAAAAAAAAGAACGCGAAGGCTCTTTTCGCATAAATCTATCTGTTTCTCTTCGTGTGGTCTGAAGCCGTCTGTATCGCCGAGTGGAATCTGTGAATCTTTCGACGAAGATCACATTCGCCAAGGTCGCAATAGAAGAATAGGAGTTATTTCCGAACAAGACGAAATAGAGTAGAAGCAAGTAGCAACGAGATCATAATAGCAACAATGACGACAACGGCGACGAGGATGAATTATAATGGTTGTGATGACGACAGCAAGAAGAATGACGGCGACGAAAGTGATTATAATGATAACGATAACGGCTAATGATGATAATAATGATGATGATGATAATGATGGTGGTGGTAATGGTGATGATGATGATGAAGAAGAATGAAGATAATAATGATGATGAAGAAGAAGGAGACAATGACGACGATAGCGGCGGCGGCGGCGGCGACGACGACGACGACGACGACGACGACGGCGGCAGCTACGACGACAACGACGACGGCGACGACGACGGCGGCAAACGGCGTCAATAACGGCGATTAAAACGACGAAGACGGCAAAATGGTGACGCCTCTCTATCTGTCTTCGTCGCAAAGTATGCATATGTAACTCTTTATTGCGTTACACACAAACGGGGTAGGAGAGGCAAAATTAAATTAGCGGATTAAATACATTAGCGCGACGCTTAACAAATTAAAAACGTAAAAACATTAACAGTACAATATAGTTTCCTTATCGTAGACGTAATGCGATGGCAGTCTTGAGTCCTGGAAAGATGCTGTGATTGTTGCTCGTTCGCTTCGATTACTCGCGTAAATCCGTTCTTCTTCTTTCTTTCTTTCGTATATGTGTGTATTTTTTTTTTCATCTTCCGGCATTCGTCTGTGCTTCGTCTGTACTCGGAATTTCGTCCTTTGTTTTAAAACCGAACTTGCTTCGATCTTGAGAGTTTAACTTGTATTTGTTCATTTTATTATTTATGATAAGCTTTTGCTTGTGGCAGTGTCTGCAAATATAGATTAGCTCAGCGTCAGTCGATGCTACATTCTCGCCTTATCGCATACGTATCGTCGGCAATTATTCGAAAATATCTTCGCTAGAATGATTTCACGCGAATGTGTGATTCTAAGTCTGAAAATATGTCCGCTCTTCGATGCATCTATCTGCATGAGATTTAGCGACAGCCCGTCTAATGTTAGAAGAAAAGGGGTGCTGCTCCTTCCTACCTTATGCCGGGATCAAGGGACTAACCATCCACGAGAGGAGTGTGTCGATTGAGAAACGATCGATCGAGCGAGCGAGCAAGTCGCCGAAGCTCTCTGTCATCGATTGGAAAAGAGACGATACACTTTCCACGATACACGAAAAAAAGAGACTGACTGGATTAACGTGACAATGAGCGAAGCAAACGCGACTTAGTCGAGGGAAAATTTCGGACTTATCAGTCAAGTTCGTTGTTCTACGTACCAGAAATTCAAGCAATCTGTGTACGTGTAAAAACAAAAAAAAACCACTCGTATCAGTAGTTGTCAAACGACAAAACGTGCAACGTAGCGACGCGTTCGATCGTGCGACCGATCTGTAGATTGTACAAGACGCTAGAGTAAGCACAACAACGCTTATGAAAATCACATTCAATAAGACACGCAAGTACAATCGTATGTGACGAGAATCTCTAAGTACTCCTCGTGGGTATACCGGTCGAGTAAACGAACAAGAGAATGAGTCACAATTTGAGCGGCGTCGCGCCGCTTACATACCTGAGCTAAGGACTACCTACGCCTCGACCGACTTCTTCTTCTCTTTCTTCTTTTTTAGGAAGGACGGCGTTCTAAGGCCCTTCTTCTTCTTCTTTTCCTTCTTTGGCGATTCCTCGCTAACGCTCACATCCTGCGACATGGAACCCTTAACACGGAAGGTCCCAACCGTAACCATAAACCTTTCTGCATGCACATGCATAGCGAGAGAGAGAGAGAGAGAGAGAGAGAGAGAGAGAGAAAGAGAAAGGAAGAGAGAGAAAGGAAGAGAGAGAGAGAGAGAGAGAGAGAGAGAGAGAGAGAGAGAGAGAGAGAGAGGAAGAGAGAGAGAGAGGAAGACAGAAAGAGAGAGAAGAGAACGCCGGATTTCTTTCGTCTAAGAATCGTTCTATCACTGATTATCTGATTATCCCATGCAAGCCGAGACAATGGAGAAGAAATTTGTAGAAGCGAATCTATGCGAAACGTCTATGCCTTGTATGAGCGCTGTGTATATATATGTGATAGTGAAATATTAATGTGTAACCAATGCAAGGCGCAAAGCGACAATTCGTTTGAATCAGACTCTGTTTCATGACGATCCTTGTGTCGCGCGTTATCATGAGAAAGTTGAGCGGACACGCATTGTCCCAGAAAATCGGAACCCCGAAATTCGGAAGCCGCATTCGGAAACCGAGAAAGTTTCTACTGAACAATATTGAGCAACTGGGAAGTAGTGCCAAAGTCCAAATTTATGTATTATAATAATTAATCGACGGTTCGTTGAGATATTTTTTCAACTTTACAATATGAAAAGATTTGTTTCAATTTATATTATAAATTTATGTTTGTATTAATTTATAACAATTAATAGTTTGTTCGGGTATTTTCTTAATTTGCAATATAAAAGTTTATATTATATAGCAAATATTACATTTATATATAAAATACTTTTTTATACTGTCTTTAGATGTATCGAATACGAGTGTTTGACTTCTTTAATAGTATGATTATGTTAATATCTCTCAGAAAAATTCTCTTTGTGTAGAATAATTTCTCGAAAAATCATAATACCGATATCCAAGTATCGAGCTAATATATCTCTCGAGAAGGAAGTATTATTCGAAAACAATACACAGATATAATAGAATCTATTTGAATACACTGTTGATGTATTTCAATAGATATTAATGCACTTATTTTATTTATTTTTATATTATTTATTTATTTATTTTTATACTCTTTGTTTCTCTATATGTGAACCATCTAATATCGAATTTGCTTCTAAGTCTGTTTCATCTGCGATTATTTTAATTTATCGTATATACTGAAGGGTTTTCCAGTTAATAAAGATTCTAAATTATTATTATTATTATTTTAATAAAATTATATATTTCGGGAGATCGCCTCAGTATTTGAATTTCGGTATCGTGATTTTTCAAGAAGTTACTCCATTTTTTTAATTTCGGCAATTTCTTTTTCCGGAATAATACATGTCCACTGAAAAGTGTCTCATTGAAAAAAGTGTTCCCAGTCTCGAATGCATTCAAAGTGTAAAAAGTGAAAATGACGTACATATGCGGAGATCAGTGCGAGTTTATTTGCTCGTTCGTCTTTATCTCTCTCGTTAAATGCAAAACACAGTTTTTCTTTCGCTTCAGCGTAATGTGCAGTTCTGTTTCTCGCTCTTGCGCCCTCGCACTTGAACTCGAAGTAAACAACGTAAAATACCGTTTTATCCATATATGCCAATATACACACAAACACAGCCGATCAAGTGTGTCTTTGTCTCAGTATTGGATTGAGATATACGCATAGGATGAAACACGTGAAAAATTAACGCGACAGTCCGGCTCCCCGCATATGGTACATGTAGTACATCGTGCGGTGATTCTTAATATTAAAGGTATTGCTACAAACCTCCTTGCTACTTTGCGAGAAAGTGCTGTGATGAGCGTCCGAGTGATCGCCATTCACGGTATTCTCTCCTAGAACATAAAGAATGCACTGTCAATTATCTTATCAATTATAATTTTGTCAGTTATAATAGACGGGAAAAATACGAATGCGTAAGGCAATAATCGTATGTTTCGCGTGATGATTAGCGAACCGAGGGATTAAAATTACTCTGAGTTTAGACAACGGTAAATCACGCGTCATTTTACACCGAGATGAAGAGAAGCGAGAGGAGAAAATAGAAGAGACGCCTTACCTTCAAACGATGATTGTAAAACTGATTCTTGGGTTTGTTATGGGAAATCAATGTCCTCAAGCAAACATCTTTAGCATCAACCATTCTCAGCTTGCAGGAAGGACGCGTCGAGAAGGTAGTGGGATAACGATGGGTATTAATGCAGGTCCGATTAAAGGTGAGTATTGAAAAATGTGAGAAGTGTTATGTGCAAACTTTTATGTCACCGAACGTGCGTCAAAACTGTGCGCGTGCAATGTAGGTACACACATTTGAGAAATATATAAGTTATAAGCATTCACACAAAGAACCAAGTTAACCTAGGTGTTAAAGAGCTATGTAAGCGTGTAACATAATAATATTATAACAATATGTTATATCGGACGAAATCTCGTTGGCCGAACTAAAGAACTAAAATATAAAATATAAACTGAGGAAACAAAAATAAACTAAAAAGAAAATTAAAACCAACATTTGTATCACGAAATCTTTGGTCTCTGATCAACGAAACTTTAACGAAAGCAAAAAGAAAAAAAAGAATAAAAAGAAAAAATAAAACTGGAAAATAATAAGTATTATGCAAATGAAACTTGTACTTTTAGGTACTTGTACTTGCGCTTATTCGGATTATAAAATTCGTCAAAATTCTCCTTTCGAGTTCAGGAGTACGCTCAGTCCTAAAAGTGAAGTCAGTTACACGGAAAACGTGCCTTGTTTGTGCGTAAATAGACGTTAAAATTATAAAGAGAAGAAAATTTGAAGAAATTAACTAACATTACAATCTAATGAGAATCTCTCAACACTTTACGCGGTATATAACAATATCACACATCTGAGAAATATAAACACCAACGCCGAGAACGTAAAACTTCTATCATCGACTGCTTAAGACGAATCAGGCGACACGCGTATGTTCAACTCGTCAACGAGGAGGCGCGTGCCATCAAATCGATTAATTAAAATACTTCCTCTCCAATTTCGCTCGGGAAGGACCGACATTTTATGGCGGTTCAATTGATCAATCGCAAAGTTTACGATACAAATCCCACGCTCCACACGGCGAATAACGCGTTCTAATTATGCGTTCAATCGCGACTTCTCCACGATGGCTTTCTCCAAGCGTATGAACTCTTTGGTGTCGTACGAATACAAGTCCAGCGGCGAGTTCCAGACGGAGTCGTAGCGTTCCTGAGGATCGCTCCTCTCGTCGTTATCGCTGTACTCGGAGATCGTGTAAGTGTCGTCGAGCGACATGACTTTCTTCACGGAATCCTCCGCGCTCTCGTCGACCAAGTGGCTTGCCAGTTGAAACGACGACGAGTCGTGAGAATCCTCCAACAAAGCGGACGTGGAACAATCGTCGACGTACTCGTACGCTACCTCGTTCGGCTCCTCCTCATTGATAGGCGTCAAACGGCTGCTGTCCAGGTCGTTGAGCTCGCGGCAATAAGAACACTGCTCGCACGTCTCGATGTCTGACCTCATCAGGACCACCTCTTCGTTGTAACTCCTCTTGTTGAGGTTCTTCACGGTCATCAGATGATCTTGGTCCATCCTGTAAGTCGTATTGCCCTCCATATCGTTGACCGGAGCATCCGGTCGCTTGTTGCCACTTCCGTCTGCGACTTTGAGAACGCGAAAGTTCAATTCCAGAGTCCTGTCGTCGGCGACAACGAGTGGCAGTCTCTTCGCCACCGTGCAAAACTCCATCACAGCGGAGGATCGGTCGCCCTGCTCGCGCGCCTCAGCTCGATCGTCGCGGCGAAAGTCCGGCGACGAGTTTCCCAAGAAGCTTTTGATCTGACAAACGTCATCATCGGCGGTTGTGCTCGTCGCCAGGACGTCGCACGACTCGCAAGATTCACCAAGAGCGCACCCATCGGTCAGTAACAAGCATTCCCGGTGGTAATTGTCGATGAGGTTGTGCACGACTTCCTTCACGATGCCCAAGTTGTAGATGGAAGAGTCTAAGTATGAGAGAATGTAAACGTTCTCGATGACCTCGGTGACGATTAACCGTGCGATCAACAAGGAGTCGTAGCGCATGGTCTCGCCGGAAGCGTTGAGATCGGCGATGATTTCATTGGTGGACTCGTTGATCCCGTTGTGGAACACCTCGCCGTCGATATCCGACAGTTCGAGAACCGTGCAGCTCGGCAGCTCGAGTATGTCGGAGCCGGAGCTCGCGGATCGCGGGTCGAGCTCGCAGCTGCCGCTGTCGCTTGACGCCTCGCGACAATCGTACGGGCAATCCGGTAACGGTTTCACGTCCACGCTCGTCGATTCCATCCATATGTAATCGCGCGACGCGTCGCTGCCGTCGCTTCTGGTCGCATCGGAGCCGTGCCAGTCCGAGCGTTCCGCCAGATCCTGCGACGTGTTGTCGTCGTTGCCGCTGTCTTCGTGGTCGACGGCTATGGACGGAGTCAGGCTGTAAATCAGACTCATATTCGTCGCGTCCAGGTTGTACTTGACGCAGGTGTCGGTGTTGGGCAGAGCGTCCAGCTCTGTTCTCGACGAAGTGATATTTGTATCCATGCTCTCGATCATCTTCACGAGATCGTCGTAATACGACTCGGGCGTGTCGGTCTCTTCTCTGTACGGACGATCGCTCTCACAGACGGGACTCCTAACCCACGATCCGGTATCTTGCGTTTTCAGCACACAGTTGTCGTTCGTCTCTTCGTCCGACGTACCTTCAACTTTACTCGCCGTGACGCCAGCGTTTTCGCGGCATTTTTCGGGAGGTGAACCGTTTAACAACTGTGAATTCTCTTCATCGTTACTATCTCGTTGAGATGGCTCGGTGCAGATGCGGAAAAGTGTTCCTTCTTTCATCGTCATCGTCATTGTTGTCGTTATCATATGTTGCTCCTGCAATTTCTTATTCGCTAAGTCGAATGTTGAATCTACAGAATCGTTGCTTTCCCCCTTACTTCCCGGAGGAGCTCCCTTTACTGTGGAAACGACCTCCTTGATCGACGATTCACAACATTCGACCTCTTCGAGAAGTCTCTCCTTTTTCTCGATTTTATTATCATCGTTTGTGCAAGATGTAGCGATGTCATGAGGACTCGGCTCGGTTTCCTTCACGTTAACAATTTCTACAGAATTCGCTTTCGCGATGTTCTTCCATTTTACCGGATACACCGCGATGTCGCTCGTACGCTCCTCGTCATTTGACTTCTTGTCCAGTCTTTCCGGACTTGTGCTCGTCTGAGATGCGTCGTACACTTCTGCAGAACGTATCTCATGCGTATCTTCGCTCGGCTCCACCGTGGAACTTCGCTCGCACACACCCTCATCGTTAGTCGCTTTCATTGTTCCTGGCAACGTGGCCGACGGCTTCACCGCGGCTTGCTGATACTCCAAGTCTTGGAAGAACTTCCGTCTTGCTTCGTACCGCGACTTGAACAACTCATCGGTCGACTGTAACTTGATACTCTGGCTGTGAGCGAGCGTTCTCGAGCGTGTGATCAGAACAGGTTTCTTTCGCTCAGCGGTAGTCGTGATTCGAACGTTCTCCAGGTGAAGACGATCGTAAAGAGGCTCAGAGAGCCGTCGGTCGGCACGGTACATTAGCACACGCTCGCTGCTCGCGCTGCTGTAACTGCTGGATAGTTCGCAATCTGCAAACATTATGTCCAAAAATATCTCAGGCTAAGATTTCGATAAACGACGGATCGGTGGCCGTCCGTTTCGTTCTTGGTAGAAACGAAGAACGCTCACGATCTCCCGGATACACTCCGCCGTTCGCGCTCGAGTCTTCTTCGTCGCTTACGCTGCTTACTCGAAATAGAGGTGACTCTTAGCGCGCTTCAGCTACCGCTAGCCGAAGCGCTGATACCTTGCCGTTGTGCCTCGCTCTCTTTGAATTTGAAAACGCTAGAAACACGTCGTTACACGCGCGAATGCTGCTCTTTTTCTATCTTTTATGCCGGGCGGAACTGTTACTCACCGTCGTTATTATTATCGCGACGACTAAAGCAAAACATAAGACAAAAGTATATCAGCGCAATAGTCACGGCAAGACTTGAAACAATGAGACAGATAATAAACAGCATCATGGGCGCAAGCTTGTGTTATATTGTGTTATCATATTCGTTTCGATTTTTCTTTTAGTTGAAAAGTGCGCAACAGACAATGCAAAAGCACGCTATAGTTGATGTAGAAATGCGTGAAAGGCTCTCGAGGATCTTTTTATCACGGCGCAGAACGAAAAAGCGGGGCGAGAAGAATGTTTTCGCACAATCAGTTACTGCTGCAAGCATGTACGATCGTTGTTATTTCGAGTGGCGAAAGGAGACGAGTAAGCTTTCGTGGTGGGTTCCGCTGGACATACGCAGGCAAAAGCGACGACGAGTTTCGATACGCTTGTGCGTGCGTATCTCTGGCGATAAGATCAAAATGAGGAATGCGATATGAGCAATTAGTACAGCTACAGTTGCGGACGGAGAGCGTATCCCATACAGGAAGAAGTGCAACCGGATTAGACGCATCGCACGACAAGATGTGACGTGTACACGAAGATCTCTGTGAAGATTTACCACATGGTGGTCACTCACCTCCTTTGTAATCGCCCTGTCGCTCGATCGTTCTGCTGCGCATCTCGTTGAGGTACTCTGCAGTAGCATCATTCACTGTGCATCAGAAATAAATATGTGTACGGTTCACACCCGTCCGCCAATTCGACGTTTCTCGTGAGAGAACCAACCGTTGTCAACGTGATCATTTTATGCTACGCACTCTGTGTGTGTGTGTGTGTGTGTGTGTATGTGTGTGATCGTTTCGATTTCTGATTGAATTTATACCGAGACGGATATATCGACGGACTTGGTAACTTGAGACACGCGATATATTCCGATCGTTATTAATATGCGACGTAGCGATATATTAACGATATGGTGCGACGGATTAAGAAGCCTCTCGACATCGTGAAAAATGCTACCGACCGATTGCGGCGTGTAACATACACTCACGAACATGTACACTCACCTGTTTGTAGACAGACGCAAGTGAAATTTGCATTTCGTCGACTCTACCGAGCGTTTGCGTAGTTGAGACAAATAAATACCGATTAACGTGTGCGTAATATTGTCGGGATGCATCTTTGTGTGCGATGCGGTTGTTATATATCCACATGTACACACAAACGTGCTGTCTGTTCTGCTCTAATAACGTGCGGAAAATTTGTTGCGCAGGCAGAGACGAAAGAGTATCATGCGAATCAGTTGCAAACAAGGAGTCATGCAAGAATCGGAATTGAACCAACGGAATTGAACGTGATTACTCATCAACCGTTCGCACTGACTGACTGACTGACGAAAGGTGCGACGTCTATTCGGAACGAAATGGTGAGAAAAAGGACTTACCGTCGCTCAACACGACTTCGGGTTGACTCGGCGCAGGCACTTGTTTCGTTTCTATTCGCAATACTCGGGGTTCTGTAGCAAAGGAGTACGCGAGTGTTGGTTAATAACGTAGAAAATAAAAATCCATCGCTATATACTAGGTAGGTAGTGTACATGGTGTGTATGGTACATGGAGAAATCCAGAAGCCCTCCTCATAAATTTTCATCAAATATTAAATTAAAAATTAAAATTAAATACATTGGATTTACCGTCTCTACTCTCCTCCTCCGTTTCCGAAGTAACAGAAACCGGTGATTGAATAGGACTCTTGGCAGTGCTGGATTCATGCGTCGCGCGACTGATGTTAAAGGACGACAAGGCCTCGGATTCTGACTGTGATTCATCGTCTAATTACAAAATAAACAAGGTAATATTAATGGTTTCGTGGTGAAGAGAGAGAGTCTGCCGAGCGTTCAAGTGAACATGTAATTTCAAGGTATGGGAAACGAATACACAGATGCATGCAGATACACAGAGAAATACCGAATGGGAGACTCACTAGAAATACTGGATAAAGAAAAAAAAAAAAAAAAAGAAACGAAACATCGACGAATCGCACTCACAAGGATCTCCCTTCTGTTTGCGTTCGATCTCTCTCTTATACTGATCCAATTCTTGATCCGTGACGGCGTCGAAGGGATTTTTGGCATAGGGTGTCTTGTATACCATCGCATTGTGTTGGAAACCACGTTGTATAATACCTTTGCTAGCAGCTCCCACTAAGACTACTTGCTCTCCAGTACCACTAATCGTCGCGTCCTTGTAAGCAACGAACGAATATGTGAACGATGATATCTTAACACGTGTTTGCCTTTCAGAAATTTGTATGGAGATAATCGGGAAGACGCTACCGTAGATGTTGCAAATTTCATGTTGCCTCCTACGTTTCAGCAATAATTAATTAAATTTAGCAATTATTATTTATCACTACTTGAAGAGTTACACTCTGTCTGCTGATTATTTGCTGAATGTAAAGTGCTTAATGTGGCGAGTCGCTAATCGATACTTAATTTAATCTCTAATTAATGCCTGATTGATACTAATCGATATTTAAAAATACAACGATTAAGTTAATATACCTGCATTTTCTTAGCTTCTTCCCATGAGACACCCTCTAATATGTGAGACTGAGGACCAGCTGATATCTTGTCTGCTCGCCGGTAATCTTTAATCTATTAGGGAAACAAAAGTGTATCGAACTTGTATGTTTTCATTTAAGTAAACCGAGCAATATAAAGGAAACGAGATAGAAGCAAAAAAAGGTGATACGCATGTAGTTAGCGATACATCTGTGCTTACCTGCTGCTGTATTTGTTTGAACTCCTTTGGGTTGGTATTTTTCGGTACAAACTGTAGAGCACCGTCTATCTTCACCGGCGTGCTGCTATGGGTAGGAGATCCGTCAGACACCCACTGCACACAAAACCAGAACATTAGTTGATTCTCTCTCTCTCTTTCTATCTCACTCTCTCTCTTTCTCTTGAATCGTTCTAATAAGATTATGTTAACGTAAGATAAGACTGACTCTTGCATGCTATGTGTGCCTGCTGCGTACTTGTCTCCTCTAGCAGATTGCTTCAGAATGATTGAACATAATTGGGAAATATACGACAGAAAGTTCAACGCTCCCGTTACAGACAATGTTGTGGACAAATGTACATGTGATTCAACAGTACGATAATATCGATGGTAATCTGCACGTGTAAGGAATCTAACATTTAGTTTTCTTCAGAAATTAAACAATATTCATGGGACACATAGGGCCACTTGCTCTGGTTTTGTAAATGCAGTGGGACGTGTGACCAGGCCAGCGAGATCTTGATGGTGAGATCAGGCACACATTCATACAGAGTCGTAGAGATATATTGAAATATATTTTGCACGACTTAATTACATACGTATTGTAGCAAAAAATGGCAAAATGCGTGGAAAATAAGTATCCGTTAAAATTGTATGTAATGCTACTAGACATTATTTCATTTTCATCTTATATACTACTGGAATTGGAAATTTAGACCGAGACTATCATATCAGATTGCTTCATCCAGATTGTACGACGATATTATTCTTGACGAAAGTTAAATCTGTGTGCGAACAAGATAGATGGAGAAAATCTCAGTAGTAGTTATAACGTTAATAGATATTTTACAGACGACAACATACGAGTACACACAACTCCACAACGCTATTGAAGCGCCAAGTTTATCACAGCGCAATATCTCTACGCTGCATACTTGAAACGTTGTTAAAAAGTTTCATCCAAGTTAATAATCATCCTCTTTAAACAGTACGTATAACTTTATTTAAACATCAAGAGGCTACAGAAGAACAGTCGTTAATATCTTATATGTAAACGTACGCACTAACGATTGACTGGAATTCAACGTGGTAATGCCTGGTATGTGTATAGAAATGTGTTAACCACCTTCGTTCTGCATTTTCATTAGTTTCACTCCTAACAAGAGTGTTTTTCCACTCGGTAAGCACATCTACTAAGCATTCCTCTGCGTTTTATGAAGATGAATGGTTTCGTCAGTCAGAAACTTCGTTGGAATAGAAACAGGCGTACAACGAAGAGTTTAGGTGTTGCATTGCCAGCCCATAAAATACTCTTTAATCGTTAACAGATTAAAGTGAAATATCATTTGATATTATCTGTCATTTCGTAAAAAATTTCAACGTGTTTTAATTCCGTTTAATTTGATATATCGGTTGAGAGGAATCACCGATAACAGCACGTTTTGGTCAATACATTTCATAACGCGAGATATTTATTATTAGCGCACAATGCCTGTCAATGAATATTTGTGCGATATTTCTTATGAATCGTTTCTTTTTGTTAATATAATGTTAATAATTGACCAATGCCTATATACATGTACATATATATATATATATATGTATTTAAATATATGCGCGCATGCACACATGTATACACACGTTGGTCATAACATAGTTTAAAGTAATTGTAACTTCTGCTTTGATTTACGAAACTCTCTCTCGATCGGTCCTTATATTATTATATATCATATGTATTAGAGTAAGCAATTTGCAGAGTAATATCGATCAAGCTCTGTGATATAACAAGAATTACGCTTAATAGGAAATATCTGTACTTTCAAAAAGTTATGTCGCTATAGTGCGAAATATATATACGTCAGTATACTATAACCAGCATTAATATCTAATACGTTGTTTTCTCAATGAAAGATGACTGTTCTGATTAAAAAAAAGGAAAAAAAAATGTATAATATAAAATCGTCGTTTTTAACGTGTATTAGCAATGAATTCGGAGCTAATAGCATGAGTTGGAATGCACCGAATTCGTATACGCAATCGTGATCAATTAGCATGACGTATGTACTTATCTCTCTGCTCTGTATACTCGTTAATAAAAAACCAAGCTGATAAAAAACGTGATAAAAGCGAGTCAGATTACGTAATTAGCGTGATAAGGCTGCAACTGTCTATGGTCTATTGCTTGAAAATGAGATAACCAGTGCCAAGTAATATGTATGTCGCATAGCGTACGAGAATATACTATCTATTTACGGCCGTATAAATATGCGTGTCGTCGTTCTTCATCTCATCGTCAGAAATATCTTTTCAGTATCTTTCTCGGCAAAATAAAATCGTTCATCGGTAAATAATAAAGATTAAAAAGAGGAAAAATTGAATTTTGTCATGTAATTTGTAAAAGTCAATGTTCATGTGTGTATAGCTGAAGCTATACTAGGCACATTGTACTAACGTCAAATGATGAAACGTACTGAGTTCAAATAAAAAAAGAAAAAATTAAAATGCGTCTGAATTTGCATATTATGTATGTACCATTGATCAGTATAACTTTACCATGTCTGATAAGCACAGTATCGACATACGGCAAATATTTAGTTCAAATCAACATCTAATTTTATATAAAGCCTTTCCGTCTCGGTTGTTACGCAATTCGTAGTCCGACTAGCGGCCACAATACGCGATTACAATAAAATGTCAAATAAGAAATATATTAAATAGGCTTGCTTATACATGTATATATTAAATTTAGCGCAAAATTGCGCGGAATGAGTATTGGGGGTAATTAGTCGTTCTTATTCTCAAAAGTAATGACTTCTACCTTGGTGATCTTTTTAGGATCGGGTGTTCCAGTTTCCAGGATCTCGACCTTTTGGTAAACATTTGGCGAATTTAACCAACGGGATCTGTCAGTGCCTTTACGTCCGCCTTTCCACAGCCTGCTCGAAAAAAAGGAAAGAAATTGGCTGAGCGTGCGATGTTAGCTACTTTGGTGGTGTTGAAACAAACATACGAGCGAGTTGAAAGAGAAAGAAAGCAGAAACTTACCCTTGCTTGTACAATTCTTCCTCTTCGAGCAGATATCCCAAAGACGACACAGCAGGGGGTACTTCAACATCGTTTCGCGGTCTTGGCGGCTCTCCCTTTATAAGAGGATTTCTATATATGTAGCCCGTACGGAATCCCTAAAAAATACAACGAAAGAAGAAAGGTATTACATTTTCAATGAATGTTACAGTAACGGTGGTGCGATCGTGATCCTCTAGATTGAACTTACAGCATTATCGAGCATTCTCATGAGAGCCTCAAACTCCGCACCGCCAATTCTCCAGCGTTTCTCCAGTTTTTCAGCGAGAGCGGACGATTCCACCGCTGTGCTTTGCTGCTGAGGACTTGGTGGCTTCCTCGAGGCTTCGAATATAGCTTTCTTCGATTCCTCGCTGATAAGGTTTAGATTGTCTACGCCCGCGGGCATTAACTTCAGTTGCGTCTCGCATGCAACTACGGTATTGTAAACGTTAAAGAACGCCTCTTCCACTGTTTCTCCGCAGCAAAGAGCACCGCGATTCGTCAGAAGCATAACCTTATTGACCGGTCCGAGGTTACGAGCGATCTTCTCGCGTTCTTCTGGCTCGACCGAACCTCCTATGTACTGATGGCTGCTCACTTCGCCTATCACTATGCTCTCCTGACCGATCGGTAGTAATCCGCATTTCAAGGAGGAGATCTACGCATGAAAAGAATGCGCATCAGCAATCACGATTCTTTCTTCGCATAAAGTGAACAAGTTTTAAGCCATTAATCGTCATTAAAAAGACTTTGCGTGATTAATCACTTCAACGGATTAGTGATAAAAGATACTAATGCGTCCGTAAAGAAAAAATCGATACACGAGAGATGGACGTTATCGGAAAACAAAGGAAACGAGTGACGAAACGTTTACTCACAGCGGTTACGGACGGAGTAGTAATATGAATAATGCACTTGATGTCAGGCCTGGCAGCGTGTATCGTCGAGTGCAATTGAAAACCCGTGATGTGTACGCCGAAGTTGGTCGTTCCTTGTTCGACAACCGCGCCTTGCATGTCCACCTTGATCAAACTCGAAGCGGTGACCTCGTGATAGAGCAGCCCGTAAGGATTCACCAAAAAGTGCTCCTGATCCTGGTTGAGACGAGCGGTGATTTGTCCGCCGACACCTTGAGTCCATCCGTACAGATCGAGCAATCTGAATACCGCCGCCAATTTGCATCGCAGCAACTTTTCACCCTTGGCGTATCCCATGCTTTCTACGCCGCGAATATCGTTGATGGGCAAGACGCAATTTGAATCTGTGAATCCGGAAAGAAAAGAATCGTGAGACATGCGTACATGAAGAAGCTAGGAAAAGGAAAAAAAAAAAAAGAAATATTCCCAAAGTAAATCCAACATAATAGAGGCGACTAACTTTTGAACACATTGCCGTTGAATCGAGCTCCTTGTGCACCCATCATGTCGGAGATCTGTTGCAGAAGACCGGAGGGTCCAGCACCGTCCTTCATCTGTGTCTCAATTATGCGTTCCAGTTCTTCTCGGAAGATTCGTGAATTCATCATCATCTCGACCCTCTTTCTCCTCTCCATCTCTCTCATGTCCTACGGATCAGTTCCTTTTATTTAACAAGCTTGCATTTTCATTTGTCTGCATCCAAAATGTCCCGTGAGAATTGCCAAAGTTTCAACAGATTGTCATCGAATACTGATTGATTTTTATGATCAGAGGCACGGCGAGGCTGTTCGGTATCTACAAGAGTACCGGGAGAACTGCACGGGAACTTACCGCATCGATATCGGCGGGTCTCATCTTGCTTTTTTCCTCTTCCGTTAAACCGTCCACCGCTCCGTTCGTATGTGGCTCACTCAATGCTTGTTGGCTCGGGTCTGCCATTTTCGAGCCTCGTACAAGTACCGGCAACTGCAACGCATCAGTGAAAAAGAATGTAGACTCGGCGAAGATGCGACCACAAAAAAAATTTTGTTTTTTTTTCAGACAACGAAAGGCGAACGATCGACGCGACAGACGCGCGGCGGCGAGCGAATACGCGTCGGCCGCACCGTCGTTTTGATATACGCGAAAGCGACATTTACGCTCGTTTCCCCCGAATCCGACGCTCGGTACGGGTACCTTAGCCGGTGCGCGATCAATAAAGTTGCAGAGCCCTACCAGGAATCATGTGCGTGTAGGCGAAAGCCTACGTATATACGCGCGACGCAACATTCTTTTTTCGCTTAATCGCGAGTAATTCGGCAGCAGCTCGCCCGCGCGTTCGCTCGCGTTTCCGCGCGTAATTAAGCCGCTTATCGGCTGCCGTTATTCATAGGAAAATGGGGCGAGCGAGCTATATAGGCGACTATTGCTTGTTTAACGTTCGCACTCGGATCTGTGTCACCGGTCGTTCACCGCTCGGCTTTCCTTACGCCAAGTACCGGTGCATCGGACACGCAACGCGTACTCACAACGGCCGCACACCACACACACACACACACACACATACACACACGCGCTATATCCTTATTCTATGGCGTCGCTTTTCACCTTTTCACGATGCGCTTCCCTCGCGCAATATCATCGGCCTACGTTAAATACTGCAGCGAACAATATATTACGGAACAATTGCAAGTGCTCGCAACGGCAGCAATTAATAGCAACGTGTTCTCGTCGCAGACGCGCTATTTTGTTCTTTTTTCTTCGCCGGCTCGGAGTAAAGATACGACAATCGTCCGGCCGGCCAACCATCTAATCAACAAGTCGCCCGCCGACGAGATCAATTTCAGCTCGATTAACGAGTCTGACTTAAGTTTCCGACTATTACAGCGGTGTTGCAAAAGAGCCGCGTGCGCGCGCGCGTCATTTCCGGTGCGATACGCGCGGAAAGAGGCGGACAAATAACTATATGGAATTACGCGGTGTAAAATCCAATTCTTTCCGCTCGGTGTGCCTTTATGTTTCTTCTTTTGTGTACGCTCTCGTATTGTGCGTCCCATTTTCGTCAAGATATTGTCGCTCTAAATCAATACCCCGCCGGGGTATCTTTAAACGGCCGCAATTGGAGCACTGCTGCTAATTAAAGAAATACCTATGGAAGTCGACTTCTTCGCGAAAATCAATTTAGCGCACTCAGACTTGAGATTCGAAAAGAAGACGATAAAATACGACTTTTTTCTACTCTTGGCATCTTCGTGAAGTTTTTCAGTTACGGAGAACTGAAACCAGCGGGGAGACTCAAAAATCCTCCGCGAGGGGGGGATCAGAGGGGACTGGGGGTACTATTTGTTTCCGCCAGCAACTTCAGAGCAATTCGGAGCAGATCCCCCGTGAGAAGGCGCTCCTGAAGCCGCTCTCGCGAATCAGCGGCGAATTCTTGCGTGAAAATCTCACATATTTCTCGCGGCGAATCAGCGACAAAAATACGTCTCTCTGTGCGAGTACGCGCAAACAATTTGCGCCTAATACGCGAAAATACGCGGCGGGCGTGTCGCCGTTTGAAATGTTGCCAGGCGTTGGAACACGCGCGACGACAACTCGCTCTCGTCGTGCCGGCGAATCCGAGGCGATACACTTTCGATACACGCGAATTGCCAAGCAGCCCGGAAACGCGTCGCGGTGCGCGACGAAAGGCACGAAGAGTCGCGCGAATGTCGCCCCCGGCGCGAATTGACGGTAATTAACGTTAAAGGGTTGGGCAGATATTCGGCGCAAGTGGCTTCGTTTAAGTCCCTCGCGTACAGCGCGTCGTCGTCATTCTCTCCTCTCCTCTCTCCTCTCCCGGCGTCGTTGACGTCGCGATAACGCATGCCGGTGCTCAATAATTCCGCTCTTGTCAAACAAACGGCAATACCGGAGGGTCCTTGAGCGCGATGCACGGCGCGGCGGAAAGATAGAGGAGGATGTTACGTTACGGGCACATTGTACGCAGGAACAACGAATGCTCGACCACAATGATTTTTCGAGCAGACGAAGGACGAAGGACGCGTGTCTCGTGTGTATGTGTGTGTGTGTGAGAGAGAGAGAGAGAGAGAGAGAGAGAGAGAGAAAGAGCACGCGTTCGTCGATCAGTCTCGTAGCCGAACGCGCGAGAGATATTCCGCAGTATGGGTAGTCACGCACACAATGCTCGCTGTGTTGTTCCTTCAAGTCGCAGAGCGATACTCCCATCTTCGCGCGAGAGTCGCCCGGAGACGCTCTCTCGTTCGTGAGGAGCGCTTATCGCGACGATAACGAGAGGAGACGCGAGCCGCTCCGCAAACTCAATGAAAGCGATCGCGCGCCGGCGACGACGACGATGACGATGACGACGTTCGTTACGCTCGCTGGCTCCTCGAGAGTCCCTCGAGCTCTTGCGAGTGTTCGCGGAGCCCTCGTCTTAAAATAGAGAGGGATCAGGGACGGACGGAGACGGAGTCAGATATTCGCGCATCCTTCCAGGGAACGATTTCGTTTCTTCTTCGTATGGCCGGCTGGTTCTCGGGAATATCGCGCGATCGAAGTACGCCCTGTAATTCGCTTACGCGCGTCTCTCGCGGGGAGGGAAGGGGGGAGGGGGAGAGGCGACGCCGGGAAACAAAGGAGCGGCCGAAGAGTAGTAACCGTGACTCGCGGAATCACGGAGACTTTTTCGGGGGATTATCGCGTCTCGGTCCTCGCGCCGCGAGATTTATGTCCGTCAAGATCGAAGACGAAGGCGCGAAGTAAGCAGGAAACTATGAGAATCAGGGTCAGGGTATTCCTCCTCTTTGTCTCTCTCCTTGGTCGCTAGAGCCGCCGACGATCAACGCGACCTACTTCCACCGGAGCGGCCGACGACGACGAGATTTTTAAAAGATCCGCCGCGCGGGGGCGAAGATGTTTCTTCACTGAACTCCTTCCCTTTCATGCGACGTCCGTGGAAAATATAAATTCATGCGCTCTTCGCGCGAAATTCGAGACGGTCACTCTTGACCGCCCGGCAGCTCTGATGTCAAAGCGCATCGCTCCCGGCGAAACCTCAGGAACAATAGCGAGCGTTGTGAGGTCTCAGGAAGTGACATTATGCGCGCACGGAGAGAACAAAATCTGCTTGAATTCACGCGACGATGAACGGGAAGCGGCAGAGAGAAAGAAAGAAAATACACGTTTCGGTCGGAGGAGACAAAAAGGCGCCGCGCTCGGTTCTTGCTCGTACTGTCGCGCGTACTTTCTCCTCTCTGTCCATGTAACACGCCCCGTGTTTCCCGTCGATGTTGTCGAGCGAGTTATCACGCGAGTTTATTTACAAATAATGCGCCACCGAGCGAGACCTCTCCCCGTACGGGGAGGATCACGGCTGAATATTCGGTATCGATTCAACAGCGCCCGCTATCAGTTTCACAGCGCGTCTCTCTCTCTCTCTCTCTCTCTCTCTCTCTCTCTCTCTAATCCTCTCCGATTTGTACTCAATGGCGCGACCATTGTGGGCGACAGGAGAGTCCGTCCGGCGAAGAAAGAAAGAACGAAGTTTAAAACACGGACACGGTGCGTCGCGCCGCGCTGCGGCACCGTTATTACGCGAGCTCGTGCGATATCAATGATGATGATGGGAGCCCCCTTACGCAACGTAGCCCGCAGCTAGCGGAATCGTCGCGCACACGTGCTCACGTCTCCTGCGTGTGGATCGCATCTCTGTTTGTGCCACGGCCGTGGCCGAAAGAAACACACACGGACTTCTTTCTCTGTCTTTCCCCCCTCCTCCTCCCTCTCTCTCTCGTTAGTGTTTTTATTTTCATTGACCGCTCTCAGCCATGAGCGAGAGAGAGAGAGAGAGAAAGAGAGAGAAAGAGAGAGATCCCATGAGTTTCTGGGCGTCGACTCGTTTTTACATGCGACGACTCAGAGTCAGTCCACCACTCGTATTTTCAGCTATGATTCACATCAAAGCGCGCGATATCGATATCGCGCTCGTCCGCTCCTTGCCGAGAGAAAGGCGGACGCGAGATCGTGTGTGAGAAGGACCGATCTCGACTCGCTCCGCATCGGCCCGATCGGGTGACTTCTTTAATTAATTAAATCTGAAGAGCGTTGTCCCGACTGACGCCGAGTCGGCCGATCGTCTTCTCTCTTCTTTTTTTTCCAACACTGATTTCTGTATCGCAGACACAAGTATTGACACTGATTAAAGCGCGTATCGTGCGGCTCTGCTATTTGCACTGTCGATAAATAACAGGCGCGATGTAATAACGCCCCGACGATAATAGAGAGTTTTCCAAACGATTAATTTATATATGTATTATTATGTGCGTGTGTGTGTGTGTGTGTGTGTGTGCATGCGCGCGAGCTTATTGAACATCCCGATTGCGAGTCGACCACTACGCGCGAACAACAAGCGCGTCGTTTCGAAATATTTTCCGCTTTAAACGCTTACGTCATACACACGCGAAAACGATCTCACGTTAGCGCGGATTATCGTTGGTCGGGCGACCGGCGAACGGCAAACGGCGAACGGCGACAGACACTTAACGCAATGACGTCATGGTTAATCACAGATTATGCTCGTCACGGCGGGCGAGCAACGCAGAGCGCCGTCAATTACAGCAGAGGAAGAGAGAGACCACGAGAGAGTAACGATGACAAAAATGAAACAGCGAAAGAGACAATTGATCGTCAATTACAAAAGAATACACACACACACACACACACATGCGCGCGCGCACACATAGCGACAGTGTGTGCACATTCGCACCGAGAGAATCGCTCATCAGGCGTATTTTTGTATCTCACACACGTTCGTCCGCGTTTCACGGCTCTCTCACAACGAGATGTGTACCGTGCCGTTAATGTCCCGAGTTTCTCCGGGGCTGCGCTGAGGAAACCCGACGTTCCCACAATCGTCCGGTAAAAATGACCCGTGATCTCGTGTACATTCTAAGATCTACCAATAGGTCTCATTCTCTTCGGCAGCAAGTAGGTTGCAGCATTTTTCCGTCCGAGTGAAACGAGCGCATGAATTAGCGTCGAGGGGAGAAGAAACGAGGTTTCAGTGCAGTAGCAGCAGCAGCAGTAATTCGGCTAAAAGGCCTTTTCAGCGCCGCACTGGAACGTCGTTTCTTTCTTCTCAACGTTCTAGCGTACATATCCGTTTCAGCGTAACGGCAAAAGGCTTCCGCCAAATAGAGCAAACCCGATGACATCCATCTTCCAAAAGTCGACCGGCCGACCGTTGTGTTCTGCGAACGAGCCGGCCGGATCACGAGAGCAAACGCGCGCGCACACACAGGGTGTCTCCTAATGAGCGGACGTAGTAACCGGGAAGAGCGGGTGTCTCCGTGTATCGTCAGCAATTGTGCTCGTGTGTTCGCCTCCGCGGGGAATGATGCAAGTGATATCTCTCGCCTGCGACTCTCGAATACGAGAGCGGTTGTTGATCATTGCGTTGACCTTTACGAGGAGGTGCTGGTCGCATCGACTCTGAGATCGAGAGAGATTAATCGACGGTGTCCCTATTTCGCAGCGCGTTTCGGGTTCTACCCGTTCAGCCTTACGCTGGAATGTAGAAACGGAGAGAAATCAGCCTTGCTGATACACACGCAACGTATCAGCACGGATCTGTCGCTTCGAGTTGACCGACCGATCGACCGACCGACCGACCGACCGACGGACTCCAAACGGCGGATCTACGTGCGTCACTACTAACAAGTATACATAATTAGCCGAGCGGAACGTTCAACTCGAACGTTGATCGATGGGTCGTCACCCATCATCGCTCGTGGCGGCAAGTCCGACGTACAGACACGGGAGCTCCGTCGGCCGATGGTGAGCTGCTAGCCCTGGCGGCCTCGCCAGGACCAGGACGATGCAAATGGCGACATTTCAGGGGAGAGGGGGGAGGGGGCAAATTTAGATTTCAATCGGTCGCGATCGCGACCGCGGACACGGTGGCTTCGTCGCAGAGCCCGCGCGTCAATGACGGGCGACGAGAGTCGCCTCCGCCGCTGCTGTCGACCGGGTCGAAACCGCACGCGGCGGACTTGACGCGTCCGTCGAGGTGCTAACGCATCCGTCGCCGTCGAATCTTATCGGCCCGACACACCCCTCGCGCTACGTCATTCACACACATATAATCTAGTCGGGCGCGAACGGCCGACGACGAGCGTAGCGAGTACAGCTACGCGCAGCGAAGGAAGTCGCACCCGCGAGGAGGGCGCGACTCGCGGAGAGCTCGGCCGGCCGAGGTAGCCGTCGCAGCCGTGGTCGTGTGTCGTCGTCGATGACGGCCACGGCGGCGGCGGCGGCGGCTATCGGTCTCGTCGACGGTGACTTACCTACAAAGGAATCGCCAGCCGCCGCCTTCTTGTCCCCGAGCGAGAGAGAGAGATATGCCCCGTGCGCCCGTTTCACCAACCGTACGACACACAGCTCCGTCCGTATCACACACCGCGCGCGCGGCTGTTCCGTTCGATGAACAGCTTCCCCGCCTCCGCCTCCCCGCCTCCACCGCCACTGCCGCCGCCTCTGCGTCTCTGCCTCCGCTCCGAGCCGCCGCCGCCGTCGCCGCCGACGAAGCTTCGGACGAAGCGAGCTGCCGTCTAAGATTCTTCTTATCGCAGGCGCATCGATAAACGGCCGTGGCCGAAAGGGGCACGCGCACGCTCGCGATTAACAGCGTCCGGGCAAGCCAGCTCGAAGAAGCCGAGCGAGCCGACGAGACCGCGTTCCTTACGCGCGGGCCTCTCCGGCTGCCGCGGGAAATCGCATAGCTGGAGCAGTTCCGCGCCGGAATAGATCGCGCTGAGGATCGCTCTCTCGCCTGTCCACCGATCGCAGCCGTCTATACAGCCGCGAGTCGCTGCTTACTATGAATCGCCGAGGACCGGAGTTACCGGGTAAACGCCGCGTGCGCGCGCACACGCTACCTCGAACCGTCGCGACGAGATCCCGCGCGCTAGATGGCCGTTGCACTTGATGCGCCGGAGACCTCCCGCTCCGCCCCGCCACCTGTCGGCTGCACACCTGCACCTGTGGCTGATTTGTACACTGGAAAGCAAAACGGTTTCGACAGTTTTTTTTTTTCTAGTGACATGAATAACCCATATAATTGTGAATTTGAGAATCACTTGCACAAGAGAGAGAGAGAGAGAGAGAGAGAGAGACCCGCGATCTTTTGTTTTGTGTAGTTTGCAGGTTAAGCAGTGATCCTCAAATTCACAACTATACGAATTACCCATTACAAAAAATTCTGTCATTAGAAGAAAAACTGCCGAAACCTTTTTGCTTTCCAGTGTATGTACAGCGGCTTTGGTCCGGTTTAGTGACAATTTAATTAGTGACAACTGTAGTTAGTGATTTCTTGCACGTGATTATACACTTTTGGCATTTTCTCTTAAATCTAAAATATATTCCAATCAAATGTGAGAGCGCGCTAACTTGTGGCGTATTTGAGTGAGTGGGTTTTAATTTACATCCTAGGTTTTTTAGGGTCGAAATGTAGCTTTGTGATTGGCTACTAGAATCTTGTAACGTCATTAGATTGTTGTAAAACCGGATTGACGTTGCCATGTGAACGTACCCTGCGACCGCCATCTTTGCTACTCGCAGTGCCGTCAATTCGTTCGTACGCCGCGTTTCAGCGGGCAGCACATAGAAAAATGTAAGAAGTAAAGCGTAGCTGGGTACCTATTATGGAACTCGTCGGAATCGATTCCGATCGGAATAATTCCGTTTCCCCTAGAAAAGACAATAGAAATCTAAGAAATAACGGAATAAATTCGATCGGAATCGATTCCGACAAGTTCCATAATAGGTACCCTGATCATAGATGAAATGTAAGTGGTGATTGCTTACATTCTCAACTATAATGGGTTGATTTGCTCATTGCTTACATTCTCCTGCGCGCCATCCGCTTTACCGACATTTTTCAGGTCGGGTCTGTTCTTTGCAATTAAACTAGCTCGCGATTTTGCCTTTACAGTGAAATGGTTGTATAACATAATCAGGTGTTGAACAGGAAATTAATGAGGTTCCAATGTAGCGAATTAGCTGAAGAGAACGGATTTATCGCCCCGTTCGATCTGTTAACCCTCAAGTTTTTCATTAGAGACGATTTTTGTCATTTATGACTCGGCTCTTCGGTAATTTCTGACTTAAAGAAGGTATTTATGTAAATGGTTAATGAGGAGAAACTAAAAGTCTACCGATAAGAAAGAGATACACGAACAGATGACAATTTTTCTCGAACATCCTATATACTGTTTTGAAAGATGGCGGCGAATTTAAGTGCCCGCCGCGGAAGTTTCAGAATATACAGATTCGATCCAAATGTAATCGCGATGGCAGGGAGCGCGGTCTTATTATTCCATTACAATCGATAACGAAAAGAATACACAATGTAACTGGCATATTGTATATTCCGTTCTCCATTGACACATGAGCGTGTATGTACAAAGTCCTTCAGGAGAGAATTTAGTTTCCTCATATAAAAAATGAATCCTGTCTACTTTAGCGTGTGTTTCACATCGATTGGATCGTTGATGTATATGAATCGTGGACATTTTTATTTATCTCGCACGTGTAAATCGCACGGCCACGTTTAAAGTAAAAGTAACAATGTTGGGACGCATAATTCTGGATAATTTTTAGTTCGGTTCTTAAATAAGAGTAGTTAAATTTTCAACATAGAATACACATACACGCACATAATTACACATGTTCGACGTTGAAAATTTAAATATCCATATTTGAAGATCAAAGCAAGAATATTTCTGTTCTGCACGAATGGAGACATATTCTATAATGAATGTTTAAATGTTCCAATTTAGCGGCCAAAATAATAAGAATGGAGTAACATATGTCTCTTGACATCGGTACTTTTATCTTTATGACAGCAGAAAAAACAATTCTACCCTGTGAGATTTTCTGCTGGGCATTGTCTAGCGCAGTTTATGCTTTTCCAACATACTTATACTAATCGTTTATCAACTTTCTCAGCGTACCAAAAATACGCCTGATAAAATGTATCGACCAAAAAAATCGTTCATAAGAATCTGTGGAATCGTTGGAAGTGTAGCACAAAACGCTGAAACGTAGCGTCGACTTTTGCTAAACGCAGCCAATATTTAGTGTCTAATTTTACCGGTGCGTGTCTACAAAGATGTGGTCCTGTTCGAAAAATTCATTACAATATCTGTATCTATAGCATGACATGACTTGGAACGTTACAGACGCAATTACAATTACAGATGTAACATTTAATAATTAACTCTCGATATACCGATTTTAGTTTCGCAATTTTCTGTCGTAGCGATTCTATTTGTAAAAGAGTATTTCATGTTTTATGGATTTTAGGAATCTCTTTTTTAGGAATCTACTGTAACAAAAAAATTTCTTTTTCAACAGGATAACCCAATCTTATAATTTAATCAATACTACGATAGTATATCGAGGGTTAAAGGACGTAACGCTTCGCAGGCACATCTTCTCTGTACTTAAGTAAAAAAAGAAAGAGAGCGAGAGAGCGAGCGAGAGAGAGAGAGAGAGAGGGGGGGGAGAGAGAGAGAGAGAGAGAGAGAGAGGGGGGAGGGAGGGAGAGTCTCTTTTGATGAAAAGGAAACGGAAAACCCAACTGACCAATAAAGTTCTATTCAAAATTACTAATCACTGTTTTTTCTTTTTTGTTTAAAATAAATGCGATCCCATTTCCTATACCAATGCCTTGTCTTTATTAAATATATTTAATTAATACCTCTTAATAAAGTCGACTAAATTTGGTGTATACGTTGTGTGCAATTCTTTTGTATCGATCTCTTAAGAAACTTAGATCCTTGGATTGACAAAATTATTTTCCAAACGGTTATCATTATCGATAACAGTTTAATATAATTTTCGTTTCAGTTGTACAAAAAGGATAAAAAGAAAAATTGTGATGTAGAAAACTGAATTACATGCCATGTCGTCAAAACATCAGATACGCCTTAGCGTTTCTTTTGAGATCTAAACTTTTGTAGAGATAAAAATGCAAGAATAAAAAATAGGAATTTGAATAATTTCTAAGGTGAATTTGGAAATGTACAAATTTGAAGTCTTGATAATTCGAAGATCTAAATGAGTTACAATTCAAGGATTCGAGAATTTAAGTATTTATCTGTGAGAAGTAAACACGCTGTGAATACAATATTGACTATAAACAACATTCTCTGTTAAAAGGTCGCAAGCAAAGCTGCAAAAAGGAAAATATAAATATAATATATATAAAGGAAATAGAGATTTAGAGATTATTTACTTCTTGGGCTTTTGTATTTTGAAATTGGACGGTTATATGCTTTTCAGAGTCTCTTATTTCTTGATAAGATACTCGTCAAACGTTGCAGGGTCAAATATTTATAATATATTATAGAATATATTATAAAATAGATACTTATCATACATACGGGATACAAGATATGTGTAAATTTATAGATATAATTCTATATACACATATTGATTTCTTTGATTTTATCTGCGGATATTCAAATGTCTATTGAAATCCTTGAATGTTTGCAAAAGATAGATATTTGGAATGTATAAAGTGACAAGGATAAAAAGGAAAACCACAAGTCCGAAAAGAGTTGTTAAGTCTATGAACTTGAGAGTACAAGGATCTAAGAACACAGGAACGCGTAGGCATTTGTATATTTAAGAACAAAGGAGATCTAACAATCATGGATCAAAATGTGTAAGTATATTGTACATAATATAAAAATGTAACTCTATATATAAAAGATACAAATTTACAAAGAAAAGAAATCAATATCTTGAATACAGGTCCTTAGATTGTCGAAATTTTCTGAGATTCTTTTTGGTTTTAGATATATGCAGAATAATAGATGTAATTACCAAAACCAAGATCATAAAACTCCCAGCCACATTTTCTGAAGAATCTAAATATCTGAAAAGATCTAGAAGTGAATTGATCTGTGAGTGATAAATGTAACTTATGTGTGATATATGAAATTCTAGATAATTTCATAGAGTTACAAATCCAATGATTACGAATTGAGAAATATAATAAATAGAATTGACTAGACTTTGATAATTTTAGAACTTTAGGATTTTAGGAACTTTAGGATAGAACTGACAAAAGCACTGATTTTTTCAACCCATGATGGATAGATAAGATGATCCAATGAATTTTGATATTAATGAATTTAAATAGTCACTTTTAATGCTCCAAAAACTTCAAAGATTTGGAAACTTGTGTAAATTCAAGAAGTTAAAAATTCGTTGAGATGCATATTCAAATAGGTATATATGTACATATGGAGAGACTTGAAACGTTCTTAATAATTGAATGATAAATATAAGAATCCATACACAAAAGTACGGAAATTCATAAATTTAAATTTTATAAACTGCAGAGAGTAATGTTTCTATAAAACAAATAATCATAACGTTATCATTGAATAATATAAAAAGATTATTGTATCAAAATTCAAAAGGAAAAATTAGCTATTTTCTAAGAAGAATATTGTTTACCTAGATAGAAATTAATACGTTCCAATAATGTAATTTTCTAATTTTTATGGTTCTAATGCAGTTTGTCATACGTTTTATCAGATTAACATTGAACAATTATAATATAAAGAAATTACGAAAATATAATAGAAAGCATAAAGATTTATTCTGTTGATTTGTTGGTCCGTAAATTATGTTCAAGATTCGTGCTTCAAGGAATTTTTAACTTCTTGACTTTACATTTATATGACAATATAGTTATTTTTATCTATTTTTATCGTGTATATGTGTGATGACATACAACGTATATACATAAAATTTAATCGACCTCTTTATGAAATATCAAATATATTGATTGTAAAGGCAAGGCACTGGTATAGAAAACGAGATCGTATTTATTTTTGTACGTAATCTAAATTGATAATAGCTTAAATATAAAAATAAACGAAACCTATAAGACATCGGTGAACTTCGTTTCTTTATCCGCAGTCTCGTAATTCTCTAAGAAACGATGCACCTAATCGACATTATTATTTACAGGACATTTACACGATATGTTACAATCTTTTCTTCGGCAACGAGCCAAAGGCCGATATAACGGTGGGTTTGGTACCGGTGGCGGACGACGTGAGTGTCGTCAAGGTGGGTTGAGTGAGAAGGACCGTGGGCTTACCCGTTGCGGCAGCAGCAGCTGCGGCTGCAACGGCGGCGGCGGCGGCGGTGCCGCCGGTTGCCACCTGGTCCCATTTACTTTTCCGTTTCTTGGCATCATCCTCGGGACCACTGGTAGAGCTGTTTGGCCGTTTTGCAGTCCCAGATACGATCTCGATCTTCGTCTTCTCCTTACGCGCCTTCTCGAGCTTGTCCATCTCCGCCTTTTGCACCTTGGCAAGCTCCTCGTAATAAGAATCCTTGCTCCATTTGAACGGGTCGAATCTGTCCGGTGGATAGTTGGTGCCCAGCTCGTTAATGCTACAAAACTGAATGAGTTTTTCGTAAATTGAGGGATTCCGAAAATCCTTGCGCTGCTGGATCAGCAAATTCATGTCCAGCCCGCCGCTCTCCATCTTCCGACAGAGCTTCGTGATCTTGTCCTGCAGCTCGGGGGGACATTGAGTCGCCGGCTCCGGCGGGATTATTACCCCATAAGGATCCGTCTCGACACCATCTGAAAGCAATTCTCCGGGACGCAAGGAGGGCGACCGGCGTTCAGCACCGGCGGCGACGGTGGCAGTGGCAGCGACGACGGCAGCGGTAGCAGTGACGGCAACGGCGGCAGCAGCATTAAGAGCAGCAGCGCCGGCCGGGAGACCATTCTCCTCGGTGCGTTCCGCCACCGTCGCGCTCGCCGTCGTCAACAACGGCACCGGCAGTGCAACGGCCGCCCCCTCGTCGTCGGAGACTGTCGTGTCAAAATAAGAGACCAATCGCTGCACCTTCGTGGTCGCGTCCGGCAAGTCGCTACTACCGAACTTGCCGACGACGGGACTGTGCGAGGCTGAACGGCCAGATATGGGACTGATGGATCGGGCCTGGGGCTGACGACCGACTTGGGCATTATGCGGGGCGGCCCCCTGGGGAGTGTTCGAATTCTCCTCCTGCAGGCGCTCGTCTTCCACCCCGTCCTCGCCCTCCGAGTCGGTATAGGTGGCCGTGAGAGATGCCAGAGCAACACTTTGTACAGACATGGTTAGTTGGCTTTGAGTGCCCACTGTGCTACCAAGCGATATTTTGTGTGGGAACTCACCGGTCTGGCGTAGTAGCCTGACCCAGCGCACGTGAGCCACGTAAGGCTTTAGGCACAGGGACAAGGAGGCTTTTATGGGCCTGGTGGGTGCGTTGAGATTTGGTCGCTTTTAGTACGAACCTAGAAGTAAACCATATAGATTTTCATCCGAATGTCATATAAGATTTTTTAGAATTATTGTACTATGTAACAACATTATATTTTTATGCATACCTTGTGTTATTCTATTTACACAATCTATATAATAATATTGATCTACCAGTGTATTATGTAAGAGATTTATAGGAGATGTATAGGATTGTTATATTAAATATATAACAGCATTAATCAATATATTTATGTATCTTGTGACATTATTCCACTTATATCTTTATAACTGAAGACTATATAACAATTTGCTTCTTTATACCATATATTAGATTTTATATATTTAAATAAAGATTGTTAGAATAAGTATTTTACAGATAATACTGATTTGTTTGCAAAAAATCTATGTTTAAGTTTAAGTTATTATCATATGTCTTCAGTGGACAAGCTTATGTGCATTATATCTATTGTCTTTAAATTTTCCACAGACCCTTGAATTGATTTGAGGAGAAAATCATATGACCGATAAGATTTCTGTGACGTGCAATCGTAAATCGGTTAACTTTGCAATCAATAGATAAGTAGCAATAGCAAACAAACATGTAGTATTAGCGTCTAAAACATAGATTTGTCAAAAACATCTAATTTGTACGTTTGAGGTCAAGCTAACAAACGAAATGTAGGTTAGAGTGAAACGATACAACTTGATCCTTAGCATGCGAAAATCCTCACTCACCTCAAACTTTCAACGTCCACGATCAATTGGAACTCAATCGTTTGTACATCATTAATCTTCAGCAAAATCGCCAAGCGATTCCAATAAACTTGGACAAAGCGAAATTACTTCACTATCAACGCGTTCCTTCCCGAGATACTTTGCGTCTACGATTTTCGCTATTAGTATTGAATATCCATAATATACGTGACATAAACTATAGAGTTTTAGTCGACAGTGAATTTTGGAACGCGGATCTATTCTGTAGTTTCTTGATGACAATTGGTCTGTTCTTTGTAGCTGCACTGCTGAACTGGTGCAATAAGCTAGAGTGAGAAAACCTATATTTGTCTCACTTTAACTTATTCTACCAGTTCAACAGTGCAGCTACAAAGAACAGATCAAATATCACTAGTATGATATGTCGTTGCGCATCTTTTTTGCTATATATTAAAGCCAGCGTCACACGGTGCTTGTTTTCGTGCTGGATTGCTTGCTGGATGAAAATACTGCGTTCTGATTGGTGCATTTCTATTCATCTTCGGAAATGTACCAATCAGGACGCAATATTTTCATCCAGCAAGCAATCCAGCACGAAAACAAGCACCGTGTGCCGCTGGCTTTACAGTATTATCAGGTAGTTTTGAAATTTTCTTTTAAAATGTGAGTTTCAAGATTCCTTGAAAACCTCCTAAAAGATTCGCTAATTTGTCGTGAAAGCGAATATTTCTAAATACTTTTAAATTCGAAAATTTTCGTTTTTCACGAGTTCACCCTAGAGAGAAAAAATTCATGATCGAGGCTGCGTTCCAAAATTCACTGCCAATACTGAAAATCTATAGTTCACGTTATGTATACTATAAAATTTCAGTACCGACAGTGAATTTTGGAACGCAGTCTGACTTTCAAGAATCATAACGTATACGATTTTTATTTTAATTTCTCTCTGATTTTAATCGTGGTTAGAAAGTCGGTTATTATATTCCAATATGTAGTACCAATATCTTCGCTACGAGTCGCCACTATTTCTCATGAAAATAACCTATGTCTATGGTAAAACTAATGACAAATCTGAGCATGTAGTATACTCTACAACGAGTCAGACGCTATTTTTATCTTTATTTCTTTTCTGATCACAGCAAGTCTAAAGACTTTTTTTTATTTTTACATAATAAATACAACTCAACAACTGGTCAGATGTATTTTTATATCATCTAAAGAAATTTAAAATATTACTTCATTACTCGCTATTCATTATAAAATAAGTAATATACATTTAACCGGTTGTTGCTGCGCCGGAAATAATTGGTCTGTTCTTTGTAGCTGCATTGAACTGGTGTAATAAGTTAAAGTGAGATAAATATAGGTTTTCTCACTCTAGCTTATTGCACCAATTCAACGGTGCAGCTACAAAGAACAGGCCAAATGATAGCGTTATCGTGATAATGAAAATGAGTCTTTTGTTCGCCTCTGCCAGCTTTCGTGGCGATTGGATGTAGTTCCTGTAATTACGTATATTTTTGATCTTGGGGACTTGGGTACGCGTTGTCTCTGTTTCTCTTTTATTTCCTAAATCGTTGTGATTGGCGTAGGAGGGGTGTAATAACTCTGCTCAGAGTCATATATTGAATGAATGAATAAATGAATAATGAGAATGAGTGCGAATGATGATTCAAGTGAATATTTGTCTGAAGATAATTCGTTAACGTAAGTATCGAAATTGAGAGACCGTGTTGTAAACAGAAGAATTTTGTGTCGACTTTTGCAGAGGTATCGTTGAACATAGAGGTGACTGATAGCTTATATTGGATTTAACGTTGATTTTATAAGATAATTATAAAAAATGTGAATCTCTTTTTTTTATTTAAAATAAGGTATATTTATTGTGAATGTGATAATGTTATAATTAGTGAGATATGTAAAGTCGTAAAAAAAGGATAATTTTATACAAGATTTAAATAATATTTACTACTGTATTATTCTCTATTATTATCTTTATATCAATAGTTTATACATAATTATGTTAATTATATGATTCTATTATATATTGTATAAAAAATATTTTTTTATATAATATTATTCCAGATATAGTCAGTTGAGGATTATTTGCAACAGTATATTAATACACTTTAATCTATAATTGAAAAAAATAATATAAGTAATAGCAAGCAGATATAGTATTTATGGAAAATCAATATATCTTAATAAAACAGTATTGAAACAGTCTTAAAAAAAATATGACAAAAATTGATAATAGCTTAAATATGGAAATAAGTGAAACTTACAAGTCATTGGCGAACCAAAATCATATTCAAGAAAGATTGAATAGCTTCAATAAACGTACTTATATGAAATGCAGAATAGTATGGTTCAGCCTTGGTTGTTCCATTATGGTTGTTTCCTTATTGATGCTCTTAAATACATTGATAGTCACTACTCAGAATTATGAAAGCATAGAAATGCAGCTAATGATTGATGTGAATAATGATACTATTGAAGAAACAAAATATCAGCATATATCTGTGGATACTTCAGATACATATATTGATCAGCAAGATTATAATTATATAATGTATAAAAAGATAAGCCTAAAAGAAATAAACAACTTATATGAGAAAAATACAGCCCCTGATCAGGTATAAAATATAGTTTCTTATATAAAAAATATATTATTAGTGCCTTATTACTTGTATGTGTTTAAATAGTGCAGCAATATTCCTGAAGTACTACGTTTTGATTGCTATCCAGAGGATGGAGCATCGCAACTTTCTTGCACAAATAGAGGATGTTGTTGGAAACCTCTTGAAAAAGGGACAGTATCACGTATATTGAATGTCCCATATTGTTACTATCCACAAAATTGGGACTTGTATAAATATATTAATTATAGTCGAGATGATAGTGATTTTTCAGGCTTTCTTAAACAAGAAAGAAAATCTGCATATAAGAATGATGTACCTCTTGCGAAAATAGAAGCTATAAATATAGATAGTTCAACTTTACGTGTGAAGGTGCAATATATATTAATTTATATATTCTTTAATTATATAAATATATAAAATATTATAGTTCCTATTACTATGTAATATACTAGGGAAATAATGCAATGTGTACACAATATAATTTTCAGATATATGATCCTTTAAACGCGCGATATGAACCACCATGGCCAGTTAAGTTAGATACAAAATCTGTCTTATCTGAGATTGCCAACAAAATGTATCATTTTAAAAATGATGAAGTGAGACCTGGTTTTAAAATTGATAGAATTAGTGATGGTACAACATTGTAAGTATATTATTGTACTCAAATTGTGATAAAAGCTGTCTTTTAAGCTTCAAGCTTGAGGATATAAATAACTTCAGCATTCTACTCCAATTGAAGCCATAAGCTTACTTGTATTATTTACATCCTGTGTGTAGATTCAATTCTATTGGCATCGGAGGTTTCATCTTTGCCGATCAGTTTTTACAAATAAGTTCGTTACTTCCTACAAGCAACATCTATGGCATTGGTGATCATAGGTCAAGCTTAAAGTTAGATACGAAATGGCAATCGTTTACTTTATTCAATAAAGATCAACCACCAGCAGAAAATGTAAGTTGTTTTTTATTATTATCAATTGTATATAAATACTATATTATTGTTCATGTAATAAATGGTATTTTTTCTATTTTTTTTGGTTAGGCAAATTTGTACGGATCTCATCCGTTTTATATTGTTATTGAGGATTCTGGTATGGCTCATGGAGTTTTATTTTTAAATAGTAATGCCATGGGTATGTTGTTTTGGCTTGGTACATATGACATTACATTATTATGCTCAAAGTAAATCGATTATCTTGTATCTTCTAGATGTAATATTGCAGCCAACACCAGCTATAACGTTTAGAACAATCGGTGGTATTTTTGATATTTATTTCTTTTTGGGGCCTACCGCAGCAGACGTTGTGAGACAATATTCTGAAATCGTAGGCAAACCGTTTATGCCACCTTATTGGTCGCTTGGTTTTCATTTATGCAGGTGAAATATTATAAAGTTTAATGTAAGCACACAGAATAATACTGTTTATGCGTTGCCAGATATGGATATGGAAACTTAGAGAAAACCAAAACAGTATGGAACAGAACGAGAGCTGCTGGAATTCCATTTGTAACGTTTTTCTCTTATTATTTGTAAAATATTTGAATATTCATAAGCAACTGTAAACTGTTGTACAAGCCATGTGCTATATTGACAGGACACTCAGTGGAACGATTTGGATTATATGGATAAAAACAACGATTTCACATATGACAAGAATACGTTCAAGGACTTGCCAAAATTCGTAGAAGAGCTTCATTCGGTAAAGTATACCAAAGGCAAAGAGATATGCATAAAAATGTTACCATGCGCAAATATTGCCATTTGCAAATAGCAGAAGTATATCAATCTTTTCACTCACAGATTGGAATGCATTATATCCCTTTAATCGATGCCGGTATATCCGCTTTCGATAATAACGGTTCTTATCTTCCATATGTCGAGGGAATAAAACAGGATATATTCGTAAAAGATGGTGTTTCGAACGAGCCTTTCGTCGGCAAAGTCTGGAATCTTGTTTCTACGGTGTGGCCCGACTTCACAAACCCGAAAACAACTAACTACTATGCAAAAATGATGAGCAATATGCACAATAGTTTTGCGTATGATGGCGCATGGATTGTAAGTCTCAATTCATTCAAACAATCTCACACATATACAGCTATGTGTATTTATTATTATTATTATTATTATTATTATAGGGCAAAACGTCCAATAGCCGACACTTTTATATGAATTTTATCAAATGTTAAGGTATATGAGAGTTAAACATAAACAATAATAATTGACAAATTCCCACATATTTTAATATTTGATCAAATCCGCGCAAGAGTGCCAGTTACTGCACGTTTTATCCTATATGTTTTAATCGGCTTCTTTCTTTTTATCTCTTCTACTTAAATATTCCGATTGCATTAAGGATATGAACGAACCATCTAACTTCTACAACGGTCACAAAAATGGCTGTTTACACACTAATCTGGATTATCCTGAATACGTACCCAACGTCGTCGGTGGTTTGCTCGCTACGAAGACTCTGTGTATGAATGCAAAACATCACTTAGGCTCTCATTACAATCTTCATAATACTTACGGGATAAGTCACGCAATTGCTACGAATTAGTGAGTAGATGTACAAGTCGATGTCTGTTATAAAGTATTCGACCGTTGTAAAGAGCTTATGAAATTATTCTTTAAAACCAAACGCGCAGCGCTCTCAAAGAAATCAGGAAGAAAAGACCATTTGTAATATCGCGCTCGTCATGGGTAGGACACGGTTATTACGCCGGCCAATGGACGGGCGACATTTATTCCTCATGGTGAATATGAATTATAATTTTATGATATTACTGAATTAAATTTTAAATTTGTGATATAACTGTATTCCAATCTAGACAGTTAAGATTTCATAAATCTAAATTATAATTTTATGATACATCGTTATAATTTTCATCTACTAATTTTGGGAAATTATTTTATCAGGCACGATATGAAGATGAGCATTCCAGCAATCTTGTCGCAAAATTTCTATCAAATCCCCATGGTAGGCGCAGATATTTGTGGATTCGACGGCAACACGACCGTTGCGTTATGCAACCGCTGGGTGCAACTTGGCGCCTTCTATCCGTTCTCTCGAAATCACAATTCCGATAATACGATCGTGAGTGCCGATACATAATGCAATATTGTGCATGGTCTCTGAAATGCAACATATAAATAAAAATGCATATTGCACAGGAACAGGATCCGGTCGCCATGGGCGACTTGGTTGTACAATCCTCGAGGAATGCTCTCAGGATACGTTACCGGCTTTTACCGTATTTGTACACGTTATTCTTCAGAGCGCACAAGTTCGGCGACACGGTGGTGCGTCCGCTCTTCTTTGAGTATGTATCTGTTTGAGTATATATGTGTTGAGTATGTATGTATTACTCGACAAAATTAGATTTCACTATGAATTTGGTTATCGAAACCATTTCATTTAATTATAATGTAAATTTAATTATGATATATGCATTGAATGTCGCATAGGTTTACCTACGATACGCAAACTTACGATATTGACACACAGTTCCTCTGGGGAAGGTCACTTATGATCAATCCCGTCCTCGAAGAGGTGCGCGCTTCGTTATTCGATTATTTTATTCTTTTCGAAATAAGAAATGTTACGACAGTTTTTAAATCATTCTTGTTTACATCCTCTACAGAACCAAAGTAACTTGACTGTTTACGTACCACGCGGACTGTGGTACGATTATCACACTCTTGTATCTTTCTTCTCCATTGGGAAGCATTTCACGTTGCCTGTGCTGCTTACTGAAATACCATTATTGATTCGCGGTGGTTCGATACTTCCAGCGCAGAAACCAGGCGCGACGACGACCGAGAGCAGGAAGAATAATTTTGAATTATTAGTGGCTTTGAATGAAGTCGGTTATGCCGAAGGAGAACTCTACTGGGACGACGGTGATAGCATAGGTATGCAATAGACGTAATACCGAAATATATTCGAAGCTTCAAATACAATTTATAGCCTCAGTGTGTAACGTATTGACAACGATGTGCATTTTGCGATTCGTCTCGACTATTACATTCTTTTTTTTTTTTCAAAATCCACAGATTCTGTAGAAAAGAACGAATATCTGTGGTTGATGTTCAATGCATTCTCGAACATGACGAAATTAGTGAGCACGAGAATGGATATCGGCACTTTTAACGACGAAGTAATACTTGGCAGAGTTGATATTTTGGGCATACATTATTCAGTCAGCGAGGTTTACCTAAACGACAGTCCTGTCAAATTCGCATACAATATCAACACGAAGGTAAGTTCTCTAAGTCGAATATCGATTTATTACTTAAGATAGAACAAAAATTCACACGTACAAGCGCACGCTAGAACATGTGATGATTATTTTAGAACTTGAGTATCTTTGGTATCCAAGTGGACATGAAGCGACCATTCGTATTTACTTGGACCTACATGCCGTTTTTTTAAATGTCTCTTTGAGTCACGCCGCTTCAAGTTTTCAGTCGCGGTATGTAAATCATATTACTTAATAGTCATTAATGTGATGATACAAAAATCTGTTTGTTATAATATGCATCGATGCGCTATGACTTATATAATATTAAACATATATTTTATAAGCTATTTTCTTTTTTTTTAAGTAAAAATATGTATATTTTCGTATAGATATATTCGTAAAATAAAAACAAGAACATTGCAAAAATGAAACAACTGTGTGCTGTTTCAATAAATAGAACTACCGAACAATGCATATACAAAATGCGTATACAAAACCAACATCGACATTTGTAGAATTTTACGTGTGGGATTAAATGAGAGGGAAATTTGATATTTCATAAATGCAAGGGAGCGAATAAAGAAACGTGTGTTTATTCAAATCTTCTTGCTCTTACAATATATTAATGTACAAATATATGCCTGAGTTTATGGCACTAAAGAGAAAATAATAAATAATACTACGATCGCTGTTGTACAGGCACGAGAAAACACACGATCGTAATATCGTCCGTGATCGAGCGAGAGAAAAAAAAAAGAGAGAGAGATAGGAAAGAGATTAGGACTCACGAAGACGCAGTCGTTAACGCGGACGTAGTCGCTCTAGCGTCGCTTTGGTACTGTAACTGAAAAAAAAAAGATACCGCTGAAACATGCCAAGTCGACGTGGTCGAGGTAACATAGGAAGCCGCGTTTCCCAATGGCGGTGCGAGGCGGTTCACCTTTTCGACCTCGATCTATATTCAAAATGCACTCCGACCCTCATTTGCAAACGTCGGCTCGAAGCGTATAGATTCCGATCTTCGGAATAAATTTGAAAACGATAAGTCACCGTGCGCGTCGTGCGCTCGCTCATGTTAACACATAAGATAGCGTCACGCGCATGAAAACGCACGGCGGCTCGTCTTCCTTTTGTTCTCCCTCGTGTATAAACAACGTACGGGTGTAATGTACATTTCAATGCCTACTAATAATAACAAAATTCAAATTACACATATATATAAACAAACGTAAAGGTACACGATACATTTGGCAACGAAAATAATAAAGTCTTTGGGTCCGACAGCACATCTCGATCGTACTCTGCGCAAATTATTGCAAAAGGAAAAAAGAAAAAGAAGGAACTCGAGACGAATCGTTCTTCCTAGCGATACTTTTGTCTCGCCTAGTCTCGCGAACGAAAGAAAGATAAGTCAGCATCTCTGACAGCGATGCTTTTGGTATTTTTATCCATCCGCACGCACGATCGAGAAACATCCCAATGGTAGGTCGAGGAAAGGAACTTTGCGACACGAGAGGTGATGTCGCTCGATCACCCGGTTGATTTTGATTTTACGCGCGAGCGAAAACTCTTTTTTCAAGAGGAAAAGGGAAAAAGAGAAACTTACTCAAAGCACATTGTGGATTCTAGCACAAGTTTGGTTGGTTCATATGGAGAATACAAGTTTTATAATATTCTTCAAAAGAGAATAAATTTTTCTTTTGAGCACATAACAATGAGCATTTTTTATCGAGAGAACATTCTTTGTTGAAAATAACCGTTGCTTAGGTAGAAACAAAGTAACTTGATTAATTGCTTTTTTCTTAGCAGTAGAATGATATTTTTCTCTATGTGCCTGCGTGATAAAGTTATTTGTATTAAAAGTGAAAAGAGTTATTCGCATATATTAAAAATGTAAACTACCATATTTTTATATATCATCAGCGATATATCACCGCGGTAAGACATTTTTACGACCGTTTCTCCGGGATTTTCTTTATATAGAATCAAGACGAGATCCACGTTCCTTTTCTCTCGCGTTACCATCGGTAACATCGTTCGCGTAATATCAATACATACATAATAATATATGTATATACGTGTGTGTGTATATGGATATAATATGTATATATATATATATATATCTTTTTTCTCAATGATTAATATATACTAATCTTGCAACCTTCGTTCTCATTATTGTCTGCTCACATTTACTTACGACTATTTAAAAATTACGCAATCGCTCTCCACCGACAATTTATCCGTATCGTTAATTACGTCCTTTTCGTACGTAAAGCCCGATAAATAACGAATAATAATAGTTTCAACTACAAACGGGAACGCGTGTATGAGCCGGTGACGTGATGCTCAAGTGTCCATTGTTAAATAAGCACGCCCGTGTGAGTGTTTGTGAACACATAACAGAATCTCATAATATTCAATTAGCAAATATACACATATATATACACACACATACATGTATAATATATATATATATATATTGTATATTTTTATAAATATATAGGATAACGATTGCGCGAGTGAAAGAACGTAATTGCAAATGACTTCGTGATAGCCTCGTTTCTGTTTTTTTTGTTCCTTTTTTTTTTGGTATACGCTTAACGCGAGCAGTCGTGCTTATGATTATAAGTATAAGATAAAGTGCAAAATGATATCCGCTGTCGTATTCTCTACTAGCGTGCATTCGTATGCGTGTACGCGCGTGCGTGTGTACATGTATTAACAAATATGGCAAGTGAAACTAGTCTAAGTCTACCTCAGTCGCCATGTAAAATTGCGAAAAGCGCAACACTTCATTACCATCATCGCATAGACACATAGTTTCAATCCGGCCGTTTACACATTACTTCGACACGTAAATTCGCGTCGTTTCGCGAAAGATTCGCTCCTTAACGTTTAAAGTAAAGTGAGGACCCGTTTAGTCTCTCTAAAGTATACGGTACACTCACTGGTTTAGTATGGCAAGTATTATGACACATGGCACTCGGGGCATTATTCAACATTCGTTAATTAACATAGATTATATATCACACGGAAAACGGTGTTACGCATTTTCCAGGTTGGAACGATAAGAAAGAAAGAAAAAGAAGAGAAGAAAGAATCCCACGAGAGAGACTGTAGAGTCGCGCTAGTAGTGACGATCTATCACTCACGGTTGCTTCTCCCTCCGCGTATCGACTTGATTGGAAATATGATTCGGCACTCCCATGGGAAAATATTATTCCGCTCTTGCGTGACACAATCGTTGTTAATGTTTGCAATTATTAAAATTATTATTAGAATTAAGAGTAACGGATCGTACCGGAGATCGTATCAGTCGACCGTTTAATAAACGCGTTTAATTCGACGTCTCCTCCTTGCAATTTTCGTGTTCCATTTTCTGGGGGAATTTTCCCGGACGAGCCACGAATTTCAAAAACGTTTGCCATCGGAGTGAGAAATGTGACATTGTACGTGATAAAAAAAAATTGTCAGTGATTGCGCGTGCGAGTCAAAACGCATCCATCTTGCTTAATGAAAGAATTCAAACGAACAAAACAAATTCTATTATTGGGCCGGGCGGATACATTTCGAAACTCACGCGAAAAATTACGAACAATTTTTCTGTATCCACGACTGTACACACAGAAAAATACGTACTGCATTCGAGGGAATATACCCATCTTAAATATCTTATCAGTTGATATACCTGCAAATCTAATCATGAGTTTATCAAATTTACTAAAAATATATTCTGAATTCTATAATAAGTTTGATACTTCAATCGAGAAAATTATAGAATAAATTGAAACAAAAATTCAGTTTGCTCTTTTTTTTATATAAAGGGCACAATATTGTTGAAAAGAAAGTAAATTTTTCCGTATATATGGTGACAGACTTTTCTCATGAATTCATGGTGAAAACATGTTTTAAGATTATTATGAAATAAATATCCTTTGCCGAAGACAATCATTACTCAAAATAAAAAAAAGTCGCTTTTTTTTAAAAATATTTTTCTTTGTGCAACACATCGGACGAGAGTTCAGGAAATTTATGAGAGAGAACAAGTCGAATTGTAAACGATCAGATTTCGATCGTGACTCTAATCGAATGCAGAACCTTCGTCAAGATATCTTGTCGTTGTCAGCCGGACACGAGAGGACTTTACCAGCGAATTAATCTTGTCTTCTTTGTGAGCCACAGGCCGGAAGGATTTACTGTTAACGAATAAACGCGGTTACTCGGTTCAGTCAGTAAGCGCCTCCAGAATGTCCACGGGCGACTTGTTCATCTTACGGAAATTCTCCCAGTACTCCTTGGGCATCGTCCATTCCAAGAAAATCTCCAAGTTCCGAGTGAGCGACTCGAGCTCGGACAGACCGTCGTTCGTGACCGGCTCCTTACCGGCGGACACCAGCGAGTCCTGAAGGACGTCGTCGATGAGTCGCTTGCCGAAGCCGAGCTCTTTCAGCTTGTCCTTTTTGCTGATTCTCTGCAACAACACCGCCAGTAGTAGCCTCATCTTCTCAATCGTCATCAGTTTCTGCTTGACGGTGACCGAAGGTTTCTCGATGATCTCAACGACGTTTGACGTGCTAGCGACTTTGCTGTCATGCTTTGATGCATCGGCATCGCCGCCACCGCCGCCGCTGCCGTTTTCACCGCCTCCGCCACCGCCACCGCCACCGCCGCCGCTAATGTCTGAGTCTTCTTCCTCCACTTCGGTGTGACAGGTTTTGATGTGATTCTCCAAGTCGCTTTTAATCCTAAAATAGTTCTTGCACCACCTGCAGCCGTACGGATTGGTGCGACCGTGTATGCATTTCATATGCTTCTTCCAGTGCGGTAGCTGAGTGAAGCCGGCGTTGCACTCGGTGCATTTGAACGGACGTTCGCCGGTGTGTCGGCGAGTGTGCAGCTTGAGGGCGGTCGAATGAGCGAAAGCCTGCCAGCAGACGAGGCAACGGAATGGCCGTTGGCCGGTATGGGTCCTCTGATGAACGGTCAGCTGGGACTTCTGAGCGAAACGCTGACCGCATGTGGCGCATCCGTGCGGACGATCGTGCGCGTGTGTCCTCATGTGCTGCGGCAGGTGACCCTTGAAGGTTTTGTTGCAGATCACGCAGATGAAAGACTTGACGTCCCGGTGCAGGCATTGGAGGTGCTTCTTCAGGGCGTCGCGGCGGACGAAGGCGCGGCCGCACAGCTCGCACTTGTGATCCCTTTGGCCCTTGTGGCGTTTCATGTGCAGCGACAGGTTGGCCGCGCACGTGAAACTGTTGGAGCAAAGGACACAGCGGAACGGCTTCACCTGACTGTGGGTGCGACGGTGTTGCACTAGTTGGCCGCCCCGTGCAAAGCTCTTGTCACACTCCGGACACTTGTAAGGCTTGAAGCCGGTGTGCGTGCGCACGTGCAGCTTCAACCGTTCCTTCAGCGGGAACTCTTTGCCGCACTCGTTGCATTTGTACACCGGCCCGGTGCTGTGCACCACCTTGTAGTGGTTACGAAGACCGCCGCTGCCCTTGAAGCGCGCGAAGCACACGACGCAGCAGTACTTCTTCTGCCAGTTCGGCACTTCTTGCCGACTTCGGGAATTGGTGTCGCTGTTCTTCTCTGTGTCCGATGGCGGATTGGCGGATGGATCATCAGGGTCCTCAGGATCAGAGGTTGGCTTGGATCCACTCGAACTGACGACGTTGTTGTTCTCCAGAAGGTAATTCTCTTGGTTGACGGTATCTTCCTCGGAAGATTTCTTCTCTTTCTCGGGTTTCCCCGTCTCTTTCTTGGCAGTGGTATTATTAGCGATGCTGCTTTTCCTATCGGACAAGTTTTTGTTTTTTTTGCAGGGGACCTGCTGCTGACCCTTCTTATCGATTGGTCCTGGTTTCTCGAGTGCAGAATTCAAGCACGGATCCAGTGACTCTTGTCTATACACGTAAACCACGTCCTTGAAGCAATCTTTCTTCACCAAGCCCTCGTTTTCGTCGTTCTTCTCGAACTCGTCGTCGTCGAGGGGAATCTTTATTCGAGGGGCTTTCCTACTTGTCCCGTAGTCACTCCTCCTCCTTTTTCCTTCTATCTGCTTCTTGCTCGGCTTTGTCTGTTTCTTCTTGGTATTCTTTTTCGCTCGAGTGTTCTTGCTGTCGATACGTCCTTTCTTCGTTTTCTTTCTCACCATTCTGTCCTCCTCCTCCTCATCGTCATCATCCGAGTCAGTACTATCGATGATCTTTTTCGACTCGTTTGTTCTCTTCCGAAGTATCTTCTGAAATGATCGAATACATTGCTTGCTGCTCTGATGTTCCGATTGTTTCTCGACATTCTTGCAGAAATTGAAATCGAAGTTTTCGCTCTTGTCGTTGCAGTCGCTCGATAAGCTTCTGAGCGCTTTCAGGGCGTCGGTCGCGTCGGCATCCTTCGTGACGCTCTCCCTGATGCGGGATCGCTTCACCGGCAGCAATTCAGTCAGCTGCACCTCTTCTTGCGGCTGCTCAGGCCCGGCTACTTGTTCCAAGACCGTCTGCTCCATGCTGAGCATTGCTCCGTGAATGTGCGTTCATCCAGATCGCGACTTTGACGCAACGCCTCGAGAGACTTCGACGCTCGACATCGATTATCGGCGCATACCGTATGTGACGCTTCAGTCGCCCGCTTTTAGACAATATCTTCGACCTTTATCGATCACCTACTTTCCTCTGCACGCTCAAGTTTGTAAATAGCAGACTGACGCGCGCGTCTCTATCACGAACAACCACACCCGGATATTGCACGTAGATTACATAGATCCGACCGATAACTCACCGTAAAAATCAAATCTCAATGGTTGATAAGACTAGGTCTGGCAGTGATAATTGCAATTGCTCGCTCGGCGAATTCACCATTGACGCGATGCTCGCCGCCGAACGAAGCCGGACGAGACGACGAAGCCTCGGGATGACCGCCGCATCAATGATCGCTTCACACCCCGCGACCAAACACGTCGCCTCTCGCTAGTACGCTGCACTGCGATCTGATAGTTTGATCCTCTTGTTCAGATGTTCTCGTAAACGACTCGGGGTATCGTCAGTTTCGCACTGACGGCGACACGCTCGTCCTCGAGGAAAACTCCAGATTCGTCTTTTATCGGTGCGCGACGGCGACGAGGTCGCGTAGAAAGAGAGAGAGAGAGAGAGAGAGAGAGAGAGAGAGAGAGAGAGAGAGAGAGAGAGAGAGAGAGCGAGCGGGGGAGAGTGAAAGAGAGAGAGAGAGAGAGAGAGAAAGAGAGAGAGAGAGAGAAAGAGAGAGAGAGAGAGGGGAAAAGAGCGGGGAGAGGAGAAACGCGCACACGCACAGGCGTTTATAAAACGCGGTCCGGCGGAGCGCTTATCGCGCTCTTATCGTCCCGATATACTTCGCCTACCCGCCCCCTTCCTCTTTCCTTTCCGTCCGCCCGCGCCGCTTTTCCCCGGTCCTCGGCCGATGACGACTTCCGACACGCGCAGCGCCGAGCGGAGTCGAGCTCTCCTCGTCTGCCCTCTTTCTCCGCTTCTTCTTCTCCTCCAGGTAGCGCGCGCCCGAGTTGCTTCCGGAAGTGCTCAGTGCGGGCGTTGGAATCACCGTGTGTCGCGGCCACCCGACTGCTCTACCAGAATACCGGAAGTCTTCCCCGGGCGGACTTCCGCGGCGCTGTCGCGCGGCCGTTCCTCGCCGACGCGACGATCGACTGAACGTCGAGGAACGAGAGGACTCCTCTTCCTCTTTCTCGCGGCGCGCGGACGGCGCCCCGTTGCTCTCTTGGAGCGGCCGCGGTTGCGCGCCTTTTTCCACGCAAGCGCAATCCTCGGTCGATATCAGCCCGATGCTCTCTCGCACCCCTCCCGTCGCGCTGATAGCCGCGGCTTCCCTCCTCCACCCTTCGCTTCACTACTACGTTCTCTCTCTCTCTCTCTCTCTCTCTCTCTCTCTCTCTCTCTCTCTCTCTCTCTCTCTGCCGCTCTTCCTCTCGTATTTCCCTCGATACCGCGAACCCCTCGCTCACCCCCGTTGCCGCCAGCTCGCGCGACCCTGTCGCCCTTTCCGCGTTCTTCCAGACGAGTCCTCGGCCTCCCTCCGCTGCCAGCAACCCTTTCCTTTCTTTTTTCTATCCTGCCTGCCGATTGTGTTCCCTGCCTGTGACCTCTCACCTTCGTTTCTTTCTCGTCGTTTGGCCGACGTAGTTGCAGCCGCCTCACCGTCGCTTATGATTTCACCTCATCGTTCATTTTTTCAGGGATCTCGCCGAACAGTATCTCGCGTCTGAAGCGTGGCTACGTGTTCCTGAATCTCATTGATCCTTGGGGAAGCGCAAACCTATACTCCTCGAGTCTCCTCGAGGTGTGTTTGTTTCACTTTGGAAGCCGTTGTTCCTTCCGCAAGCTGCCATCAACCGCAGGTCGGTCGGGTTGCTCGGCTGCTTATCGTTACACTTCACTCGTTGTCTTATCAATCGATTGTTACCTGCCGCGATAATGGCGCGTTGCCTTCAGCTTCGCCTGAAACGTGCAATTTCGCGCGGGGCAATTATCTTAATCGTCGCCTCTCTGCAGTCTATTAGCCTCCGCCTGCTCGTGGACGAAATTCAGTTAATGGCTATCGGAAGGAAGTCTCGAGGATCTGGGAGATCCCCCTTCAGGATTTCATCCTTGGCCGCGCCAGCGCAATCTTCGATTCTCCCGCACGGAGGAGGGAGACGATCGGATAATGGCAGAGCGACGCTTCCCTGTGTTTCCGCTGCGCTTCTGTCTCGTCCAGCGTCAACTCGCCGCGGAGAGCCTACGACGAATGTGCCACGTCCTTTCCAGCGCGATGTCCGAGTCCTCCTGCGCGCACGTCCGGGGCTCACGTCGCTCCCTGTGGTCGTCGAATTGGAAACGCTGACTCGACCGAGCGATCCGCCACCGCATCGATGTTACCGCGAGATTCGAGCAGCCCGTTGCAATTTTCGAGCCGTCGACATCACCCCGTCGTGCCGGATCGATGTCCCCGATGATACGCGTTTAGCGATACGTCCCGATCGATTTTCGCACGGCACTTTCAGCCGCACGCTCGCGTTAATCCGCCGCTAGAATAACGCGCTTCTCTCTCCGAGCCGCTCTCCTCGCTCTCTCGAGCGTAATCTCGAGTACCTCGAGATCTCGAATATCTCGAGTACTTTGGCGACACTTCGGTCTCTCGGGCCTCTCTCGAGTCGCCGTTTCTTATCGTTGATTGATCCGACGCCGATCCGTGAGCCTCGCGGATAATTTTTCCGTCATCTAATTGCCCGTCGTCTAATCTCCAACGGTCTCTCTCACTCGTCTCTCTGTGTGTGTGTGTGTATGTGTTTCGTCACGACCGAGCGGGGAGGAACTTATCGATACGTAGGATCGATCTTTTTCTTCTTTGGTATGCTCGGATATATACGTGTAATATTTATATATGTATATATATATATATATATATTGATTTTATATTTATGTACATTAAAATTGCATTTTTGGCCTCACACACGTGTCCGACTCTTATCTCGATCGGAGCGTTTCCCTTTTCGCTGACTCATTTTATATTTTATTCTCCCCCTCTTTCTCCTTGACTAGACGTTGACGAGCAAAGTAGGTGGGTATTACATGAGCGCGTTAATCGCTGTTTCAATAGCCGCATAGATGAACGAACGAGTTCTATGTGTATGTGTGTGTGTGTGCATGTATGTGTATGTATGTTAGTGCGTTTTAGCCACTGCGTACCCCGACGTCCTGAACTAGCGGAAAACCGAGGAACCCGCCACCACCTGAAAGAAATTAGAGACACCGGAGGCAATTCTTCGTTAGTTCCAATTAGCAAGATACCTTGTTAAGTTACGCGGTTAAGATATGTGAATAGCACATGTGGTCTCGTTACGTTAGCGAAATAATGATATATTACTGCTAAACAAGCGTAATTTGAGTTACAACAAATTAAAGTGCAATTAGACATCTGGTTAGTTCGCAATCTACGGGTTAATTACAGATATCTAATATGCATTGTAAAATTGAGAGAGAGAGAGAGAGAGAAAGAGAGATATTAGTTTCTTTAAACCTTTGAAATTTAAGGTGCACGTGTGAAATATTCAGTTAAATTTACCATTCAAATCAAATATACAGAGTTGGATAAGTTAATATGTATTTTTTGTTTAACTGAGACGAGTCTAAAGCGAAGCATCTATCGAATTAATGTAGGTAAGTTGTATAAGTTAATTAAAATTGATCAACTAGTTATTATCCAACTCTGCAAATCTGTCTCAAGGTATTTCTCAAGGAAATCGATCGTCAACAAATGTAAACACGACGGTGACGTCTTTTGATTTACATAAGGTCATATACAGGGTATCCCATATATATAAGGTGTCAAGAAAAGATTACAGTAAATGTTAGATTGTCTGACGAATGTGTGTGCGCTTTGCTCGATTCGTCAGTTTGTTTGGCCGAAAATCCATCGCTTTCTGTTTTCAATATCGTACGTGTTAATTTTTTACACGGAAATTTTGCATCGATGCAAAATCTCCGAGGGATGTATTTTTACACTTACGAAGCTCGAGTATCTCCGGAACGAAAGTCCGTGCGGAGACTCGGGTTCGTCGGAGGAATAGAACTCGTGCGAACTCGTTGAAAGAACATTAAAATTGCACACATTGGCGATGGGACACCTTGTATACGACCACACGGAGGCATTGATCGCGGAGGGCATTTACATCGCGCGATTGGAAGCTCGCACGCGTGACCCGATCTCCCAACAGCGTAGATCAATTTTTGTCATCGTCGCCGTCGCGTCGCGTCGCGTCGCGTCGCGTCGCGTTTGCGAGAAAATTGGAGCAACCTGAGAAATGAAGCATTAGCGACGCTAACGAAAAGAAATTCAAAGCGCTCTCGTTCTCGATGCTTCGTTAACAAAATCGCATCACGCTCGAGACGCAACTCGAGGCGATATTAAAATGTTTTTGCTAACGTTTGGCAAGCAAACGATGATGCGTTTGTATCCTCCAATTAATTCGCGTCACGAGAAAACGGTGGAACAATCTTTGCAATTCATTTAGTAGTGTATTTCCACATGTAGATATAATCTTATTATACATAACGTTATACGCATTAATATGAATGACAATAAATATTATATTGATTAATAACGACGCATATATTAATTGTTTGTTAAATATGAGAATATACCGAGGTAACGTATCGCTTTGAATCGCGATAATAATTTCAAGCAACGCGTCGTTCCCAGTCGCGATCACATTCCAACGACGTTTTTTAAAAAAAAATCATCAGCCGAAGGGGCGAGCACGTGTACGGTCGAATAGACGCGTTGTACAATCACGGAGCGGTCAGTCGTCAATTGGCATGTGCACTCGCATCGCGCTCTCATCGGTACTTTTTGACTTTCGATTCCGAGTTTACGATAACGAGAGAACGTATTCCGAGTGAATCGCGCCGAGCATACATGATTCGCGATAACGCGTCGTTCATACGCATTATCGCAATTTGGCGGCAATTAAGGAACGCCTCTTCCGGTCTTCGCTCTATCATTCGGTCATATCGAGCGAGCGAACTGTAACGTGACGTAATCGTCGAATCGACACGCTCCAATTCTAAACAAACGCCTCGCGACCGATCATTATCCAAGGCGCGCGATCTAACAATTCCTTCGTTTTTATTACCCTTGCCATCATTCGCATCTTCCGTTCTGCTCGCCGCACGACGAACTCTCGCGTTCGCTGTGTAACACGCGCACAAACCTTCTCTCTCTCCCTCTCTTTCTCTCTCTCTCTCTCTCTCTCTCTCTTCGATCCTCTCTCTCGTATAGATTAGTCTCGTGCGACATCCCACACGCACAAACACGCACTACACGACACACGAGCGCGAGCGCGCGTCACATACACAGCCATGCCGCTCCCGTTTCTCTTTCACTCCCTCTCTCTTTCTCTTTCACTCACTCACTCTCGCTCGTCGTGCCGTGTGACACGGATCTGTGCGCATTGAACTTACCGAAAGGTACGGTCTCGCGCGAGATTTCGTCAGCGCGCCGGAGCGCGCGATAGTCGCGCGGTTTCCCGCGGCCGCAGCCGATTGGCGGTAGAACGGCTTAGCGATGCACTCGACGAGTCGCAACGAGTTCGAAAAGGAGCTGCCGCTGGCTTTACTCACCGTACTCGAAGCGGCCGACGCGCCCCGATATCACCAGCGCCGTCTCCACCGGGGAAGAGATTGCCTTGCGGAGCGCGCCTCTGGCTCGACCCTACCCTCCGGTCGCCATCTTCGATGCACTTTCGGCGGAGGCCGAGCGCTGCTCCGAGGCCGAGCTCCGAGAGAGGCAGCGATCCCGGCTGAGAGAGCGCGTAGGGGGGTGAAATCAGCGGCGTTACTGCTACCGCTAGTTCGACGTTATGACGTCCGATGGCGCGCTGTGCGAACGTCTCGGAGTTCTTGCCCGGCGCGACGAGGTTTCCATCCGTTCGACAATGTAAGCCGCAATGCGAGAGAGAACATTGCCGTTGTTCCCGCTCGATGACCTTGAACCCAAAGATGATTCTCGATAGAATTACTGTGTCTGTCTTTCGTGCGGCACCTTGGCGAGAAATATCCAGGTAGGTCGAAGCGACAAGATGATCGAATCACGATTCAAAAGCGAGTTCTTGCGGTCGTTTCTTCGTCATTCCGTTCTGCTAACTGTATGTAGACGCGCCATAGCGTGTCCATGAGACAGAGAGGATGATTCCATTTAAAGACGATACTTCGATTTCTAACGACCTTCATTTCACTGCCGGCCGGTTCGGTTTCCGCCAGGCTAATGTTCATTTCGGTTTGTTATAGTTCTGTTATTCAGTGTCTGACGAGATCTCGTTTCGCGTGTGATAATCGCTCGTCAGCCGCGCGTCAGTCACGCTTCGTTTAAGAAAATTGCTAAGCAGTCATCGCTGACTGAAAGACGACGAAAAACGTCGCGATGAGATTCGTGTTTTTAATCGCGATATTTTCGTCGAGGGCAGCGAGCGGGCTCCAAGGGTTGAAAGTGCTCGAGGGAACACGCCGTTGGTGCACACAGAGACACCGTTGGTAGGTACAGTAGGTTCCTCCCGCGCCCGCTACGCTGCGTTGCGATCGACCGTTACGTCGAGCGGCGTATGGAGCGATGCTTGGCGAGAGGCGACTTGCCCGAGATCCCGCTTTTCATTCGTCTCCATCGGCACCCCGGCGCGACGAAATGAGCGCGTATGAGCGAAGGTGAGCGAGGCGCTTCGTTGAGAGAAAGGGGGGGAGAGAGAGAGAGAGAGAGAGAGAGAGAGAGAGAGGGAGAGAGGGAGAGAGAGAGAGAGAGAGAGAGAGAGAGAGAGAGAGAGATCGTCGGCCGCGCGATTCCCAATGATGACTCACTTGCTCGGGCTTAAATAGCTGCGCCGGGACTTTTATTGCGCGTGGGACACATGCCCGCGTCAATTGTATCCGCATCGTCTCGTCTCGTCGGGAATCCGCGTTGGACGAAGGTGTCGACAGGTGCTGTCAGAAGTCAGCGATGGTCTCGTTATATATCTCGGAGCTCGCGTCATGGTCGTTTTGATCAAAATTCCTTTGTTCTTTTCAGTCGCGCTTTCGGCACCCCGAATGAAGCGAGCCGTCAATGAGCCGAGGTTTCGGGTAGAGGACGTGAGAACGTAAGTAATAGACATAAATATAAACGGAATATAAAAATAATAAATAATGAATGCGACTCGTCGAGTATTGAGAGGGTCGGCTTTGAAGTACTCGTTTATACGCGTTTCCTTCGAATTCGAGGAGAACCGCTAAACGATCGTCTGTTCGCAATAGAATTATTCACAATGGCTTCTATTTCTAACCTAACCTAACCCTAACGGGCTTTTTTTCGTTCGACGCGCTTGTCCTGTTGCGCCATTACTCGCTAATCCGCAGAGTGCATTGCGCTGCAATTTCACAGCGGTAGAGTCTCGGCCGATCACGACCGAGAGATTTGAACGCCAAAAATGCGCGCGCGCGCGCGCGCGCACTCGCTCGCTCCTTCGCGCCGAAAGCTCGTCGAGAGATCGTCGAGCCACTCATCGCGCGCGTTTGGTGACTTTAACGCTTAGAACTCGTATTTGCGGATCGCCGCGGCTTCGGCGGTTCAAAACACCGTCCGATCGCGACTGTCTTGTCGGCTTGAATCTTCGAGGCCGCGTACCGTATCGATTGTAATTCGGACGATCAAATTAACAGCAGATGCAAAAATGTGAGGTTAACTTATGGTGAGTAGATCAATCTTTGCGCGCGATTATTTTAACAAAGTTGCGGAGGTGTCTCCTGCGGCAACTGCGCGAATATAAATTGGAATATCGATGCTGCCGAGATGTGACGAGATTTCTTTCTCTCGCGTTTCTCTCGAGAGATAAGGGAGGAGATTTGCATTTACGGGAATCTGCAAGTCGGAGCGTGTGAGGTAAACGAGCGTAGATCGTACGATCCGTTAGATTAGCGGAGGCTCTCGCTGCGAATCCCACGTTCGTGACACGTGCCAGTCGCGAAACGCGCGTGTTGCGTGCGCGCGATAATCGATCGCGGTACCGGACGAAGATAAGGATTTGTCGCTGTCGGCGGTTCGCGGTATCAACTATAAATTACGACGGTGGTTCGAACGACCTACTCGAGATGGTAGTACTATACCGTTACTTCTTTGGAATCCCGCCTCTTGTGTGCACTTTGTCACTGTAGTAATCTCGTGGCTCTTGTACGTTCGCGCACATACACTTTCGCGCGTGGAACATACTAGATTCTTCGTTACGGAATTGCCTGCCGCATGAAAGCGGTCACAGGGAGGGTCCTCGGTCCTTAGAGCGCCGCAATTTCGACCGTGAGGATAAATTTATATCGATCGTACAAAGAGCACGCGCATATAGATAAATTAACGTAGAAAGAGGTTAATATTCCCGACTGCGCAAACTTCTAGGCATCTTGAAGGCCTTAAGAGCGCTTAAGAGCGCTTTAAAAGACGTCTCGTTCCTTCCTTGGATACCTTCCTAGATGTCTTTAAGATGAATTTTAGAAATTTATGCTACGTATGTCTGAGACGATGTCGGAGGTAACGCGAGACATCCATTGTCCCTCTTTGATGTTTCTATTTGTCTTTCGTAGCAGTCAAATGTTTGAGGATATATTCGCGCGTAACATCATGTGTAACTTATCATTCCTAAACTCGCATTATTTGTATCGCTAAAAATGCTGTAATTTCTTGCAATATTTTTACAAATATAGATGCTGTACATTTGTGCAGCGCAAAGTGCAAGATCAATATTCATTCACACAGACATCGTGTCGCCGGAAATATCGAACGTGCGGAATAATAACACACCGAATAATTTTCTCCTTTTCCAGACTGATCTGCACTTTGCGACGTGCGACGATATCGGAATATCGATATCTCGTCTCGACCGCCGTTCATACGCCGCGGAATACATCCGAATGGTGGCGCGAGAGGGCGGCGGCACCTCTTGGCGCGCCGAGCCGAGCGCGACCGAAGTTATACGAACGCGAGCTCAGCTCGGTGAGCGACGTGAACATAGACGCGCTCAGTGCGGACAGTGTGACGGGTGAGCGTGGATACGGCCAGGGTCCGATTTTGCCGTTTTTTGCTCGGCCTGTCAAGCCGCGGCGTTCTACTCTCTCACAGCTGTGAAAGCGGTGTTTCGTGAGTGACGCTTTTAGCACGATCGCGCCCCTCGCGCGTATCTCTCCGTGGTTCCTCCGTATTCGCCTATCTCTCTCTCTCTCGCGCTCTCTCGCTCTCTCTCTCTCTCTCTCTCTCTCGCGCGCGCTCTCTCTCTCTCTCTCTCTCTCTCTCCGAGCACGCGCCCGCCTGTCTTTCTCGCGCGTTGCTCCGCGCTCGATCTGTCAGTCCTCCCTTCTTGCTCCTCCCTCCCATTGTCTCCCTCTTTTCCGATCCTTCTTGTTCCCTCCTGTTCGCCTGTGACGCGCGCGATCCGCGTGTCGGTCGCTCGCTCGCTCGGTCTCTTTTTCTCTTTCTCGTTTCGCGTCGCGGTGCGCGCTCGATAACCGTTCATTCGAGAAGATAACGCCGACAACACCGACGACGACGGTGACGTCTGTCGCGACACTGACGTTTTTGCCTTCGATCCACCGCGTCGCGTGTGCACCACCAGTTGCGTGTTGCGTAACCGCATTTTACGACAGCCCATCTCTCTCTCTCTCTCTCTGTCTTGTGGGTGCATCGGCCCAATCGTCCTCCCCTCTCCGCCAGCTGCAGCGACGAGTTTGGCGCTACAACCCTCGGAATTTGACGTTTGGAGCACACGACTTCACTCTGGTGAGTCCTTCTCATTTTTGAAAGATATGCGATACGCAAAGTTAAGGAAGCTCGGCTTCCTTAACTTTGCTGCGCTATTTGTACTTTTACTTGCGCTGTTAGACGTTATCGTACATGCTCGAAAGTGCGCTTGCATTTTGCGGTAATGAACGGAGCAAAGACAGGAAGAGAAGTCGTGACAATTTCGGATTCGGTGTTTTATTATAGCAAACATATCTGCGCATATATATATATATTTTTATTTATTTATTTTTGTCGTTGTGTGTATCGCAAAAAGCGAACGCATGAAAGACGGTATGAAGAAGCAGGACTAAACAAAGAGATTGTGATAAGCGTGAAGTAAATTCTACGCTTCTTCTACGCTTCTACGCGAAAACGACTGTAAAATAACATCGCATATCACTTGATTTAAGTGGTTTTAGAGTTCATTTTCCGTTTCATCAAGTAACGTATATCGACAATAAATTACGTGTAAATAACATATTTTTCTCCTCCTATAAGTGCGCATAAATACGCGTTTGTATTTCTCGACTTTACGGAACGAAATAGATAACGATGCATCGAGGAAGAAAAGGAAGAGTAGCTAAAGTAAGAACCGAGCAAGCTATAAAGTCGCGAATGTCCGTTTCATTGCTCCGCTGAATTTAGTTTAACAAGTTCGATCTCGACGATACGTATTGATTACTGTAATTTAGCGATCACACCAACGGCCCCACCTCTTCTTCCCTTAATCGCCATCGGTGCGTTTTTACGGCGCTTAAGTATGAATAACTTCGCTGAGTCGCGCGCGCATTTGAATATGCAACGGAATCGCGATGATGTCGGAGGTAGCTTAGTGTTGGGGAGGTAATGACGAGTTTGTGGGAAGAAAGAACTGCTGTTATTATATGCCGCGTTTTTATGCCGCGAAAGCATGACCAAAGGGAATCGCTTGTGCGTTCGATTTCGTGGAAAGTGTAACGAGCGAGTATCGCGGAAACGCTTCGAGATAGCTCGAGCAATTCTTGTCGAGCGTCGCACTTCTGCAAAACAGAAGATAACAAACACACTTGTACATGAAACGACTCGGTCGGAGTAACAACTCCATGGTCAAATATCGAGTATTATGCGCAGTTGTGCTGCGAAGCGTTCAAAGTCATTGTTCTCTCAAGATGGCGATTACTTGAATCCAAGTTTCTCGCTCGAAAAGCAGAGAGTAACCGCCGCCGCAACAGCGGCCGTCTCGAAGCAAGTACAATTGATTTGGACGGATCGATGCGATTTACCTATGGTGTCTCTCTCTCTCTCTCTCTCTCTCTCTCTCTCTCTCTCTGAATATTTTACGACGCGTTACATCGTGCTGTCGCGCGAAGCGACGATCGAACTGAGCGGGAAATACATATCGCGCAAAAGTTGAGCGTTCTTGCTTACGAAACGCTCTTCTGAATCGTAAATCACGAATGGTATGTTTTACTTGATTTCGCCGAATACGGCAAGAAACGCGCGCGGCACGTGCGAGTTGTAAACCGTAAACAAAAAAGCGAACAATGCGTTGGGGCTACGCGTTGAGCGTGTCTGTGTCGGGAAAATGTTCAAGGGTAGCGTATGTGCTGACGCACACAATGGCAGAACCAGCCACCGTGTCGTCGTGACTGCAGTGGCACTTGCATATGCAGTACGTTCGTCGACATAAAATTATCCGGTGGCCATCCTTTCGCTCTCTTTCTCGCTCTTTTTTTCCTCTCGTTCTCTTTCTCTCCGTCCGCGTCCCTCCGAGAGTCCCTTTTACCTTTTTTCCCTCTTACGACGACTCCAGCAGAGGGAACAAAAGGGAAACTTCATTGCCCTCATCCGGTCTTCCTTACGAATCTTCTCGGTATGCCTGGAGGATCTGCTTGAAGGGTGCTTTTTATTACCGTATTTGACGTATCGTACGATCGAGCTTGATCTGTCGAGCTCTATTCATCAGGACGGTAGCGCACCTTCGAGCGATTAATTAGACCTCGAACTAAAATCCCAACTGATCGTTATCTACACCGCGAGCTCGTCCGACTTCACTGAATCGTTCCCTCATCCGCGATTTATTAGGTAAATCGGAAAGTTCCGTCCGTTTAGCGACAAGTAGCTATAGCTAGAACTTGTTTTGACATCTGTCAATAACATTCAATACATAAAAGTATACGTTTGCATCAATAACATTGTTTTTCACTGCATCGAAAATGTCGAAATTTGAGCCAAATAAGCGTCATTTGCGCGAAGTATTAATCTTTTGCTTCAATTGGAAGAAAACTGCAGCTGAAGATCATCGAATGCTTGTAGAAGTTTATGGTGATAATGCTCCTTCCGATAAAACATGCAAAGAATGGTTTCGACGCTTTAAAATTGGTGATTTTGATGTAGAGGACAAAGAGCGTTCTGAACGGCCAAGAGTATTCGAAGACGAAGAATTGCAGGCATTGGTGGACGAAGACTCATGTCAAACGTAAAGGCAACTTGCAGAAACATTAAATTGTGCTCGATCTGTCATTTCCGATCGTTTGAGAGCCTTAGGAAAGGTTTACAAGGAAGGAAAATGGGTCTCATATGAACTGAAGCCAAGAGACATTGAAAGACGAGAAACCACCTGCGAAATTCTACTTGCTAGCCAACAAAGAAAGGGGTTTTCACATCGTATCATCACTGGGGATGAAAAATAGATTTATTTTGACAATCCCAAACGAAAAACTATTTGCGATCCCCGCCAACCCTCAACATCGACGCCAAAGCGGAATATCCACGGAAAGAAGATAATGCTCTATATTTGGTGAAATCAGAAGGGTGTGCTGTACCATGAGCTGTTGAAAAGTGGTCAAACAGTCACAGGGGATCTCTACAGAGAACAAATGATCCGTTTGAGCCGAGCATTGCACGAAAAACGACGAGAATATGAAACGAGACAGCATAAAGTGATTTTGCTTCATGACAACGCTCGGCCTCACGTCACAAAATCTGTCAAGGAAACGTTAGAAGCACTTCGCTGGGAAGTGTTACCCCATGCGGCTTATTCACCAGACTGTGCCCCTTCCAACTACCACTTGTTTCGGTCGATGGCACACGCACTTGCTGAGGAATGCTTCAATTCTTATGAAGACGTCGAAAAATGGGTCTCTGACTGGATAGCCTCCAAAAATGAGTAATTCTTTCGCCACGGAATTCGCTTGCTGACCGAAAGATGGGAAAAAGTTATCATTAACGATGGACAATACTTTGATTGATGTACTTTTTCATTTTGTTTCTTAAATAAAGCCATACGTTTTGCAAGAAAACGGACGGAACTTTCCGATTGACCTAATATTTAATACCTATCGCGCGGATAGCGTCGTCTGTCGTCGACGATCCCGCTTGCGAGATTTCGGAAATGCCGTCTCGCACATCCGCCGAGAAAAAGGAAAGCAGAGAGAGAGAGAGAGAGAGAGAGAGAGAGAGAGAGAGAGAGAGAGAGAGAGAGAGAAAGGAAGAGGTTAATTATCGCAGCCGCGATAATCGACGGCGGCGATTTGCCGCTCCGTTCCGAACCGGAAGGAAGGCCATCCGACGAGCAACGCGAGTGCAAGTACTTAACCTTGCCGCGACTTTCGAACCTACGATCGAACGGGGTTCAAGAGGAAGGATTATTAAAAGGCTCCCCACCTACCCGGTCATTAAAGGCGGAATCGAATTGACCCACTGCATGTCGGTTGCTATAGTGGTGCCTGCGTCTGCGGCATCTCTCGCAGCATTGCCGCGATTCAGCACGCTGCGATCGAATTTATTATAATCGCGAACGCGCGCGGTGATTCAACCCTCCCGACATGGTTGTTTTTCGCTGCGCCAAGTTTATAGAAGGGCACTCGTCCGATTAGCCACTTGCGGGAGGATGCATCCTTCATTAACGGGTCCGTAAAGCCGCGGGATATATGGATCTTGAAAATTTTCTTGTTCCGACTTGTTTCCTTGTTTCCTTGTTCCGACGTTGTATCTGCCGATCGGGCAGGACGAGCTGTTGTGAAAATCTTCAGACAATCGGGAGGAAAACCTCAGTTCGTGCACGTGAAGAAGGATGGATTGAATTGATGTGATATTGTGAATGATTCAAGCGCGTGTTTTGGTCGAGGGAAATCAGATTCCTCGCTCTTGCGAACGGGAATTCCTTCGACCGAAACACACCTGGTTTGTTTATATTGTCACATTAGTTCAAGCAACAATCTTTTTCCTGTGAGAATCTTCTTGTTTCTATAACCGAGTTTTATTATCTGGTCGCCAGATGATGGAAAATTAATAGCACAAGTCAAATATTTGTAGTACGTTTTTGCGAGGACACACAGGATTCTTAAAAAAAAAAAAAATGGCTCTTGTAAACATTTCATGGACACCATAGAATTTTTTTTTTATTTTTATATACACAACAGTAGTCGAACTTGATTCTTCCTAGGCATGGAATGATTATAAATGAAACATTTTAAAAATTCATTCACGGCATTGACTCCATTTTTTTTACGTCGAGTTAACACCTTACGAACTGCATCGAAAATAATTTGCCATTTTTACACTATCTACTACGGTAGACAATGAAAAGCCCGATATGGTTGCGCACGAACGGGCGAGTTTTTTTCCGTCGTCGTCCTCGCGTGAAAAATGATCGTTTCGCGCTGCCTTAATTCCTCGCCGTTTTTTGTCACTGGTTGCACCTTCGCTCTGCACGCATGCACGTTACGTTGCAGGTAATAAGGTAGAATCATCAGACGGACGAACGAACGACGGGCAAAGAGGCAAGCAGAGATGAGAGGGGGGGGGATGGTGAAGTTGAGAGGGAAGAGACTGCTGTGGAATGATAAACACAGCTTTTGCGTGTACTTAAAACGCACGTGCGTGCGTGTGTGCGTGGGGTAGGTGGTACGAGTGGACGATAGAGCGTGCGAGGAGGGCCGAAGGGAAAAAGGGAGAAACGAAAGGGCGACGTGCACGATGGGATAAGTGCACGTCTCTGACAAAATACCAGACCC